TGTGTTTCACCCATCATCCTATATATTTATCCTAATTGTATATAGCACATTTTTTGCAGTGTACAACTGAAATTATGTGTAAAAATTAAAGGAGAAACAGATTTGGGGGTTTTCAATAAACAAAGTTAGAGCCCCCTTTCTGCAAAATAACACAAAGGAATCCTCCATAGACAAACTTATTTGTTGCCCATTGATCTACATTCACCTTAAAATCAACATGTGTGTAATGCAGCTTGTTGTATTGGCGAGGGTTTCTTTCGCCTCTTTTGGCTTTGCGAGTGTCTGATGGCGGCACTTCACCTACATCACAGGATAATGTCAGCAGGTTAAGGCGTGTCAACTCCTGACTCCGGCCCTCCTCCTGCTGACACTGCTCTCCCAACCAATAAACGACTTATGCAGACCTACTTTCTTTGTTGATGCATCAAAATGTTATTTGAAAGAAAATGACTGGAAAACCTTACCAATATCCTGTTGGATAAATTAAAAAAATACATATATATCATGTAGACCACTAGTTTTGTAGAAATCAGTTGGAGCATTCTGAATTTTGAACGGTGATATCTGACCTGCATATGTTGTACTGTGACCCCTTTCACATTTGTATTACTGCTGAACAATGTTATCTGAAGAACTGAATGCATTTGTTCTGGCCCACATTGTTACTACTGTATTTATATCTCAAGCATCAGTCATGTATTAGTTAGTTGGTTGGTTAAATTCATTTTAAACCTGTAGAACACAATTTCTATCTCCACTGATAACACCATCTGTTCTTACGCACATTGTTACAAAATCATATAAAAAACTTTGTCTCCTGTACTTTGATCTGGAGGGACTCGAAAATAAACCATGGTACAGGTGCAATTGCCGCTGCCTTGTCTTCCTTTCTTGACAGATTTGAATTTAGCTGGATTGCATGAATTTTGGGATAAAATAGTAAGATTGTTAAAGTAATTGACAATCAACGCAAAATATGTCATCATGTTGAGATATGTAGTGTGTTGTTTCAAATCAAATGTATATAAAGCACATTATCGTGCTAAACAGCCATTAAATCATATTCCTCATATTAAACTAACAGATTTTTTTACTGAGATCATGCTCTGGACACAGGAAACCATCTGTCACTTGGCTCAGGGATTTCCGACCAAGGAGCTTTCATTTATCTACTTAGAGTCCAAAAATTGTCACCTGCAAGCTGTTAAACCGGACGGGTTTGGCCTGCAAGCACAAATTGGATTGACACCTGCGACGTAATTCTAAGGTGTTGAGTAGGTCATGTGCAAATCAACATACAAGACAGGCGTGCCAACTTAAGGCTGAAAGGGGCCTTCCCACTGACCTGCATTTCAATGACACAGAAGGACAATGATCAATATGCAATGATATTCAAGCAGTAATTTCATTAAAGCAGAATTTACACAATTTGCTTAGTTAAAAACTGCTAGATTGGCTGTTGTGCACAATTGCATGAGGATAAACAGGTATTATTATTATTTTATTTGAAAAGGGACAATGTACAATCAGAACCTAAATGTTTCCATTTGTTGCATTGTACCAGAGTTAGCCTTAGGCTAATTTGCATCCGTAGTCCCCCGGCAGGGAAGAACACTCCACGTATCAATCCCGTATCAATGCACCAGGCTGCATACATAGACAGTTTTATGCTTTGAAACTCAGAAACTAATAACCCAGATGCTCAATTACAGACGATAAAGCCCCCGCTGAACAACCAAGGCTATGCCACAGAGCAATGTTCCCCAACCTTTTGAGCCGTGGCACACCCCATTCATTGAAAACAATCACATGGCACACCACAAGCTGAAACTGAGACAAAATATAAACTCTGCAGCCTTTAGTGACACGGCAAAGTGTATTAAATAGAAAATCATGTCTTTCTCATGTCTTGGGCGGCACGGTGGCTGAGTGGATAGCACTCTCGCTTCTCAGCAAGAAGGTCCTGGGTTTGAATCCCGGTCGGAACAGAGCCTTTCTGAGTGGAGTTTGCATGTTCTCCCCGTGTCTGCGTAGGTTTCCTCCGGGTGCTCCGGTTTCCCCCACCACTAAAAACATGCACAATAGGTATGAATATCAATGAGAGAGTGAATGGATGGTGTTGATTGGGGGCTGATGCGCCTCTGAACATTGTAAAGCGCTTTGGGTGACCTTGGTCTGTAAAATGCGCTATATAAATAAACATTACTTACTTACTTCTCATCAGAGTGTATTATGTAGAAAATTAAACAAGCATAAAAATCTATTTAATTTCTTTATTTATTTTTGTTCTACATTATTTTGACTAGTTAGGTGATCGTTTCCAAAGGTACCAACATGCCATGGAAGGGGTAGTACATGGACGGAAAAATTGTTCAAGTCAGTTCCACAAAAACAAATATACAGAAAAATCCTAAACACAATACAGTGAGAAGAGAAACCCAAAAAAATAGGTCTTGAGTTGAGACTTGAGACTTAGAATTGTTCACTGACTCCAACATGCGCAGGATAACAAACTTTTGGTGTGAAGAGGGTGTGAAGACTGCTCTGTGGGTGAGTAGGTGCATTGGTCTGTTTAAACTACATAATACAGAAAAATAAGAATAGACATCAGCCTTACACATTCAATTGTACATATTACATACAGTATTTATGTAGAAAACTCGATAGCTTCAAGACTCTAAACTTGCTTATCCATGTGTCTTTTTAGTGATGGAAAGAATACTGAAAATTAATTATGCCTGCATTAAAAAGTATTTTCCTACATTTCTCACATTGTGTAATCAGAGGGTAACAAAAGTTCAAGAGACAGTGGGTCAATCTCAGTCAGGTGCTCATCAGGATCAACGGTGACGAAAACACTGGACACATTGAAGAAAGGAAGACATCTCAGGAACTCATGGCAGAAAATAAAAATCCATTAATGGACGGGGATTTAGGCTACGCAGTCGCCCACAAAGAAGGGCCTAGGATTTTGATTCTCTGTCAAGAGTGCCTCGGATTTATTCCTTTCTTTATCGTGTAATCAGTGTTGGTTGTAAACGTAAATTCGCTCATCATCAAAAATCAAATCAAATCAAATTTTATTTATGAAGCGCTTTTCATACAAAAGATGCAACACAAAGTGCTTTACAGTTTGGTTAAAAACAATCCCGCCGGCCCATGTCCCCTCCCCCCGACCACCCAACAGACCCATCCCAAACCACAGACAAACACACACACGCTCCCATGCACACTCTCTGACACACACACACACACACACACACACACACACACACACACACACACACACACACAAGTAAAACAGTAAAACAATGATGAGAGACTTGGCAGGGTTCGGATGCAACCAGTTGAAAAAGCGTCATCCTAGGAGCCGTCTGCACCAGGAGCAGAGAGCCGCCTGTAGCTGTAGGGGACGACACAGGATCTAGAGGAGACCCGAAACCGAGGCCCCAGGCCCCCACCAGGTCCAAGAGTCCGACCCCCACAGCCACACCGACCACTGCTCCCAGTGCAGAGGGCTCCTCCAGAGGAAACACTGGGTACACTAAAAACAATACAATAACAATACAATATGTAAAACACAAAAATGTGAAACTAAAATGAAACTAAAATGAACTAACACACAATACATGAATAAAAGCAATAGCAATACAATAAATAATAGAGGATAAATAGAATATATAAAATGAAATAGTAAAAACTAATCAAAAGCTAATCTAAAAAGGTGTGTCTTGAGCCTGCTTTTAAAAATATGAACGTTCTCTGCGGCCCTGAGCTCCTCCGGCAGACTGTTCCAGAGACGGGGGCCGTAGTGCTGGAAAGATGCCTCACCGTGAGTGTGTGTCCTGACTTTGGGGATGGTTAGAAGTCTGCTGCCGGAGGAGCGCAGGGGCCGGGAAGGTTCATAGGATAAAAGCAAATCTGAAAGATAAGAAGGCCCAAGACCATTAAGACATTTAAAAACCATTAAAAGAACCTTAAAATCGATCCTGAAACACACGGGGAGCTCATGCCGATGTACAACACATGATGAATACAAACAATACTTGTTTTACTGTTATGTGTGTATGTGATGGGTTTATGTGTATTAAGTGCGTGGAGTGGATGCATGGATTAAAACATTACCTCATTTTATAGGGCAAACAACAAGGTTGAGAAATAATCGGGAGCGTTCTCAAGCATAAAAACAAATACATCATCATTGACATCATTTAAACATTAGAAAGATCATGCTGATATAAACATATATAGAGTGAAAGTTATTCTGTACCAGACAATGGTAAGATAGCAAATATTATCACAGTTTATTCATTTACTAAACTTAATTTACTAATCTAATGTAATAAATTATTCTTGCCACATCATAAACAATGAATTATTAAAGTCCAACCAAAAGCTATCGTTCTTTTTTTGACCTTTTCCACGGAAGAATGTAATGTTTGATGTACACTGTAAACACATAACAGGTAATGCATTTTTTCTGTAATTTTCTGAATTGTGATGAAATTATTGATGAAATTGTTATCATGAAAGTGTGCTGTCACTTGATCTTTTCAACCTTCCAATGTTATTTAATTATAATAATCAGTATAACAATATTCTGAATGGTGCGGTCCATTATTACTCTCATTGTTATAATCATCAGTTTCTATTGTTGTCCTTGTGAATACCATGGGTGATTACTGGTAGTATAGTGTTTTTTTTAAATGCCATACTCTTCTCACACCACCAGATGACGCTATTTCACAGTTTGCTTACCTCAAACCCTACTAATATATATATAATTGTTCCATAATTATGTACAAGCTGTTCCAAAATATGATAGAAACCTTTATCAAAGTATTTATTATACACACAAACCAATAATGATTCAATTTTCATTTCTGTACAAAACACAATCCATGTATCCTTTCTTCATAGTTTGTCATTTCTTTCTAATCAGAACTGCTTTTATGACAATCATGGAGGTAGACTTGGGGCCTCAGTGACCTCTAACTTTTTCAAACAATTATAGGAACTACTTCATTTTCTTGTAAGCGTAGTGTGTAGAGATCTGTAAATGTCTGGAAAGCTTCTTTATTCACCTCTTTCCTCTTTAAGTCTTCAGCTGGAGAGCACAAAACCTTTATTCTCTGTGGAAAAACAATGACATTATTATTATTATGTGTCTGAAGGTTTTTATTTCAGCTCCAGGTAAAATCATATTTACCTGTTTGAATGTCCCAGGTGTGACACGGAGTGCATGAAGCATAAACAGTGGCACCATGAGAGTGGAGGACAGAGTGAAGAGCCCTCCGATGGCATAACCCCACCACGGGTATTCATAACTGTGGTTAAATTTGAGAGGAGAGTATTTCACCAAAGAAAACACTATCGTCAGCTATGGGAAGACAGAAGTATTACATTACAATTCAAATCTTCCTGAAAATGTGAGATAAGCTTCTTCTCTGACAATGTTGATTTAGACGTCCTGTGTGCCTATCTCTGTATTGTTATTATCATCACTTTGAGTTGCCTGGTGAATTGATTGTGCTATATAAAAACACTTGCTTTTCCATTAGTAATGTCTGGGTCATCTGAAACATTAGCAATGACAAAATATCTGATTCTCTCTACTGTTATGTTTCATATTTACTGTCTCCCAGAGCCTCATGCTGCCAATGTACAGATGTAAACATACTGCTGCCAATGTACAGATGTAAACATACTGCTGCTAATGTACAGATGTAAACATACTGCTGCTAATCTACAGATGTAAACATACTGCTGCTTATGTACAGATGTAAACATACTGCTGCTAACATGTACAGATGTAAACATACTGCTGCTTATGTACAGATGTAAACATACTGCTGCTAACATGAACAGATGTAAACATACGGCAGCTAATGTACAGATGTAAACATACTGCTGCTTATGTACAGATGTAAATATACTGCTGCTTATTTACAGATGTAAACATACTGCTGCTTATGTACAGATGTAAACATACTGCTGCTAACATGAACAGATGTAAACATACTGCTGCTAATGTGCAGATGTAAACATACTGCTGCTAATGTACAGATGTAAACATACTGCTGCTAATGTACAGATGCTAACATATAACTACACTCTTATTTTGCCAAATGTAAAATCTTTTTATACTTCTTTATTATTATTATGTTCAAGATAGAGATGTTGTACTTGTCCTTTGATGCTAAAGTTAGAGATTATATTTTATTTAAATTAGTATAGCTTTTGTTCACTTTTCTTGTGCTGCGTGCTCCTCATTCCTACTGTTCTATAACTTGGGATGCAACACTGAAATTTGGGGATGAATAAAGGATCTCTTCATCTTAAATGCAAACATATAAGACTATAGCTCAACCTTGTATCAGAGGCAGATGTAGGTTCCGTAGATTCTGTTGTATTCTATAGTTCCTAAAGAGTAGCTCTAGGTGTGTGTGAATATCCGTGTATACACTTTATATATGCAGGTTTGACACCCATTTACTTACAGTACAAACTCCAGGGGTGAAGTACTGCCAGCAATACTTCATATAGGCATTGGGTCGGTATCCAATCATATCCTGGATATTATCATACATTTGATCTGCGCCTGAACAATTGTTTATAATTACTTGGAAAAAAAAAATCTATCCTAATATGTAGATAATGCAGTGGTTTAGGTACCGTAGACCCAGCCGACACACACTGACTGAAACACTGCCAGCAACAGCAGTGTCATTCCACTGCAGGCGTAGTAGTCGAAGAGCTGAAAAATGTAAAGCCCTCCCTGCAAAAAAAAACAATGTTATGATGTCACAGATGAACCATAATATTTGTGGAGAGTCTCAACACTCACTTCAGTGACCAGCAGAAGGCCAATAAAGTAACTCCCCACACACAAGCCCAGAAGGAGCAATTTTCTTCGACAATGGTCCTGGAAAAGGTGGGGATACAAGTCCGATATGGTGGTGACCAGAGCCTCCTGATTGACAAACTACAAACGCACAGACGGACATACATACAGTACATGGTGGTTATTAGATATGTGTAATATTTATCTTTGCTCATTAGACTCAAACCTGACCTGACTGTCTAATCCTAATAACAGCAGCATGACAAAAAATAAAATGGCCCAGAGTTGTGGAACCGGCATCATTGCTACTGCACGAGGATAAGCAATAAAAGCAAGACCTGGGCCTACAGAGAGGAAGAATTAAAGCAGTCTGAAATACACATGCAAAGAACTATACGGTTTTTGTTTTTTACATTACCTGACTCAGCTACCACTGAAATAGGCACACCTTGCTCCTTTGCCATGAAGCCCAGGACGGAAAAGATGGCAAATCCAGCCACAAAACTGGTTAAACTGTTCAAAAGAGCCAAGTAAACACAATCTCTGCAGAAATAAGCAAAATCAGTTTCACGGCTCAATAGAACATGAATAAGACATGAAAGTACATTTACAGTTTTGTACTTGTAGCAGTTGTTGGTGTACTTATTGTGACTTCCAAGTGAGCAGAGAATACCCATGCACACGCCGTACGAGAAGAAGATCTGACTGCCAGCATCACTCCAAACCTCCAAAATAGCAAAGAAAAAGTGAGTATTGATGCGCCTCAGTTGTTGCATGAGTGCTTGCACTCTGACATTTGGCCATAGTCAAAGGAGTCTCTCAACTACGACAAGCTTTGGCTGTAGTAGAGTTCTTTTCACACCAAGCTGGGTATTGTAGATGTATTAAAATGTGTATCCATTTGGATGGATAAAAACAGTACCAGTGCTCTAGTGAGTGGCAATTGATTAATAAGTATAAATAAAACACTTACAGTTTTTACATTTACAGTTTACCTCAGGATCAGCCATCTTAGAAGGATCCGGGTACAAGTAGAATATTACTCCTTCTTTAGCACCTGGTAAAGTGAGCCCACGGATTAACAACACCACGAGCATCAGGTATGGGAACGTGGCAGTGAAGTACACCACCTGAAAGCATGGGGGGATAAAACATAAACTGCCATTTTTAATCAGTAGGGTTGACTCAAAAATGAAGAAAATTTAACCTTTCCAGTCGACTTGACTCCTTGCCACACACAGAAGTAACACACAATCCATGCCAGAAGAAGACACAAGGCCAACTCCCAGCGGACACTTCCAAGGTGGTCAATGCCATCGGACAGTCCCAAAATCCTCCTCCTACATGTTCATATACACATCCTACAATCAGATCTCACACTACAGCATGGATCTACAATCAGATCTCACACTACAGCATGGATCTACAATCAGATCTCACACTACATCAAATTGCAATATAAGAATTTAGGTTTGGTTAAATAATTACTAATAAAATGTGTTTTGTTCACACAAGACTAATACAAAGAGTGGGTGGTCTTGATGAGGGTTGGGTAGAAGTACTTACTTATAATTAATTATTTATACAATTTATGAATATAGTTCTCAAGGGTTTTCATGCGCAATAAAGAGATAATGTGCTTCACACCCTTTAAAATTGGAGAAAACAATGCATTCTCAAATGTCACCACTAGATGGTACTTAGGAGTCTAAAGAGTGTTCCCGTTTTGACCAGAGACTGTATAGTATTTTATAGTATTGTAGAGCAAACAGATAAAAACACAGCTCAGTGTTATTATGCATTTGATGTTGTATGGATTACAATTACATGATATATACTTATTACTCTGCACTATATGTGAATAACTTTGCACTAATATATATATTTATTTATTTATTTACTTATTTATTTATTTATTTTTTATCTTTTTGATAGATTGAGATTGAGGAATTTACATCTAGTTATGAAACATAGCAGCTACTTATTTTGTATATTTGGTCTGCTCCCTGTGTTACTTACTACTGTTCTGTATGTGCGCTGCAACATTGAAATGTCTCCACTGTGGGACGAATAAAGAATATCTTATCTTATCTTATGAATAAAGAATAAACAGATGAGACGTTTTGAACATGATGTGCACTTACTCCCAGAACTCCACAACAGAAGACGTAGTGCCCCCATCATGCTGCATATCAGACGTTTGATTGATCCCGTGCTCAAAACACTTATCTTGGTTCAAAAGAACAGGAAGAAATGACACAAAGTTATCACGAGGCAAGGCAAGGCAAGTTTATTTGTGTAGCACAATTCATCCACAAGGCAACTCAAAGTGACACACATATCTACACATTTTGGTCTTGTAAAACCCGCCTTCTTCTCACCTGTGTTCCATGCATTTTGACAGGAGGCCCATGGGAGTTTTGAAGTGAACGAGGAGAACAGATAAAGAAAAGCCCAGGCCAGAATGATGATGTAGTAAACTCCACTGTACAAGATCACCACTTGGCTTCCATAACCGATACCTGGAGGGAAAAGGCAGTGTCCGGTTTCACAACAAAATAACATGATGTCTGGGTGTGTTTGCTTCCTCTTTAAGGTGCTTTTCAGTTTCTCTCCTGCTCTGGCAAAACATTTGGTTGGAGGCAGTCTTGCTTCCATCAGTCTTCTACAGTTGTTGTAAAGCGAAAGGGATGTTCTGAATGGTAAACAACTATATAAACTATTAAACTATTAACTATAAAATATTAAATTCATAAAAAGAGAGCTGGTGTTAAATCAATAGATCAGATTTGTTTTCTATATCTCTTACATAATTACATAATATTTGTTGTGTTTTTATGCCCTGTGCTGTTTAAATAAAGCAGTTTGAATATGAACCGAATGCATTGATATTATAAAGTGAATTAAACCTTGAAACAAAGGGCATAGCTTTCCCCAACAGGTGATTCCTCCTTGGCTGGTGAACTGCCCCAGAGTGGTCTCCATGAAGAAGATTGGGATTCCACACGTGAACAGGAACACCATGTACGGAATCAGGAAGACGCCTTAGGAATAAAATCGAATCTGTTTTACTTTTGTTTGGTGAGATTCGAATTGGTAACTTGAGCATACCTCCTCCATTTTTGTAGCAGAGATATGGAAATCTCCACACGTTACCAAGGCCGACCAAGTGTCCTGCCACCGCCAAGAGGTACTCCATCTTACTGTCCCATGTCTCCCTCACGGGCTTTGCTTCAGCCAGGTCTTGATCCACATCCATTCTTCAAAACAAAATAGAAAATCGTTTAATTAAAAAGGAGAAGGGTTGACAGTGATTGTTGCTCAATGGAAGATGCTGATATTATATGTGTTTTGTTATAACATACAGTAATGCATAATTGTGTTGGATGGTTGGAGACATGTAGGAACAGTAAAAAATAAAGATGCCATACAATTACAAATAAACTGGAACTCTCACATAGTAGTAGACTGTGTATTATTTGCAAATGACCTATATTTAAACACTGCTGCTGCTATATACACTTTACTAAAATCTGCTATTCACACTAAAGTAAAGTCTACCACATACACTATTCTACATAGAATCCTAGTACACATAAACAAAGCCTCTGTATTGTTGCTCACCTGAAGCAGCTAGATCAAAATGAATGAGTTTCAGAGGAGTGGCCAACACTGACACAACCAGTCCGTGGAGAATTGGGCACATTTTCAGAGGAGGTTTGCAATGTATTAGTTACACTCAGGCCTATGTGTCCATGTCCATGTGGCATTTGAGCATGTTCACATTGAAATTGGATTGAAATAAATGATATGAGAGATTGTTTTCAATTTACCTTCACAGGCAGCACTAATACAGCATTTAATGAGCCAAAACTGATTTCATTGTGAAATAGTTTCAGACTACAATCTATCTTTATAAATGTAAGTGGAAGTAGATTTTGACACTGAAATCAGAGCACACGAGAGGAGAGGGTGAAGGACATTGTTATAGATCCTTGTGAAGGACTCATTCTTTGCCTCCTCTCTTCTCCCTCATTTCCTCCCTCTCTCCTCCCTTCTCTCATTTTCTCTCTTTCCTTTCCTCTCTTCTGAACTTAAAATTCTCTCTGAAGTTCAAGGGGAAAACCCCCTCTTTTTTCTTTTCCTTGATCCCAGCGAGTGTACTTGTGATTTGGCAAACTGCAGGATGCAGCTCCTGCAGAGAGACGCACATGCCTCACGACCTGACCACGGCTCATCTCAACCAAACAGGAAGCAAAATAATGGGAGACAAGAAGTTCTTGAGATTTCATTTGGGCTCTTTTTGCGCCATCTGCTGGACAAAGATGTGCACAATCCTCTACTGCAACGTTGTCATAAACCACAATTAGTAATGTTGATGACAATTTGACTGTTTTCGTAAAGAATTTTGCACTTGATAATTGATTTCAACTAATTCAGTTATTCATTATTGTATTATAGATCAATCACTATATTTATACATGTAACTAATTCATATTGATACTTTATTATGGATGTATCAAATTACTTAGCTTACAACAGTTTGCACTGCACTACTATTACTACAACTATACTATCTACAGCTTGTATCAGATACATTGATTAGGGATAACTACAGTTTATCTATTTGAATTTAATAAATAAACTGTAGTTATGCTGCTTTTAGCGGTCTAATTCTGGTTCATTTAATTTCCTATTATGGCCTCTAATCAACCAGCTATACTTGGATTTAGTGATTTATTTATTGATTGATTGACTTATTGATTCATCAGTTGCCATGTAGTGATAAATGTAGTGTACATGGTATCATGTAAATAAAATGTGTACAATGATCAAAAATCAGGATGCATTGGAATGACTGAGGCTTTCCCTGACACCGCTTTTAGAATACTACAGTTTCTGTCATTCTTATTTGTATCTACAAATATTCTGGCATAAAAGCAAACATTGGTGTCATTGTTTTCCAGAAGGACCTTGTGAGTGTTCCATGGAGGGAGAAGGCACAGATGGTCACTGTCTGTATCTACTGCGTGCATCGTCTTTGAAATAGTGCCTCCATCACTCAGCTTTTCTCTTTGGCACATGATATGACATTGCAAACTTCTTTCAAATATTAAACATATCAAAGGTATGACTGAATGTCAACAGGATTTCACGAACTCCTTGTTCCTTGAATTTGTAACTGTTATCAGTTTGCTCCGTCAGCCATTAACAATAATGTGTTCACTCATCGACAGAGCTCCTCTGAATGCGACCAACCTGGACATTCAAATGTCATGTACCAATGTTGACAGGACAAGATCATTAAAGTGGATTACTTCTGTGGGAACTCTCCATTTTGAAAGAGACTATGAAACTATGAAGTGGGGTGAATTAAATGAAAAATTCTCATATTTGTTTTCATTAAGCCCTCAGTCAAAAAGAGTCTGGATGGATTCCTTTTTTTAAATTAGTAACAGACATGCTTAGAATAGAATAGAAGTAATCTTCCAAAAGCTGACAAAGTGGAAAAGAATGAAAAAAGGATTGGGAACTGGGAAAAAGATCTATGAGTCGTTATTGACTGCAGTGAGGCATGCAATTGTGTGTGTGAAAAGTAAAATGCTCCTTCTCTTGTATACAGTAGTTTTCAAATGTCCGGACAGAATAGTGCAGTGGTGGATTCAGTGCCGTGAAATTACAACGCTGTATTGTCTGACCACAGGCTCCAGCACATCCTCAGTGGTCAGAAACGAGACCAGTGGTTCAAATAAACCAAATGAATACATACATAAAAAATGTATGTATTCATTTGGTTTATTTGAGGAGGAACAGATACAAAAAGAAAAAAACAAAACGACAAACAGTTAAGATTCTGAAAGGACTTGTTCTGAGACGGGCTTTTGGCACAAAAGAACGCGCAAACACCTCAGATAAACAATGAACAGTATTCTAGAACACACTGATAATGTGTATTTCCTTCTTTTAAGATTCATCATTTTAAAACAATTTTTAACCTAGTTTTTTACAAAGCCAGGATTTTGGTGGGTCACATCTGTGTAAATTTCTTCATTGCGAGATCAATAAATTGTATCTTATCTTAAACTAATAGCCTGTTTTAAATTCTAAGCCGCATTTTATGTATTCTGTGAATTTTGCACACAAAGGCAGGCACCAGTCTGCAAACTGATTGTATTACTGGTATAGTTACATAGATAATGGGACTTAAACAAAAGACATTATGTACAGTAAGGAAAGATTATTGCATTTTGACTATATAGATATATAGATAAATGTTTTGCATGCAAAGCAGTTTCACACAAATTAAGTTGACCTCTTGCAGTTGCATTTATTTGAACTAGATGTCAAATAACTGCAACTGAGGTGTGATGCAAAGTGTTTTGTTGATTTTTCAGTGACTATCGGGTTTGTGGCATAGTGTTGATGTAATCACAGGGGGCCAGTCAATGGAACTTTTTTATGGCCGATACTGATGCTCTATGAAAAACCCTTTTCTCAATCAGTTTTACTTGTTTAACTTAAAATCAGAGGAAAAAAATTGTCCTCTGATTTTGACCCATTCTTTCAATCATAGTCTGTAAATATGAAGTATTTCAATACACTGCTACCTGTCAGGAGCAGTGGTCGCTGTAGTTGATGCTCAGCTTGGACAGAACCAGAGCTGGAGGGCTACTGTGTTTTAGCACCTGGAGGAAACCTATGAAGACACAGGGAGAACACGCAAAAATGCAAAAAAGACTCTGATCTGTTTCGAGACTCAAACCCATGAGCGAGAGACCACTCAGATACCATGCCGCCCCACGGTATCATTATAGGACATACTTGTACAGAGAAGGTCCAGTTTTATTACTTTACTCTGGGAATAAAAATGACAATAAAACAACACAAACTCTTTGTGAAGTGAACTGCAATGATAGAACACATTATACACACAATATACACTACATATTATAGAAATGTGTTTTGACTGTCCAAAAATTTTGCCCCTCCATAATTTAAAAGTAGCAATATAAAAGTTTATGTGTATTTTTTGGTCCGGCATGATGCGATTGTTTTTACTATATGCATAAATTGGCATAATCATCATAATATATTGTATGTGGGTCAGAACCTTGAACTTTGGCTGTAAAAAACATTGTCCCAGTGATTTACAATGCAGTAGAGAGCATGTTTCTTGGTTTAAAACAAATGGAACACACATGTAAAAGCACTAAATAATTAGAAAAAGAATGAATACACACATGTTGACACCCTACATGGAGAAAAATAGGTTGTGCAAAATAACTGTTATGAAAGTCTTTGTTTACATTGCAAGGGAGCCTCAAATTCTTCATGTCCCTGTGGTTTGTTAGGGCTGTATGAAATATGTTTTGTTCTGTCCGTGTCTGTCGAGCTCTGCAAAAGTAGGTCAGTTTTGGAAAAGAATAAAATGGACCTCAGAGGGACATAGAAGTAATTGCAAGAGAAACGAATTGTGGGTCAACTGTGTATTGTGCAATTAACATCACATCAAAGTGAATAAAGTTACCAACTCCTTGAGATTGTGGATATGATATTTTTATTGAAAGTGTACAAAAAGTAATACAGTGATTTTGTGGACCAGGGAGGGGGAAAGTAATTGGTGTAGAATCTACACCAATTACTTTTGAAAAATTACTCAGGGGTCTAATATTTACATACATCTACACTGTAGATGTATGTAAATATTAGACCCCTGAGTAATTTTTGACACAATCAGCAATGTAAATTTCTACTGTGTGAGAGCAATAAAGTCTATCTTATCTTGTTTTTTTTTACCATATAAAAAGCATTATCAGCAGCTTGAGTCCTGAATAGAACCAGGAAGTATAAGGTCTGAGTCTTTAGTAGTCTCTCCATGACCTTGCAATACATCAAGACATGTTAGGGACTGGCCTCCTGCTGGGTCTCTGAGGAGCACGGACTGGCCTCCTGCTGGATCTCTGAGGAGCAAAGGGACTGGCCTCCTGCTGGGTCTCTGAGGAGCACAGGGACTGGCCTCCTGCTGGGTCTCTGAGGTGCACAGGGACTGGCCTCGTGCTGCGACTTTCCAGTTTTGTAATTAACTATGATTAGCCCTGTACAAAAACTATGCTTTACAAACCAACTTTCCTTTAGGCACGGTGGCTGAGTGGATAGCACTCTCGCCTCTCAGCAAGAAGAGAATCCCGGTTGGACCAGGGCCTTTCTGAGTGGAGTTTGCATGTTCTCCCTCTGTCTACGTAGGTTTCCTCCGGGTGCTCCGGTCTCCGGTTTCCCCCTACCACTAAAAATATGTACAATAGGTCTGGCATGTGCCTCCTGTATTGGCACCCCCACTCCCAAAAATAACAATTGTAAAGACTCCGATGTGCAGTGAAAACGCGGTATATAAATAAAGATTACTTACTTACTTACTTTCCTTTACTTCATGTAACTAAACTCTCGCTGATAATGTCCCAACTCCTGTGGAGAATGCAAATGAAGAGGAAAAAGTATTCAATATTTTCAATCAGTCTTATGCTCAGTAAAAGCAAAGGAAGGTTTCTCACCCATCATCTGTACTTCTTAGCAAGTTTTCCCTTGCTAAGAAGTACAGATGATGGGTGAGAAACCTTCCTTTGCTTTGACTAATCCCTGTACGACTGAGGGCTTACACAAACTTATGCTCAGTAAGTTTGGTCTACACTCCCACACTTTCCACCACAATTCCATCTGAAAAGTATTTCAACAAATAGTCAAGTGTACATAGTAAGTAAGTCATCATGTATATGAGTTTGTCTCTAACTTCACAGAGAGATTGGAGCGGGGTCGTACATGTGATCCATGTACATATGGTCCGTGTACATGTGATCCATGTACATATGGTCCTTGTACATGTGAACCATGTACATATGGTCCGTGTACATGTGATCCATGTACATATGGTCCGTGTACATGTGATCCATGTACATATGGTCCGAGTACATATACATGTACACGGACCATATGGACACAAAGCAGCCACCACATCCCCTCCGAGTCTCCAGTTCACGTGACCACCTAAGCTCCGCCTTAAGTGGCTCATTCATATGAGCAAGAGCACTCTCTCACATACACACTTACGCTCTCACACACGCGCGCGCGCATACGCGTGCTTTGCCTATCAAACGCTGCTTCTCGCGCGCACGCAGCTGCCTATAAAAAGGCGCGCGGGCCCTCATGGTCAGAGTTTGTCTGACACTTGGGGACAGTGTTTCCCCAACAACGGCCTGATGACTGACTGCTGAATGGACGCTTAGGAGAACAGCGGCCCACCGTTCTGCGCAGGTACAATGGTGACAATTGTCTACGTGTCCTTCTCTGGCGCTAATTGAAAGTGTTTATCAGAGTGCGTTACTTTGCGTTACTCTGCGTTACTCTGAGCCCGCAGCTCTATGTAGGCCAAAGGTGACACGCTGTTGGGAGAGGCGCTGTTTCTGCAGTTCACAGTCTATACATGTCTGTGTCACCTACTCATGGGTTCAGCTTCAGCTTCTAGGTCCTCCAACATCTCGAGGACCTGTTACCTATGCATAATATCGTTTTTAGTGCTTAATCACTATGGCAACGGTCGTCATTATTCATCTGTAGTAAGTAGTAAGTAATCTTTATTTATATACCGCCTTTTCACTGCACATCGGAGTCTCAAAGCGGTTTACAATTGTTATTTTTGGGAGTGGGGGTGCCAGTACAGGAGGCACATGCCAGACCTATTGTACATATTTTTAGTGGTAGGGGAAACCGGAGGACCCGGAGGAAACCTACGCAGACACGGGGAGAACATGCAAACTCCACTCAGAAAGGCCCTGGTCCAACCGGGATTCGAACCCAGGACCTTCTTGCTGAGAGGCGAGAGTGCTATCCACTCAGCCACCGTGCCGCCCGTGTGTAGCTACTCCGGGTGGTTGCAAATGTTAAATAAGCTTGGTCAGTGCACAGTTTTGTTATAAATCAACACACTGGACCTGTCTATACCAGTTTTGACTCAACTGTTTTACTGCAATATAAAAATAACCTCACACTACTGACACAGTTGATCTATGCCAAAAGTTTGTAACATAGTTTGTATTCGCCTCATGGGTCTCAGAAATAGGCTTGTCATAAGGTCTATCTGAAAGTCAAAAGTCACAAACACAAGGCTCTCGATACCTTTTACTCTTGTAATCTACTTGTAATTATCTGCTTGAAGGCATAACAATATGTGGCCCTTCTGACAAGGTAATTCTTTGACAAGCTTTATTAGTCACAGTTACGTTTATTAGTCCCTATTAATGCATTATCTATATTATCATCCTTTTGTATTCAATATTGAACTGAATCCAGTATCTACTTTAACCATTTGCATTGATTATGATGCGAATGATGTGGGTATTGATTTTCCCTTCGTTCAATAGACAATATTTCAATCCTAGACTTGTATGATGTCATGTAAATGTTATTAGTAATGTTAGTAAGTGTATGATATCACGGTGATGTGGGTTGTTACAGTAAAAGTGTCTATTGAACCAAAAAACATAGCATTTTCTTGGTTATGGTGTAAACAGACTCATATGCAGCATAGAATACCTGTTTCCCTCACATTAAATAGTTCCTTTTCGTTTTTTAAATAATTATTTCATACCACATGTTGGACTGTATTTGGTTTTGAGGTTTCTTTGTTATTGTTTAGTTAATAGTAACACATCGTTTCTTACTATACATTCCTTTGAGTATTTATGACCAAATGTGTCACTATTAGAAGCTATCGTTGTAGTTACTGACGCACATTAATGAACATCAGTAACAGATGTAAATATGCCGGATTATAGCTACCAAGCTAGTTTTCACCCGTAGTCCCTAGGCAGGAAGATACATAAGAAATGACAACATACAATACAATATAATACAAAATAACACAATACAATAGTGGTCACATGACTGGTTTCTTTTCAGCCATTGTTTGATTGATTAGTGTTAATCGCTGAAGCTTAGACGTTTACAGTAAAGCAGTACAAAAACATATTTCATTTTAACACACATTTTTTACATTTCTACATTTGATGCATCTTCTAGATCACACTTCACTGTATTTGATTATTTAGCTTTTGTTTGAACCAGACTTTGAATGTAAATACCAAGCCAAACCAAAATGTCAAAGGCTCTCAGCTGGGTCGTTGTTTGGATGAGAGACTGATGGGCAGCTGGCTATCACAAGTATGGGTTGAATAGATTATTAGTGGATGATACTAAAACATTATTCCATATATTTAAATCTAAGTATAACAGTGTATTTTTCTCTTTCTTTCATAGAGATTTTGATTTAGTTTGAATGTTCTGGACTCTGGCAAAGGCAAACCATGTATGTATTTGTTTATCTAGTTATTCATTTAGCCATAAATATCAGTCATTTGAGAGACACAGCGTAAATAAAGAGCATTGCTTATTACTGTGGGGCATTCCTGGTAATGTAATAACACAGAAAATGCTAATTAAAAACTGGTAAACTCGAAAAGCACTGGTAGACCACAGATCTCCTCCTTTCATTCTTTGAAAACAAAATCTGCATCACCTACAAAATTAACTCACTCGTTCACTGGGCAGTTGCGCACATTTTCTAAAAGTGTCAACATTATTTTTTAGTTGTGTTGCTCACAGACAAATAGACAAACGCCGGTGATCACATTATCTCTTGAACAAAGGTATTGACAAATGGAGGTAAACATGACATTATGCCATTCCTCTAATTCCTCAAAGGGGAGGGGGGTTTCTTTTCCACCTCTTGATGTCTTTTCTATTCAAAGTTCAAGCAGAATAGATAAGACACTTCATATCTAGATAAGACTTCTGGAGACAGTAGTCACATTTGATAACGCTCAAAGTGTATACTATGATCTCACATCTGGTGTTGTTTTGAAATCCACAACATCAAATACGTTGTAGCTCTTTGAGGGAAACTTTTGACAGGGCAAAACTGGGGCCTGCGCAACACTTGTATTTGCACACATATTTTCTACACTCCCACGTCTAATCCGAGTCAGCAGGACAAAAGCATCATTATGCATCAGGGCTGTATGAGTGAATTCACTGACTTCTGTGTCCTGTAATAAACCACATTATCAGGATGAGGATGATAACTTGTTTTTGTAGATTTTGTGGTAATTGGTGATTTAATAGTTGAAATTCACAGGTTTTGATTCAACTGAGCAGTGAACACGAGAGCCATACAGCATTATTTATTTCTAACCTTTTACTTTTAAGATTCAAAAATCTCTGCCAATAATGTCCTGGTCAAGAGTCATCCACAACACAACCCTCAAAAATATTCATAGAAAACCTCCAGCAGAATATTATTTTATGCTCCATATATTTGACCTATTTTAGTGTGCGTGTGCAAGGCAGTGTGTTTGCATGTGTGAGAGTGGACTGACGGTGTGATCTGGGGGTCACTGGGGTGGCTCTGTTGGTTCAGAGGCCATTAAAAGCACTTTATAAATAGTTTTTGCTTATTTCAAAAATGCTATACTATTTTTTTTTTATCAATAGTGTGTTAACAACGCACAGGATGCTATACGATTTAGGTGGCTGAGGGGATAGCACTCTCGCTTCAAAGCAAGAAGGTTCTGGGTTCAAATCAGGGCCTTTCTAAGTGGAGTTTGTATGTTCTCCCCGTGTCTGCGAAGTTTTCCTCCAGGTGCTCTGGTTTCCTCTCCCACTAAAAACATGCACATTAGGGCTGGCATGCACCTCCTGTATGGCGACCTCCCATCTCTGTGTGGAGTGAGAGACAATGTCCCACAATTGTACAGGGCTTTGTGACTCTGGTCTATGAAAGGCGCTATATAAATAAATATGTTTTACTTACTTACTTAGACAATCTCCTGAATCCATTTTCCCTACATTTTTGTACATATTTTTATTTAACACTGGATAGCACTCTCGCTTCTCAGCAAGAAAGTCCTGGGTTCGAATCCCGGTCGGAAAAGGGCCTTTCTGAGTGGAGTTTGCATGTTCTCCCGTGTCTGCGTAGGTTTCCTCCGGGTGCTCCGGTTTCCCCTACCACTAAAAACATGCACAATAGGTATGACTCTAGATGAGAGAGTGAATGGATGGTGTTGATTGGGGGCTGATGTGCCAGTGTGTTCGGCGACTCGCTTCCGTCATCACCGTGTGTGGACTGATTGGAACAATATCTGAACTCTGAACATTGTAAAGGCTTTGGGTGACCTTGTTCTGTAAAATGCGCTATATAAATAAACATTACTTACTTACTTAATTACTCACTGGTATTGACATAAATAAAAGAGAGCCACCATCTCTCCAGTTTTAATTACTGTGAAAAAAATACTTTTGTTTGTGCAATTAGCGGAGCATAACTAATGGTTACTATGTCACTAACTATACAGTGTCTTTTTCCATTTCAGTACAATGGATAAGACCTTTGTTCCTGACGTCAAGGCCAGAGAGAAGAATGTGTCCCCGCTGCCTCAGAGCACTCTCAGCAGGGGCCAGTGGTCTAGTAAATTTGAGTTTCTCCTCGCTGTAGCAGGACAAATCATTGGCCTTGGGAATGTATGGAGATTTCCCTATCTGTGCTACAAGAACGGAGGAGGTGAGCGTGTACAGTACATCTAATCAACTGAATGTTCATTGGAATCCATCATTGCATCATAAGTTCAGATTGCATTTTTTAATCAGAAGATGAATTATTGCAATTTGTTTAGGAGTCTTCTTCATCCCTTATGTGGTGTTCCTGTTCACCTGTGGCATTCCTCTGTTCCTTTTGGAAACCTCCATGGGGCAATATACCAAACAGGGCAGCATCACCTGTTGGAGAAAGCTTTGTCCCATATTTCAAGGTAAATGTTTTTTTGTTTTGTTTACAGAATCAGGTAAAGATATCGGGGCCTCTTCCCTCAGAAGATATTGTACGTTTGCTATTAGCTTCTTTCCACAAGCAGCCATCTTTGTGTGGATTAAGAGACAAAATGCCCCAAAAATAACAAATATTATAGCGCTTTGTGACTCTGATCTGTAATAGACACTACATAAATAAATATGAACTGCTTACTTACTAACTTTTACCATCAAGCTGCATCTCAACCATTTTGTAGCGCCTTATAATAGAAAAACTATGGGGTAAATAATGATCCGTATTTTAGTTTTTAGTGCTATGTCTTAGAAAACAAAAAACTACTATGACTTTCTTCAAGAAGTGAACATTTAAAGGGTTAAAAAAAAAAAACTTTGAACTGGCCTTGTAGAACATGTTGTGAACAAGTCCTTTTGCAGCTGGGACACATTCCTGCTGTGAGTGAGGGCCAGATCCCGACTCACTGATAATGTGCAGTCACTCTGTCATCACAAACCTGACCAAGTGGGGGAAAAAGGTTTTAGCTGGAAGAAGTTACGCAAAAAGTCTTGTGTGTTTGTTAATGTGACTGTGTAAGTAAGTAAAGTTTATTTGTATAGCGCCTTTTACAGAGGGTCACAAAGTGCTTCACAATTAATAACATACTGAGAACAATAATACCCATGCATGTCAATTCAACCAAAACTATTTTGAAACTATTCCCCCATTGGTTTGAATACACTTTTTATTTTTCTGTATAATATTATCAGCTCTAAAAGGTCGCTGCTGCTCCAAATGGAACACTGCTTACTTCTAAGATTGTAGAGTCTAAGCAGGACTTTGCAAGTGTGGAAATGGTGAAACAGTAATAGTTTCCTCAGTATGTTACATTTGCAATTAACAAACTTGTTTAGTGAACCATTTTTCTTCACGTGTACCAAAGGTCCTCTCAGTCAGCTCCTGGCGGTAAAAATTAACCTTTATCCTTCATCTATTTAATTAGAAAGTCACACTACTGGCCATTTTTTACTTTTCATATTCATTTAAAAGATTATTTTGCAGCAAATAACAACGTGAGTTTCCATATTAAAATAAGTGTTTTATGTGTGTTAATGACTTTCTTCTTGTGTTTCCTCATCTGCAGGCCTCGGCTATGGGAGCCAGGTGGTTGTTTTGTACTCAAGCATCTATTACATTATTATTTTGGCCTGGGCATTCCTGTATCTCTTCTCATCTTTCAGCTCTGAAATCCCCTGGTCAAGCTGCAGAAACAGCTGGAACACAAGTTAGCAACACACATGCACGTTGGTGTTTTATTTGGATCATAAAGTGAATTTTATTTGAATTGTCTTGTCCAGAAACATGTGTGGAATTTGATCGATTGGGCGATCTGAATTTGACCATAGTGGCAAATGCGACATCACCTGTGCGTGAATTCTGGGAGTGAGTGGTTTCATTTATGCCATAATTCATTCATTTATTTGATTGTGTGGTTTTGAATGACGTTGTTTTGTAGGCGACGAGTGTTGAACCTGTCGGGGAGTATCCACGAGCTGGGGGGGATTCGGTGGGAGCTGGCGCTGTGTCTTCTGCTTTCGTGGGTCATTTGCTACTTTTGTGTTTGGCAGGGAGTGAAGTCCACGGGGAAGGTAGGTTGTTGTGATAATGACAAAAGAACAAAAACTTTCTTGGAAGCAGAGAAAGTCGAATTACTTTTTAATAAAATGCCTAGTGCTCTGTGTCCTGGGTGCTCTGACTGCCACCCTCCCAACCCAGAAATGGATTAAGGGGAAGAAAATGGATGGAAGGATGGATGGCCTAGTCACCTAAACTACAGTCATAAAACATTTTAAGATACACGCAATGCAGACAGAACAGATGTCACCGTGATGGGCTAGTGGCTGTTTGGCAGAGAGATGTTATCTTAGGCCTTAGTCTCCATGTTCCATAATTCATTATTTGCCTTCCAAAAATTAAAAGGTTTAACTAAGGTTTTACCAAGGTTCAACAAAGGTACAGATGTACCTTTGTAACCAACAATATATTTCTTACTCTAGAAAGTACAATATTTTATACTTATTATGCTAAAGTTGTAGATTTTAAGTTTCCTTCCTTGTTATGCTAATACTAGACATGTACTTACTTGTTTATGAAGCAAGTTATCTTCTGCCCTTCATGTGCCCTCATTCCTACTGTTTTGTAACCAGTGATACAACACTGAAAAATCCCCGCTGTGGAACGAATAAAGGATCTCTTAATCTTAATCTCTTTTAAAACCTTAATATCAGTACTCTTTGCACTCTTGACGTTACCCCAGTGTGGGATGAATAAAGGTTGATCTTAGATATTAATCTATCTTATAAACATTGTCCATACTTCCGCAGGTGGTCTACATCACTGCCACATTCCCGTATGTGATGTTAGCAGTGCTTTTAGTGCGAGGGCTGACTCTGCCTGGAGCCTTAAATGGAATCAAGTTTTATCTGTACCCGGACCCTTCTCGCCTGAGTGACCCGCAGGTATGACCTGTCTGCACAGAAACATATTCCTGACCTGCGCCACCCACTCGTGTCATCTCATGTGATTGCTGCTGTGTAGAGTTCAACCTATCCACACAGGCATCATGTAAGGAACAAAACCTCACTTAAGAAATACATAGTGGAGTGGCTGAGGCGGAGATTCAGACTCGAGGAACTGGAAGAACAAAGCTCACCGCGGCCAAATTCCTCCCGCTGTTTTTTAACAAAAACCCAAATCAATCACACTACACTGCCAATACTCACCTGGTAGAAACAAGCATTGTCCTGCATCAAGCTTCATATCGCGAGGAAGCTTCATTCATGCAGCAACCCTCCTCCTCCTTGTCTCTGCCTCGTTCTGAGCCAGTTTTTTCACCCTTCTCCTTTACCACTGCCAGTGTCTATAGGCTTCGGGGCATTGCATCTCTTAATCTCCATCTTCATTCAAGTTTTGTCTATTCAAGGCTCTCCAGATTTAAATATTATTTTATAAACTGGTGATCTGCTTTTGCTCACTTTGCTTTTATAGTTATGATTTTGTATTTCTCCAAAGAGATGTATTCCAAATCTACTCAAAGTTACAAGAGGGGGTGACACCAAGCTCAAAGTCAATGCGTTTTGAGTTTCATCACTGCTTCAATTTTTTTTTTTATGTGACATTATATTATGACATTAGTGAAAATGTTAATTAAACCAACTGGTCCTTTGACATTATGAATGTATTAGATGGTAATGTATAGTCCTTTTATGTGTGCCTTTGCCTTACAGGTGTGGATGGATGCTGGGACTCAAATATTCTACTCGTATGCTATTTGCATTGGGTGTTTGATGGCTCTCGGCAGCTATAATAAGTACAATAACAACTGTTATAAGTAGGTTCCTCAAACACATTTGTGCATGTCTAATGAATAGATATTTAATAGATAATATTTCAAAACATGTGTTTTCTGTTGCAGAGATTGTGTATACTTATGTCTTCTAAACAGCGGGACGAGTTTTGTCGCCGGGTTCGCCATTTTCTCAGCCCTTGGCTTCATGGCATATGAGCAAAACACAGACATATCAAAAGTGGCTGAATCCGGTAGGTTTGATCAATATATTCATATCATTTACGATCAACACACAATCAATAAGTTTATACAATATATTGTCAAACAACTGAAAAAGCTTTTTTAATGTTCATGATGACAAGTGACTTTTACATATTCAATATTTCTTTTGCAATAGTCGCCTTTACAACCAGGAGATATAAATCTTTAGACCAAACTTATTTGAGATGATACAGAACAGTTTAAAAAGTGATAACAATGTATAACAATGACTCAGGGGTGACAGTAGCTCAGTTGGTAGAGCACTGGTCTTTGGACCTATTGGTTGTGGGTTTGAGCCCACCTCGACACATGTCACCTGCTCCCACTGATGTCTGCTGTTGTTGTGTCCCTGGGCAAGACACTTAACCCCACATTGCCTAAAGCCCCTGCTGAAAGACCAAGGCCATCTTGTTGATGACGGAGAAGCCATCTTCCCATGGACCCACCACCTGCAGGAAGATCAGTGAGGGACTGGTGAGACTTGGGTGGCAGCTCTGGTTACCACCTCCCGACCCACAAATGGATTAATAAAGGGGAAGACAATGACATGACTGTTGTCATTTATATAACATTGTTGTGATAACAATGTAAAACAATATTTTACTCTTCTGATTTAGAATGCATGTATAATAGTGACAATAATATATTGACAACCCTATTTTTATATTTTCACAAACTTACATTGAAAAGTTTTATTATCAGCTTCATAGTATACGATTCATTCAAAGACAGAGATACACTTCATACAGTTTATTCATGTTTTTGTTCATCATGTTCATCAAGCAGGGTTTTAGAATTTAATGTAGTATGCATTTAGCTCTGTGTCTCAACTCCAAAGGTCATACAGGGATATATTACTCTGGCGGATTGGCTCAAACAAGATTGTAAAATGTTGATAAATGTGCATTATTTTCTGTTGTAACATGACTTTCTCCTTCCAGGTCCTGGGTTGGCGTTTATTGCGTATCCTCGAGCAGTCGCCATGATGCCTTTCCCACAGATCTGGGCCATTTTCTTCTTCATTATGATCATCTTGTTGGGACTCGACAGTGAAGTAAACTTTATTTTTCAAATCAAAATTCCAGAGGCCTCCTTCCTTCCAATATTTTCCCACAATGAAACCAATCCCTTTCAGCGCTGAGGAAAAGTATTTCGCTTTAATGTATGTCTGTTGCAAGATCTGACAAGGAACTCTTTAAGGGCAAATGCTAAACTGACAGGTGTTTTTCAAGGGACTAACTCCTCACTTTGCTGAACTTGACTCAAGGCCAGGTTTCAATTTTCAAATCCATATGGGAAGCAGGTTTAAATGCCAATTCAAATAATAACTTTCTCCAGAATACATTGGATAGAATGTCTGGTACAAATGGCCACTTGTTTGCCTCTGAATGTGAAAGGATGTTTTGAAAAATGGCCTTAAACTCCACAGATATATTGTCATATATCCACCACTTGCAGTAGGGTCAGTGGAGGTTTGTGTACCGGGAACAGCACTGACCCCCCCCCCATCCCCCCAAAACCCAGAAATGGATTAGGGGAAAGAAAACGGATGGATGAATGAAGTCTTTTAAGCTAATTATTAATTTGATAATTCAATCAATCAATCAAATTTTATTTATAAAGCGCTTTTCATACAAACAATGCAACACAAACTGCTTTACAGTTTAGTTAAAAAGAATCCAAAATGCCCAGCCTTAAATCCCACCTCCCCACAGACCCCCCCCAAAGACCACATTTATTATTATATATACACCCATATGCGTGTACGCACACACACACACACACACACATACCCATATATAAAGTCACATCAGGTAAAATAGGTAAAACAATAAAAAGATAGATATAGGGCTGAGTGCAGATGTAACCGGCTGAAGAAGCGCCATCCAAGGAGCCATCTGCACCAGGAGCAGAGAGCCGGCTGCAGCCACAGGGAACGACACAGGACCCAGAGGAGAGAGGACGCCCCAGACCCCACCAGGTCCAAGAGTCAGACCCCTGCAGCCACAGCAGACCCCAGCTCCCGGTGCAGAGGGCTCCTCCAGAGGAAACACTGGGGATACTAAAATAATACAATACAAAGTAAAACATTAAAATGTGAAACTAAAAAGAAAATGGCAGCTGCCTAATATTAATATAAGAATAGTAAATGACAAAATAGATAAAATAAAATAAGAATAAATACATTTATAAATTAACTAAATTGCACTAACAATAAATAATAAATACTAGTCAAAAGCTAATCTAAAAAGGTGTTACAACATAATTGGTTTCAACATTATTTTTTATTGAAGTAGGAGGTTAACAACAGTGTTTGTATGGTGACAGTAGCTCAGTTGGTAGAGCATTGGCCTTTGGGCCTGAAGGTCGTGGGTTCGAGCCCACCATAAGACCTCCTTCACAACTCCCACTGATGATTGCTGTCGTTGTGTCCTTGGGCAAGACACTTAACCCTACTTTGCCCAAAAGCCCCCACTGAAAGATCTCAGCTCCTGTGGACTCACCACCTGCAGGAGGATCAGTGAGTGGCTGGTGCTATGTGTACTGGGTGCAGCTCTGTCTGCCTCCCCCCTGACCCAGAAATGGATTAAGGGGAAGAAAATGGATGGATGGATGGAGGTTAACAGTTGGAACGGATTCAGGGGACTGCACAGAAACATCTTTAACCAAACATCATTGACCTGCAGCATTTCCCTCAATTTAACACTGAGATGTAACTACATCTTAATACGTCTTTCTATCTTCACTGCTATGATTACTGTGATACTAACACAACTAACAGCAATCACTTCTCCATCAAAAAGTTTTGTCTACATTAAGAGAGTCATGAAGAGTTATGAATGGAGCGATATCAAGTTTGTATTGTTTTTCAGTTTGTGGGACTAGAAGCTTTGGCTACGGCTATTTCCGACCTGTACCCGGGGTACTTCCAAGTGGGACATCGTCGGAAGTTCCTTCTTCTCGCCATCTGCATCGTCAGCTTCTTAATTGGACTTGTGATGGTCACGGAGGTAAAGGACAGATGACAATTCAGGAAGATACATCTTGTGTAAAAATAAAAGCATTTTTGTTCTACTATACCAGACAATGGTAGGTTAGCGATGTACCTTGACATGTTTTTGACGGATGCTTCCAGCTTCCATTTCAATGTATTCTTGTATAGCCCTAAATCACAACAGTAGTTAAAGGACAACTCACCCTCAAATCCACTTTTTTTTGCTGATAAACGGTATAAATGAGTGTCCAATAGTGTTGTCTACATATCCTGGTCATAATCTTGTCACTTTGGTGCAAATTAGTTGAAAGTTAGACTTTCTGCCTAAAACCGTCTGTGAGGCGCCATCTGCTGGCGACCTGTATTACTACATTTGAATTTTGAATCTGGCGCCAACACTGGCACTGAAGTTGGACCTGACGTCTGCAAGTTGGACCTGACGTCAGCAGCCCCCCGCCCAGAGCTATATAAACAGCCCAGTCTCGTTCACGCCCCCTTTAGTCCTCCAGGCTACGCCCATTAAGAGGAAGATTTGAACAGGAAATGTGAGTGACGTAAGCTCCGAGGAGCGGGGGTGAGAACCACTTTAATCAGAGGACTGAACAAAACCGTTGAGTTTGCCAAAACAGATCAGAGAATCCAACAGTTCAAACACAAAGAATAGAGAACACATAAGTATTTGTCTAAAGGGGGAGTTGACCAATGTCCACGAGTGTTGAGAAATGTCCATACATGTTGAATGTGAGTGTCCTGGATCATCACCTCAGAATTAAAGTTATTAAAGACAGATGATGGATGGCATTTCTGAGGGCTGTGTCACACTTCAAAAGGAAATAAACCCAAAATGCAGGACTGCAAAGTAAGTGATTTAATAAACACAAACATTTAATATACATATTACAACAAATTATAATTACTGCTGTCCTGTATGTGCGCTGCAATATTGAAATTTCCCCACTGGGACAAATAAAGGTTCTCTTATCAGTTTTAAGTCGCTGCAAGGCTATTAGCAAAAATGGCCAGGCTCCTTTTTTCAAAATTCACAGCGCTCACGACATTCAAGAAATTCACGACAACTGAAAATAATGTAGTTCTAACGCCCGACCAGTAGTGGGCAGTGGAAGCTCACAACACAAAACTCAAAAGTATAATCACTTTCTCAACAACATCCTCCTCGGGCCACGTCAAAGATGTGAAAGAACGCAACAACATATTTTTGTATTTAACAGTAGCAGTGAAAATGGAAAATGCGTGAAGCATACTTAGCATTTGTTGACCCACCACCGTTGTTGTTGTTGTTCTCGGCTACTGCGCATGTCCAAATGTATGTGCGAAAGTGGGTCATTGTTGCCTGAGAATTCAAACCTTCTTCCTACTGTTGTGACACAGCCCTCGCCTCGCAGCGTATCTGTTCTGTTCCACTCTAGAGGCCGTTTCTCAACACTTGCATTTTCACCCCTGAAACAGTCTTTGTGTAAACAAAAGCCTAATCCGATACCCAACTCTAACATTTTACTAGCGCCCTTGTGTAAACGGCACAACAGATTTCCAGGATGCAACCAATGATCCAACAGTCTGTATCGGTTATAAAGTATGTAGCAGTGTGTGTTCAGAAGAATCATTCTTCTTTGTGTTTTGACTTTTAGGGAGGACTCTACGTGTTCCAGGTGTTTGACTACTATGCCTGCAGTGGTGTGACGCTCCTACTGTTCGCCTTCCTCCAGGCTATGTGCATTGGATGGGTATATGGTGAGATTTTTATTATCAATATGAATTTGACCAGCCATGTCAAACTCAGGCCAAATCCGGCCCGCAAGATCATTTTTAGTGGCCCCTGAAATTATTTAGAGATTAAGCTGCAGCATTAATGGTAATAGGCTACGCTGGCATGTTATACCTCTTTTTAAGTAAAATATTCTCAACCATTCTCAACAACCATATTATTTTATTTGTTCAGAATTGTTAAGTCATCATGTAATTAGAAGTTATATTGTTGATTATATTTTAACAAATTGCCCATGTGTTCTTGAGATTTGGCCCTGTTTTGGTTCAATCCGAAGAAATTGAACTCATTTTGCTCAGAAAAATCTATAAGAAAAGAATACCCGGTCTAACGAATGTGAATGTATCAAAAAGTTTTTTTTTTTTAAAGAAAACCCTTTTATACTTTTGGCACCCAACCATCCCTTTAATTTTTTATTCAGCCTTAAACCAATTAGTTGGACACCCCTGTCCTAGACCATAAAGTACATATTCCATTTTTTTAAAGCAGTGTTTTTTTCTTATTTAGACAAACGGGGACAATGTACAATAAACTTTAACATCAAAGGGATAGTTGCATTGTACCCGAATATAAAGTAATAATTTCCACCTCCAGCCTAATTTCTTTTCAAACAATGAAGATGAAATCCATCCACTATTAGTCTTCAGTAGTATTCTCAGGCATGGACCAAAGAGCAGCTGTTTCACACAAGGTCGTCTTTTTAAATGTGTATTTACACAAAAATAGTGATGTGTATTTATGAAAAAAAATAGCTTCTATTAAAATGCTGTACTGGTTTAATAGTTCTGTCTTCTCAGGGGCAGAACGTTTTTATGATAACATCGAGGACATGATTGGGTACAGACCTCTGCCAATCATAAAGTATTGTCTGAAGTACGTCACTCCTGTCATCTGTTTGGTAAGAACAATATAAAAGGTTGTGTTATTTATCAGACTTTTGCATGATTGTCAAAGTGTTTTCACAGGGGACATTTGTGTTCTCTCTGGTGAAATACACTCCTCTGAAGTTCAACAACACCATAGAGTACCCATGGTGGGGCTATGCGCTGGGCTGGTGGTTCACACTGTCCTCCACTCTCATGGTGCCCATCTTCATGGTCTACATGTTGAGCATCACTCCAGGAACACTGCGCCAGGTTCACTGACGGCTTCATGTTGGTTCTAATGCTGTCACCACATATTGACCTTTTGTTTTGTTCCACAGAGGCTCTCGACTCTATGTGCTCACTCACCTGACCTGCCTCTGACCAAGGCGGACCGGGAGTCCTTGGAACAGCACGAGCTGAGTTTGTGCATCGACACAAAACAGTCTCAGTGACTTCTAAGCACTGTCTGTGTGCGCACTTTTAGATATATGTAAATGTGCCAAAACAACACTAGATCATTTAAAACATTCCTTCTGTTAGAATATTCTCTATATTCAGTACAGCCTTCAGTGTTAGATATAAATGTATTATTAAGGTCTGCCATAATATCAGTTTACTCAAGTTTTGCCAATGTGGCTTGTCCTCTTTCCGAATGTGTGTTCTGTGGGCTCAAGGTCAAATTACACTGAACTACTGTGAAAGGCAGAGGTTCTTAAAGTCGGGGCGGGGCCCCCGGGAGATGTGAGACACTAAGAGGTGGAGGGGCATGTGAGATCCTTTTGATATGGCTCCAATTAATAACACTACAATTAATGTATTATTTTTGAACTCTTAGAGATAGTTTAGATTCATTTGGTTCTTCTTTAAGATAGGGATGTATTACCTTGACATATTTGGACAACAAACTTCCGTCTTCCTCAAAAGCACCTTGCATCATCAAACATGAAGTGCCTTATCAGCTGTCCTTCCCATGGGCAGTCAATCCAGCTCCAGCGACCGATGTCGAAATATGTAATTCTAAAATATTATTGCAATATACTATTTTTGTGTACGCAATAACATTACACACTATTTCTGGCAACTACGTGAATAAATCAAAGCTAGAATAAATGATCTAAATCTCAGTAAAGTGTGATAAAATATGAATGCTGTGACATTTTTACGAAGCCATTCTTGTTTTTAGTATAAATTTTTCTTGTATTTAACAAATGGCAAGCGGCCTTTTAACTCTACAGGTTACACCATTCATGTTGAAAAAATGACTTTATAAACTGAACTTTTATTTTTGTAATTTTGCTATCATGGATTAACTTTGGAAACAAATAAAATGCATTATTAAAATTACATGTTTGTGTTTTGGAATATGTAATAATCAGTATTTGTTTAAATGAAGCAAACTTAAACACCACGGTTAAAGCTTAGAGGGTTCTTTTAGGAAGACAAAATGTAACGAGGATAGTGCTGATTAATGAACAGAACCACCTTCAACAAAGACATAATGAACTTTAGACATTTAAACACCATCTAATGCAAAACTATAAAAGACAAGGAACAGTAAGGGTTTTAAATGCAATTTTCAGATGTATACTTTAAAGTGCAAAAATAAAAATATAAAGAAGACATGATCAAAGGTACCATCAATCGTATTGTTGGGGTGAAATCGTTTTGCATAAATAAGTTTGAAAGAGCTTGTTTCTTTTCCTTTACTGGAAAGACAGTTTGGGTTGTCAGTGATTTGGTAGATGCCGCAGCAGTTCTGTCTAATCTCTTATCGGCCTCCACTGCTGTACAAGTTGCGATTCGTCCACATGTTTCCTGTTTTTCCCAAAAAGTTGTTTTCAGATGGATGATTGCTGCGACAAAGGGGAATAGAAGTCCTTCAATGCTACTAACTAGAAAAAGTACTTCATGCTCTTTCCACTGTACAAAATATTTGAATGTTCGGGAGCCAGAAATACTTGAAAACATTGAGCCAAAAGCTTTGTAAAAACGTTGCAACATACAACAATATTAACATACATACAAACACATACATACACAGGCAATTTACACCAAATGTTTAAGACAGCTGAGGTTTCATTCTGAACCGATCTCAAGTCTACAAAAGTCCAGAAAAAAAATCTAGACATTTTATAAATCAAAAACAGTGTTGATTTGACCCTCACCTGAGTGCATCATTGTCATCCATCAACCACAAAAAAATAGAAATAAAAACATTTAAATAGATGCACACGTAATGTTTCGGGTGTAAAGGCAATACAAATAGTAAAACAAAGCATATACCTGTCTGGAAAATGTGTGAAATGTTTCAAAAAAGAGCAGCGTTTAAATCTTAGGATTCTTTTACAGACTCAAGCAGTAATAACAGTATGAGCGTAATGGTCTGTGCCAAATATGATTGTTTTGTTGTTTTTTCAGTTAAACTTTGCTTAAACAATTTACTAAATTTGGCAAGTGCAGATGCCATGAATGATAAGATGTATACAAACTTTGGGCAAACTTGCAATATTGAACTATTTTGTTTTATCTTATTGGGAGATTCGGCAAGAGTTACAGGGAAAGGATTCGGATCCTGAACGAGCCCAAGCAGAACTGGTCGTGATAAATACTTAAAGGCATGAATCCTTAAAGGCACCCCAGTCATAGATCAGCAAGTAAATGTTCTACTGGTCTCTTATTGAAAATGATTTAATGCAATGACATTTGCCAAATGAAAACAGCTAAATGTGCTGAACCTACTTAGATCTTTCAAATTAAAGCTGGTGTACCTAACAGAGCAAACCAAACAAGCCGTCTTCTTATTACAAAAGCATTTCACCTTCTTTTACACAATGACAGCTGAACAGTGTTTTTTTTCTGGGATGACATTATGTGGAAATTGTTGTTCTGACAAATTTATCCTCAGGGGACAATAACGTTTACTCTATTCCATTGACTGTGGGCTGGTACTTTTGACTTGTTTGCACTGACAGCCAAAGCAATTTCCAACTCTGTGACTTCCTGTTACTTAAATGGCAATAAAGATCATTCTGATTCTGACTTTTCTACCTGAAAAAGCTCATCTAAAGATGGCTGAAGCCAAAGGTGGCAGAGGCCAAAAATACATCCATGTGAAAAGAAGTGACAGAACAGGTTTTACAGCTGGGAACTCGTGACAATTATCATCAACAAGTACATTCTGAGTAGTTTCAAAGTTAGGTACTCCAGCTTTAATGCTATGAGTAAATAAGTTGCGCCTTAGCCTGATGTGATTTCATATGAAATTTAGCAATGCATTGGTTAGAGAGTCATGAACTATTAGCACCATCTCAATTACTTGCAATATAGAAGGGTCAAAAGTCCATAAAATGGTGTAGAATGCAAAAACCATGAACAGCTTGTTGGACTGGTTCACTGCTGCTGTTTTCTTTCATTCTCTTTTTCTGACTCAAAACACAAGCCTTTTTTCCTCTAAACATAGCCCACTGACTATGTATTTACCTAACAGTGGTCATAAAGACAAGTCGGATCTGTATATTTGGATACAATATTTTTTCCCAGCTGTATTTTTTTACTACTTTGATGCGACTCATTACACCTTTTTTTCATATTGCACATCAACAACAACAACATTTCAAGTCAGAATTCCGAAAACACAGATGAGTTCTCGCAGCTGCTCCCGAGGAAAATAAAGAAAGATAATTTACAAACTAATTGTAGAGTCTGCAAATGACAGTGTAATCCACAACAAAACAAGAAAGAATGCACTTCTCATCATTTCGGCTTGTGGCTTTGGAAGGTCCGGTAGGAGTGGTCCACTGGATTTGGGGAGAAATATGTTTGGATTTTGAGGCTAAACTCTTTGTCTGTGCTCCATGGATGTTGAGTGAGCTACTGAGAGGACAGTTTTGTTCAAACTCCCTTTAGTTCAATGGTCCGAGTCGGTGAGTCACTCCTGGGATGCACTTCGCGACCGGCGCCGCTTGATGCTGCAGACTTCACCGTTTAGGCCGTTCCGGAGGCCGTCGTCCCTCCGCCTCTTCGGCCGGACACCCTGTGAGCAGACAGCGTTGGAACATCAGACATAAGTATTTTTGAGCAGTTTAGTGCATGAGTGAAGGTCATACTGTAAACAATGTCAAATCAATCCCAAAAACATGCCTGTTCCGAACTATATCTGTTCCCAATGTGTAAGGCGCACATAATAAGGTCAGACAGTGACTGCGTAGTACAAAGCAATGTTTTTTGAGGTCTCACATGTGCCCACTAGATGGCAGTGTTCACCAGAAAACAACGACTGTATTTTTATTGTATGTGCAATTAAAATATCGAAAAGCTGTTAACATTCTGCATATAGAACATCTAAATTACAAGAGGGTTAGGGTTAGGGCATATTTCCATGATTAATGGAGTTGGATACTTGCTTGTCAATACTGGTAGAACAGTGGAATGTCTCCTCACAGTAAAAATGCAAAGTTGAACTAATATCAAGTTTCAATAATAATATATTTCAACAAATGATTTAAAGCATCAATAACTGAAAGGGGTAAAGCAGGTGATGGACCACCACAGCGGACACAAAGTGTCTTTAGTGTCCGCTTCTTTCGTCTGACTAAACATAAAAACACCCTTCTTTTCTCTCTCAGATTATTTATTTTGTGTGCAATTGTTTTTCCTTGTGTTCTTTGTGTACCATGGTGTGTTTTTTTGCTGTGAATTGTTATCAAACTTTGTTTTCTAAAACAAAAATCTAAAAAAGCAACCCACCTTGGCGTCCCGCTCTGCAAACTTCTGGAACATGTTGGCGTAGGTTTTCTTGTCCTGCTCATCGTGCTCTCGGATCTTGCTCTGACAAATGGAGATTTGGGAACGCGCTGCTCGATTCTGAGGACTCACTTGAAGGACCCTCTGGAAGTCCACCATCGCCAAATTGAACTCGTTGCGCAGAAGTCGGGCCTCTCCTCGTCGATACCACGCTTTCTCATTTGTTTCATCTAATTCAATCACCTACATCCGGAACACAATAATGTTGAGGCACTGTTACAAAGACAAAATGCATTGTTAAAATACTACGGTAAATCTCCACGTTTGCACTTGTTCTTTGCTGGTTTTATATACCACACATTTTGTCACTTTTTCCAGTAGTTTTCCCTCAATTAAAAAAGTTCTGGAACAGTTTTGTATTTGCAAACATATTATTTTGAAAACTATCTTGGAAAATGTTAGCAACTCGGCCGGTTTCTAATAAGACACTTGTAGCCAAACATAGAAGAAGTGGAATTAAATGACTTAAATGAGAAGCTGCACCACCAAAATAGCACCACACATGATGACCATGAAGATGGGCACCATGAGAGTGGAGGACAGTGTGAACCACCAGCCCAGCGCATAGCCTCACCATGGGTACTCTATGGTGTTGTTGAACTTCAGAGTACAACATCTCACCTTGTTGCAGTTCTCTATGACTTGAGAAAAGTCCTTGACTTTCAGGAAACACATCGCTAAATTGAGATGCGCCATCACAAGAAACTCTTTTATCCTTTTGTGCTGCTCGATACCGCTCCCACACTCCATCTCCAGCCACGAGATGATGCGCTGGTACTGAACCACCGCCTGGTAGAAGTGACCTGCCTGCAAAATAAGGTTCTGTGTGAAGTAGGCCCATATGTTATACAGGACTCATCACATTTAATAAAAACATCTTTATTGTCACTCGATAGTGGTTCTGTGAAGCCTTATATTTATATTTTATTATATTTTCAAATTATAAAGAAAACAAACCACATCAATAGTAGTTGTGGATGAGGTACTTAAATAAAAAAACTGCCCATTATTCTCTGCAAAAAGCCTCCAGTTCCTGTAAATTCCTGAGATTTCCAGAGATTGGCTCAATTGTGTTACAATTTGAAAATAGAAAATACAATCATTTAAAAATATATTGCTTCACACAATCACTTATGAGAGGAAAAAAGTAGGAGACAAGCAATACAGTTTTGAGTCATAGAAGTGGAGCAGAGAGCTGACACAATGTGAACATTCAGGTTTTTCAGCAGCAAAACATCTGAGATTAAGGGACTGTTCGTAATAGTTTATCTATAGCTTCTATAGCGGCCCCCAGATAACAGGTGGACCTGTAAAAATCATATTTGACCTTTTCTCTACAACAAAAATACAATGAACAGGATGGCCATGATGTTTACCATATTAAGCAGATGGGGACTCTTAGTTGGGTTGCCAGTTTATAAGCTGGTTTTAGCTTGATCTTTTATTAAAAAAACACATTTCACAAGCATCAAAATAGCACCACACATTTGTTTGACTGAAAGCAGGTAGAATAATAAGTAATTATATATAATACTGTTTGTATGGTTTCTATCTTGTCATCATCAGTAATCAGTGCTTAGGAGTGAAATATGCTGAAGGCAGGGAGATTCTGTCTCTTTAAATAATTTACAAAAAAAGAAGATAAAGATCTGAGGCATTCCAACCTCATAAAACTTTCTTTATTACTAAAGGAGCTGCCTACGCCTTTCTGCTGCATGAGGCCTTCGTTATTGTGTTCCTGCAGAGCACCCAACTCTACATAAAAACACCTCTCACACACTCGCCTTACTTGGGTTTTATATCATACAGAGGAACATTCCAAATAAAACAATCATTTCTATGATTTGGCAAGAAGCAGGTAGTGGACTGCTCAGAAAGGTTGCACAATGAACATATGAGTAGATGCATCATATAAAGTAAAACTGCACCTTAAAATATTGATTCCCTTTGTGCTTCACACCAGGAGCAAGATCCAGCTTTTCATTTAAGTCCATCTCCCAGGATTCTTTTGCCTTCAAAAGAAATGAGTTTAGAATAAGAACTGTATGGAAAGAATACTCTTACATTAGGTTTACTCACCCTTTGAAAGTCTTTTAAAGTCACTTCATATTCAAGCTCTTTATCTGGACCAATTTTAAACTCTGGTTGACCTTCACTTCCAAAGCCATACCTGAAGATAAAGAATAACTTAATATACAGTAACATTCAGGTTTTAACAGTATTTTATCCCTCTCTTGCTGACTTTTTTGTGTTGCAATATTTCTTTCTCGTGTTCTTTGTGTATGACATGTTTTGGATTAAATTTCAATAGTGAATATTTAATGTTTATGTAAAAAGATAACTAGATAATAAAAACAATTAAATAAAAATTCAATGTATTCTTGTCTAGCCCTAAATCCCAACAGTAGTTATCTCGAAGGACTTGACACAACCGTTGAATTCGCCAACACAGTTCAAACACAAGAAATGCAATATTAGAAAACACATTAATCCATTGGTCCATAAGGGACAGATGACCAATGTCCATAAATGTTGGCATAAATAAAAGTATAAGTAAATCATCACTGACTTTGATTGTAGATGCAGGACGCAGCATTCTCCTTTCTGCATCTTGTCCATAGCTCGGTCTACGCCCAGCGGGATGCCTTTGTCCTCGCCTTCCCCAACACTGAAGCTCACGTCTCTGCAGTCAAACAGCTTCCCCTCACATCTGCCCTCCAGATGCACTGTGGGAGGGAAATGAACCATGAGATTCAACAAAGATAAATAATCTTTCACTTAAAATGACTTCCTTGCTATAACTGCTGTCAGCTAAAACAAGCTGATATCGATCTATAACCTCTCAATTACAAAGCCCTGTAATTCCAATCCTGATCACACCTTTTTGAAAATAAATTAAAGAAATATATTAACAGTTTGTGTCTGAATGTTGTGGCAAATTTCCAGCTATGTCCTTCAAGCCAGTTTAATGAGGGTTTATTTGAAGGGACAATATACAAAGACATTGTTCAAGAGGCCTCCTTTCTTCACCAATAATGTATCTGAGGATAGATATTTGGTAATGAATATACACACAATCTGTTGCCTTTGTCACAGGCAACGGATTCAAAACTCTTCATTGTAACTTTATGAAAAAGTAGGTTGCCATTGCTGTCTGTAAGGAGAGAGCAACATTGTATTACATTTATTTATAAAGGACTTATTGAACAAGTGCTGGATTGTCTAACATACTTGTTCAACTGGAACTTAGTCTCTCTGAACACAGCTCTCTTTTAATATAAGGCTTTGTTAACAGTACTATCATCCTGTTGGGTGAAGGGGACATTTACCATGCACAGTGGCTCCATCGTTGGGACTTACGAACCCGTCCCCTTTGAGTTTGATTCTTCTCATGATGCCACCATCGTCTGTCAACAACTCGCCCTCAAAGTTCAGCAGCTCCATCTGTTGCAGAAAATGAACAAATAAAAATCAAGGAATTACTACAAAATTGGCACCAAATGTTGTGCTGATGTAAATCCCATTTGTCTTTTCTGAACACAAATATAATCATGACAAAAAGCTAAATGAAACACTTGACACACAGTAGAGCTGCAAAAGGAACTGAATAATCTGGCATTTTCACAGAAATACAACTAAATCAAAGTAACCATTTTACCAACCAGTGTTGGGTGGAACCCGTTAGACTAACAAAACAACTTTTTCCAGGGAAAAATAAAGTAAAGCGTTAACAATCAACAATTTAGTAAAGCAAAGCCGTCTTTTTCAATCTGCCGCAACGTTACTTTTTATTGACCACGGGCAGCTGTGACCATCTGCTGGTGCATCAGTCACGACTCGTTCCACATCTTATGTGAAGCTAGAGGCCGCCGCTAGTGGTGGCGCCGCTCATCGCGGACGCTGTGCCTGATCTCATAGACTCAGCGTCTGCGCTAAAGGACATTGCATCTTCCTCCTCATCAAAAGAAGAAAAGTCAGCCTCACTGGTGCTGCTGTGAGCAGAAACTTCTCTTTGTTTATTCTCAGCTGGCTCTTCATCCTGGGGTTAGAGATCCTACAGCGACTCCCCAGAGTGAGAGGTGCTCATGAAATACAACAACCCCATGTTACTTTCTCTGTGGTATTTTGATAATTATCAGCATGAAAGAAAAATCTGCTGAGTTTCATAGTAGAACTTCCTCAACAGATTTAACAACAGTTCTGCTCAAAGTTGAGCAGAATAACAGTAAGGATACCAATTAGTAACAAGTAAAGTATCATAGTTACTCTCTAAAGAAAGTAATTAAGTAGAGTAACAGGTTACTTTTTAAAAGAAGTTATGAGTAACAGGAAAAGTTACTTTTAAAGTAACTTTCCAAACACTGCTGCTACACATGATGATGTATGAGCTCTTCACACTTTTTAGAGATGAGAGAGAGAAGATAGTGACAAGTCACTTAAAAATATGATTTATAATACAGAGTACATCATAACTCCACCTGAGAGTCACATACAGTACCACCAATCACTGAACCACAACATTAGTCTAAATAGAAGAGCATGGGAATAATGTAGCTACCTCAAAAATGACAGTGGAGTTGGGAGGGATTTTGTCAGGATTCCCAGCACAACCATAAGCGTATTCAGGCTTACACAACAGCATGGACACCTCTCCTCTTTGCATGGACAGCACTGCGATGTCCCACGCCTTCAGCACTTGGCCTGAGGGAGCAACATCAAATACATGATTAAGTCAAGCTGCTCGAGACACGAGGGACTGGACAGAAATGTGCTGTTCTCTCAGGGTTTAGAGACGGATTCAGAGTACTTTGTTCATGCTGATTAGGGCAGTAATTCATGGATAAATTGCATCTAATTGAGTTTTATTAAATATTCCACAACTGTTTTAGATTCATGAGTGGCTAATTGTTACCTGCTCTATAAGCAGACTCATACATGCCCTGAGAGACGTGTTTTAAGATACAAAATAGAGCTGGGTCAAATTGAGATAAACCATCAAATGTGTGTTCTAAAGAACTAATACATTTATTGAAATATGAATAATAATAACTGCTAAATGTATTAAACAACAATATAATATTTAGTTACAGCCCTGACAACACACTACATTTAGAGATGATTCAAGGAGCAATCTGAAAAAAATAAATATAACCTACACTGACTTTGATTTTTCATCTTGTATTAATAAATAATATGTGTTTATAATGCAAAAGAAGATTAGTTCAAAACATTCTCACTTGGGTCTACAGAAGAGTTACCATCTCCATGGGAAAAATGGAGATGGTAACTCTAGGGGGAACCATCTGTAGGGTTACAAATAGGTCGCACATGTAGATGCATGAGAGACTATATATTATGAACAGAAGACATGTGACAGTTAGAGCACGTCCATCCAAACACTACATAACAAACAGCAACAGTAGACAGTATGTGCTCACAGCTACGTTCACTAAATACACTTACATAAGAGTTATGTAGATAAAACCAAAGGAATGTTGTTAGGGGGAGATGCGGAGCATTCCCGAGACGTTACACATCACAATGTGAAGATCCAAATTCAATACCTTAAAAACAGTCACGTACCTTTTCCTACATTGAAGCTAAAAGACTCTTTCCGCTCTCGGCTGCTGTCGAAGGTTTTCCCGGTGAGTAACTTCCCTGTGTAATGTACAGTCACTTTGTCCCCAATCATTGGCCGGTCACTGCTCAGACCCTGGCGCTTCACAACCTAAAAATATAATCATAAAATTAGAAGCTGTTTATATTTATATTTATACTGCATTCACACCTCAAATTTTACCTATTTTTTATAAAATGTTTGTACTTTGCACTGTAATCACTACAATGTCCTCCTTCTGCATTTCTCATCCAAGATAAGATTTATAGTTCATTTGCAAACGCAGAGGCTTCCCCTGTGTTATATATATTTACCTTGAGAACTCCTCCGTCCTTTTTGGGCGTGATATCGATGCCCTTCGAGACAAACGGTGGCGGTACAGCCTGACTGTCTGGAGGTAAGTCCTGGTCAGTGGTCATCTTCTTCCACTTCACTTGTTAGACTGAAAAACAACAGATGATTAGCGTTATTGTATAATATCATTTGTGGAGGTTGTCAGGAAATTCATGATCTGCCTTTTTTTTTTAAACAACTTTATGTAAGATTCTATTTAAGGAAACTTAAAGCGAACGGTTCCCAGGCTTTTCGTAGAAAGGGGAATAAGAATCTAATCTGTAACAATTCATGTGAAAAAGGAAGTTGCTTGTTTTTTTAAATGTTGCATTATTGTTCTATTTTGTTGCTTAAGGTTCATCTAGGGACAGCAATGCTTAGTCTATCTCTGATTATGTTTAGAACATTTCCAGGAACAAAATTGTTACCACTAACTGCTTTGGTTTGCTGCAAAACAAGAGCCGAACTCGTTTTCAGATGTAAATACACACATAATTATTCATTTCTTGTGTTTTTATGTTTTTATGTTAATTTTTTTTACCACCATTAATATATTAGAGAAGTCTTTCATCTAAAGATTACTTACTTACTATCTAATCTCTGCTGTTCCTAGCACTGCTTATTTCGATTAATATTACTTTCAACAAATACATTCAAACCACATGTGACAAACACAAGGCCTGCCATCCTGAACTGCTTTTCAATGACTACGATTAACACGCTAATAAAAAGGTAATGGCTACTACAGCATGTTATTCCTTATTCATTGTGTAATACTCAAATTCAAACTCAACAAATAGTTTTAAATCATTCCATTTATGTTTAATAGATTTGTAAATTATTTGGACTGTAATGCTCTTTTTTATTAAGAATTATTAAAATGACATGATCTTATTGTCATGTATAAAGTTCAGAATCACAAAGCCAGGGCCATGGAGAGTTCACGTGAGGTTCATCCGTCTTTCAGAAAGCAAATGTGAGAACTAGTGTGTAAAGATTTCCAGATTCCTCTGTACATACAGACCACTCCCATAAACAGAGATTACAACGTTACACAATCAAGAGAATTTTTTGCAAGGTCTTATCTCGTATTAATCAGCCAATCAATCAATCTTTATTTATAGAGACCTTAGAATACCAAATGCAAGTGCACTTCAAAACATAAGAATCAATAGCCACAACATTACTGCACTGAGGAGGAAATTAAAAAACCTATATATACACATTATATATATACACACACAGACCTCGGACATTTCCGTCCAGAAATAGCAGAGCTAGGAACAGCAAAGATACTTCGTAGAACCTTCACGCTCCCTGTCTTCTGAACTAGAATAAGCGCACCTTCCTAGCATCTGTACAGTACATCATATTGACCGATCTTTTGCACAGCGCTGCTACACATACTGCACATATTTTTAAAAAAGACAAATAACTGCTACAACAAATACAACATCATTCTAAACTTTTACACCAAACGAGGATACGGGAGGGTAAAAAATCGGCTCTCCAGGCCCTTATGCTTTTAGTATCACATGATTGTGTCTGTCGAGCACCAACCTCATCACAGACACAATCCCTGTTGACACTGCTGCCATAGACACTGGCATACTGAAGCTGCCACAACCGTCAGTCATAACAAGGAATAATCTTCTTGACATAGTTCGAAGACAATGCAACAGTTATTTTGTTAAGCATGTTGCAAACACTATTGGGAGATTATAACACTTGCTGAGAGGGTCATTTCTGTGGGCAAGAATGCACGCTCAGCCACTGCAGTATGTGTAGCAGTGCTGTGCAAATGATACATGATTTCTACCAAGTCTAACCAGAACAAACATTTAGTATTTATAATTGTGTGTCATATAGTTTAGTAGAAAGCAGTGTTGTTTGCATGTATCATTCAATAAGTATTAAATATGAGTGATACATACAATATCTGAGTAGTAATAGTACATAGGAGAGAATTCGCCAAGTCCTATCAATATAGAGCCCATTTCAGTCTGTTGTGCATTTTGCGGTAGACCGTGGCTGCACTGAGAGGAAACATAGTAACGGTGAAGAGAAACTCGTCAATGACAAGCGCCACATAAAAATGCTAAAATTACACAAGACGTACACACATAAATGTTATTGGTTTGTGCAGCTTACATGTTCGGCTCATTACAGCTCGTTCTGTGCAGCAAACATGTCTATTATTGAATATTTTTACATAACTGTATATTTCTCTTTCTGGGACTTAAACTAAACTTCCTATATATGCTTTTAAAATACATCTGAATATCTGAATCTGATTTTTAGCATTCGTTAAGGAGAAAGATGAGAGCACTGATGTAACGTGAGTATATGTCAGGTCCCACTTTGTAATGACGGAGACTTGTTCAAGGACATAATGTGCTCGAAAAAGACCTCTTTGTTTAGATGTTTTTTGTCTAGATGTTTTTTCCTATCGAGACACTTTCCAATCAACAAAAACCATTCAAGGATGTTCTAAGTGTGAGTCAACAGACCCCTTCCTTGAAATGATTATCATCCCTACGTCAGAGGTTTCCGTGTAAAAACCCAATCTGATGTAATATGTTGATGTAATTTTCATATTGGTCTGAATAGCAGCATTGAGAGGCTTCTTTATATCTTGTTCAGTGAGTACACCTGATATGTCAGCAAGCTGTTCCCGGTTCAGTTTGAGTCACTCTGTCAGATCAACTGTTCCCAGTCTAAGCTCGTCAACAAAAGGCACAGTACAAAATGTCCAGGTCTGCTTAGCTCTGGGGCCACCTCTCCCTCAGCTCATCTTTTAGAGTATTCAGACTTTCAAGGCTTTTTTCATTTTTTCCCTCAGATGTAATGTGTGCCACCGTGTACCTTAAACATCATTGGACACAATGTTCCCGCATGTCATGATTTCCAGCTGGCAAGGACTAATTATATCAATATGGAATGTCTACGTACTGTTTTCATTCAAGATGTATCTGCTCACTGAGGACATTTAAACAAAATCACGTTTCTCATCAAAAGTGGAGGAATAAGCCAAGGACAAAAACAAGATAGCCTAGGTTCAATCTTTTTTCTCTTTTTATTTCAGATTTTGTCATTGGGAGAAAACATGTCTGAGTGATTGACACATTTTCAAATAAAATAGTTTATCCAGTGTTTTTTTGGTAGATGGCTAGGTAAAAAAATTTAAAATACAATACACAACACTTATTCATTAAGCCTAATTTTATCAAATCACATTTGATAGGTTTGTTTTTCCCTACTGATGATGTGTTGTTGCAATAGTAATCTATTTAGAAAAATAGTAACTACTGTATTTGGATAAAGAGTGGATTAGTCCCTATTTTTCTAAATATATTTTTAAAGTATCTATGCCAAATTTTACTGCAAGGTTTGTTTTCCTTTGTTGTTTGACAAAAGTGACCTCTGTATAAAATAAACAAAATTCTCAAAGAAAATGTCAAAAGAGGGTAAGCAGGGATGTAGCGAGACTCTGATACCCTTTTGAGGAATGTAGGAACACAATGAGCTGAAGACCATGGCAGTCCCGGCACACGGTGTATCGTACATTCTGTCTCTCAAGAAATGTAAAGGCCTTCTATAGCACTCTGACATAACGGGCATTTAGAGCCTGGAGGGTTCTTTTTTCTTGTGCTGTTTGAATTTAGGGAGTTATGTGAAAATATAAACTGGGCACTGGAACATCTGACTGAGCTGTCCACGATTGTTAGTAGCCTACAATAGTAGTACAGATATCGACAGCAATTTAATATTACCCTTTTTATTAGCACTTCCAGAAGAATCTCCAGGGACATGCAAAATAAAGTGGAATTTTCCCCTTCTTAAACATGGGTTTTATGTGTAACTGCCTATGCTTCTTTCCTTATAATTACATCGTGTGTCTCCTCCACATGTACAACTAACTCAGTTATAGATACCAAGTTACACAAACTGTCATTACACACATAGGACTGGAGAGAGTTCTCACTAGAATCATACTGTACTTCCAATGGAAAAAGCCTGATAAAGAGCCGGTTCATCCACATAAACAACAGAATGACCATGTGCTGCACCTAGTTATCAAGAGTTTAAAGCCTTCAGTTATGGCAACATCTGCAACCACAATGTGTACAATATTGAACAGCAGGCATTAACAGAAAAGCTGCCTCTTCAATTTGCCAAGTACATGGTTTACATGCACGCGGGATTTACGCTACCAAAGCACATTATAAGTTATATAAAACATAACAGGCAGCACATTTACGCACAAAAAAAAGAAAAGCAGGTCACTTACATCTTATCCTACTTTCAGCGGTCAATAGTGCGGGGGCGTCTGTATAAAAACCGGCTTCTTGTGCGCTCGTTAAACGCGCATGTTCCTTCTGACATCCAGGGACTAAATGTTCTGCACGTGTTCTGCCTATACGCTCCCGTACACCGGCCTCTATTCCCTTTACGCACTGTCCCGAAGTCCGCGCGCGTGTGTGTGTGAGTGTGTACGTGTGCGTAAAAAGCGGTGCCAAACTAAACGTGCCGACGAAGTGATCGCGTAGAGATGAGAGAGTAAAATGCCAGAGCTTCAGTGGAGCAACACAAATCCACACGCGTTGGCTCAGAGGGAGGAGAGTACAGTGGTGGGAGGGCGCTCAGAGTAAAATTAAGGGCAGGTCTTGGAAAGCAGCCACTAATAACACAATGTTCCGGGCTGTACTGTAGCTGTGCCTGTGCCGCTGATGAGAACACTCTGTACCAATACGCGCGCAGGCTGTTGTAACCCGTGCCTTGCCAGACCGCGTCGGGAACAGCGTGTACCTCGGCGGGCGGTCCTTTCCACCAGCTGACTACACACTTCACTGTACACAGCGTATGTTCGCGTCGTCAGAGGAAGCAGAAGGAGACGCGACACAAAGAGAACCAGGATGAAAACACGTATTGACTGACAATGGCCATAGGTATTGACCTGTAATAAAGCCGCGCGCCATTATGGATATTAACAGGGGTAATAAGACTGACATAAGAACTTTCACACGGTTGTAGACTATAGGTTCAATTCTCTTTCAGCTGCTATAACTAATTGGAAGGTAGGGATTTCAACAATATTTTAAAAGTCAATATCTTGGATTTAGAGATGTGGCTTTTAAACTATGTGCATCCAACATGTGTAAGTTTATTAACCTATTGTTTATATGCATGCTAAAACTGCTTTCAGATTCAAATATAAATGGGGACATTTTTGTTATAACAGTTTATCTACAGACTATTATGGTATTGCTATAAGAAATAACCCACACATGAATTCACTATTAAATTGATCCAGTAGCGTTACACACGTAGATGTCACGTAGACTGAGGATATTATGGCAATTGTTGAGATGTAATTTTAAAGTTCAAATCAAGCAAAGGAGCAAGTAACAGATAAAGCACAAAGCCTTTTTTATTGCAACCTTTTAATTAACAAATTACAACAAGCCAGCCATTATTTGCATATATTTGCACAGGTTTACTTTGTGCACTTGAAAGGTTTGTTCTCTGACATATAGTCTACGTTTATGTGTTTTTCTCTTCATCACAGACTTCACCAGGTGCCACATGATTTACTGCAGAGATAGTAAAATCAATGTCACCATATGGAAAATGCACATAAAACACAAGCTGAATCTGCCAAACGGACTGAAACAAGTCCTACACATTTTTCTATCTTTGCAAGCGTTAACGCATTACTGTCTTGCAGCCGCTGAATGTTCTCATCTTTCAGGGCATAATATTGCAATAAAGAGATTTACAAATCCACTATTTTGCTCTCTGTTCTGTTCTCTCTTCAGATTCTAATACTCTTAACAGTATCAATGTTCATTATAAGGATTAAAGAAAATGCTTCATAGTATCTCCCCCCTGGACTGCCACCTTAACGTGGTGGGGGAGTTTGAGTACTCGGATGATCCTGGGAGCTATGCTGTCTGGGGCTTCATGCCCCTGGTAGGGCCTCCCATGGCAGACAGGTCTCAAGTGACGAGTCAGACAAAGAGCAGTCCAGAAGACACCATGGACAGCACTAACACGAAAACAGTGACGTCGCCCGGCATGGCGCAGCCGGGGCCCCAACCTGGAGCCAGGCCTGGGGTTGGGGCCCGTATGCGAGCGCCTGGTGGCCGGGCCTTAGCCCACGGGGCCCGGCCGGGCTCAGCCCGAAGGGATGACGTGGGCAGTCCCTCCTGTGGGCCCACCACCTGCAGAGGGGTCCGTGGTGAAGCGGTGCAGAGAGGACTGGGCGGCAGTCGAAGGCGGAGACCTCGGCGACCCAGTCCGCACACACAACATCTGGCTCTTGGGACGTGGAACGTCACCTCACTGGGGGGGAAGGAGCCCGAACTCGTGGGGGAGGTTGAGCGATACCGACTAGAGATAGTCGGCCTCACCTCCACACACAGCTTGGGCTCTGGAACCCAACTCCTTGAGAGGGGTTGGACGCTCCACTTTTCTGGAGTTTCCCGCGGGGAGAGGCGGCGAGCTGGGGTGGCCATACTCATTGCCCCCCATCTCAGCCGCCACGTGTTGGAGTTCTCCCCGGTGAATGAGAGGGTCGCGTCCCTCCGCCTCCGGGTGGGGGACAAGTCTCTCATTGTTGTGACGGCCTACGGGCCTAACAGCAGTGTAGAGTACCCGGCCTTCTTGGAGTCCTTGGGAGGGGTACTGGACGGTGCACCGCCCGGGGACTCCGTTATTCTCCTGGGGGACTTCAACGCCCATGTGGGAAACGCCAGTGACACTTGGAGAGGGGTGATCGGGAAGAACGGCCCCCCTGATCTGAACCCGAGCGGTGCTCAGTTGTTGGACTTCTGTGCCAGTCACGGTTTGTCCATCACGAACACCATGTTCGAGCACAAGGGTGTCCACCAGTGCACGTGGCACCAGGACACCCTAGGCCGGAGGTCAATGATCGACTTTGTTGTCGTATCATCTGACCTTCGACCGCGTGTCTCGGACACTCGGGTAAAGAGAGGGGCGGAGCTGTCAACCGATCATCACCTGGTCGTGAGTTGGATCCGCTGGCAGGGGAAGAAGCCGGTCAGACCTGGCAGACCCAAGCGTATAGTGAGGGTCTGCTGGGAACGTCTCGCTGAGCCCCCTGTCAGACGGACTTTCAACTCACACCTCCGGGAGAGTTTCTCCCAGGTCCCGGCGGAGGAGGGGGACATGGAGTCCGAGTGGACCATGTTCTCTGCCTCAATCGCCGATGCGGCGGCTCGTAGCTGTGGTCGCAAGGTCTCTGGTGCTGGTCCCGGCGGCAACCCCCGAACCCGGTGGTGGACACCGGCAGTAAGGGATGCTGTCAGGCTGAAGAAGGAGTCCTATCGAGCCATGATGGTTCGGGGGACTCCTGAGGCAGCTGTCCAGTACCGGCAGGCCAAGCGTGCCGCGGCCCGGGCTGTTGCAGAGGCAAAAACCCGGGACTGGGAGGAGTTCGGAGATTCCATGGAGCATGACTATCGGTCGGCCTCGAAGAGATTCTGGCAAACCATCCGGCGCCTCAGGAGGGGGAAGCAGTTCTTTGCCAACACCATGTACGGTGCGGGTGGAGAGCTGCTGACCTCGACTGGGGATATTGTCGGGCGGTGGAAGGAATACTTTGAGGTTCTCCTCAATCCCCCCGTCACGTCCTCTGTTACAGAGGCAGAGGCTGAGGACGTTGGGGCGGGTACATCCATCTCCCTGGCTGAGGTCACCAAGGTGGTTGGTAGCCTCCATGGTGGCAAGGCTCCGGGTGTGGATGAGATCCGCCCTGATTATCTAAAGTCTCTGGATGTTGTAGGACTGTCTTGGCTGACACGTCTCTGCAACATCGCGTGGCGATCGGGGGCAGTGCCAATGGAGTGGCAGACCGGGGTGGTGATCCCTCTCTACAAGAAGGGGGACCGGAGGGTGTGTTCCAATTATCGTGGGATCACACTCCTCAGCCTCCCCGGTAAGGTCTACTCCAAGGTACTGGAGAGGAGGCTACGGCCGATGGTCGAATCTCGGATCCAGGAGGAGCAGTGTGGTTTTCGTCCCGGTCGCGGAACACTGGACCAGGTCTATACTCTCCATCGGATACTCGAGGGTTCATGGGAGTTCGCCCAACCTGTCCACATGTGCTTTGTGGATTTGGAGAAGGCGTTCGACTGTGTTCCCCGGGGTGTCCTTTGGGGGGTTCTCCGCCAGAGCTGTGTTCGCATTGCCGGCAGTAAGTCAGACCTGTTCCCGGTGAATGTTGGCCTCCGACAGGGCTGCCCTTTGTCACCGGTTCTGTTCACTGTATTTATGGACAGAATATCTAGGCGCAGCCAGGGGTCGGAGGGGGTCCGGTTCGGAGACCACAGGATTTCATCTCTGCTGTTTGCGGACAATGTTGTCCTGTTGGCTCCAACGAACCAGGACCTGCAGCATGCACTGGGACGGTTTGCAGCCGAGTGTGAAGCGGCTGGGATGAGAATCAGCACCTCCAAATCCGAGGCCATGGTGCTCGACCGGAAAAAGGTGCCTTGCCCTCTGCAGGTGGGTGGAGAGGTCCTTCCTCAAGTGGAGGAGTTCAAGTATCTCGGGGTCTTGTTCACGAGTGAGGGAAGAATGGAGCGTGAGATTGACAGGCGGATCGGTGCAGCATGCGCAGTTATGCGGTCGCTGTATCGGACCGTTGTGGTGAAGAGGGAGCTGAGCCGAAAGGCAAAGCTCTCGATTTACCGGTCAATCTTCGTTCCCTCCCTCACCTATGGTCATGAGCTTTGGGTAATGACCGAAAGAACGAGATCGCGGATACAAGCGGTCGAAATGAGCTTCCTCCGCAGAGTGGCTGGGCGCTCCCTTAGAGATAGGGTGAGGAGCTCAGTCACACGGGAGGAGCTCGGAGTAGAACCGCTGCTTCTCCACGTCGAGAGGAACCAGTTGAGGTGGCTCGGGCATCTGTTCCGGATGCCTCCTGGACGCCTCCCTGGGGAGGTGTTCCGGGCACGTCCCACCGGGAGGAGGCCCCGCGGAAGACCCAGGACACGCTGGAGGGACTACGTCTCTCAGCTGGCCTGGGAACGCCTTGGGGTCCCCCCGGACGAGCTGGAGGAAGTGTGTGTGGATAGGGAAGTCTGGGCGTCACTGCTTAGACTGCTGCCCCCGCGACCCGGCAACGGATAAAGCGGAAGAAAATGGATGGATGGATGGGCTTCATAGTATTGCACTAACTGGAATGGTTACAGTTGTTGGTTACAGTGTTATCTTGCATGTTCCTTTCTGACCTGACTAGTGTTTGGCCACACACTGATAGAAGACAGCCAGCAGCAGTGAAAGGGAACACAATGATCTTGTTAATAATATAAGTGACATAATGGCAGGGAACCTGACTCTGCATGCCTGAGGGTGGGCAGTTCAAAACCAACAATAAATTCACATTAAGAAAAGCAAGTCTTGCACAATTGTATAATGTACTGAGATTAAACCTCAAAAATAAACCCAAGATTAAAACAAACCAGCGATGTTGGGCTTTTATTCTCCACATTGTATAATGTAAGGAGCGTAATATTCCAATAAACCAAATGTTATTTATATTTCACTGCAGTCCATATAGTATTGCTGTTTAAAGGTTTTCTGATCTTATCTTATCTAACCGTGTTCATCAGTTAGCATTTGATTATCTCTCTTTACTGTGATAACTGTAAAATGTATAATGCAGCTTTAGATCAGCAAGAACAAAGCCCGGTTCTAAAAGCTTTGTGATTTACATCCAGTCACCGCACAACATGGTCTATAGCAACCATAAATAATGAGTCGTTTAAATACCTTGCGAGAACACTATGCACTTTGCAGTAGTGTTTGTGTTCTCTCACTCGCCTGCGGTGTCCTCGTGCGGGTGCTTCCTCTCATCTACAAGTAGAGGGTGAAATTACAAGAAATAAAAATGGCTGATAGTTTGTACATTTGCTCATGTGAGGGGAAGCGAGGACAATGTCAGAACACACTCCATTTATGGATGCCTTTAGCAGAACATCCCAACTTGTAAATACTGTAGGGACTTCTAAGAGATACGGCCATATAGGACAGCACCCATCACATTCCATATAGATATATATCATTGTAATTGAATAATGTGATTGTTCTACAAAAGACGTATGATGCAGTAAGGGATTCGCCGCTCAGTTCCTCACTTTTCTTTTTTCTTTTTAAACTCGAAATCCTTGCACCTGTATGTTTTTGTAACAGAGCGATACATGTGCAGACACATTATACGCTGTTTTTTTCAAGCCTGGTGGGGGGACAAAGGCGTCACGGGTGTCCTCAGCTAACCTCACCCCAGAGTACTTGATATTCTGTTCATGTTCCTCTTTGCTACTCACTTTAGAACTACATGTTCCAGAGAAATCAAACGGTCTCAGTCTATAGACCAGTTCTCTCTGTCAACAAATTAGCAATATGGTGTTGTTTGGAGTTGTGCTAAATTGTTTGGAAATTTCTCGAAAGATGATTGGGTAAAAACAGACAAAGCAACACACCACTACTATCAATCTTAAAAAACTGTATTACTTCAAATAAATAAAACATTACATTTGGAGTACCTCTAATGATGTAGGCAATTGGCTTTGTAATTTCCCTTGTGGTTTTATAAATTCTTTCTTTTTTGTGAGTTGTGAGATATTAACTATATTTAACCTATTTATTAACCTTATAGATTAAAAGAGGAATCAAACTGTGTTACTATAGCACTGAAATAAAATTATCTAAAATAAAACGTCACTTAAAATAAAACTTCACTTAAAATAAAACTCTACGGTCAGGATAACACATTAATCCAAAATTGAATAAATGATAGGTAGAACAATATATTTTAGAACTAAATGTTATTGTTGTTGATTTCTTAAAATAATTGTTACATATAGAAAATACAGATATGATTATAGGGATTCCACTGCTATATTATATTTGTGTGAGTGGAATAAAGTCCTTTCATTATTTGTTTAAACATTATGTGTTTAAACAAATGCTGTATCAATATATATAAGATATACATAATCCTGTACAATTTGCAAAGTAGACAACATGCATACTGTCTGGGAGCCGATGATATGTCAGTCACTGTTTTGTGCTGAGTTCAGTCTGGCAGAGCTGAGTCCTCCCTGAGTGAATGAGTGTCAGTGTGTAACCAGCAGCACGTGGATCGGGTTCACTCAGGGATACAGCAGCCTGTGTCGTCATCAGGAAGTCAAACAGAACAGAGTGTGCTGTACTAATCTGATTGAAAAAGACACTGCTCTCAACTGTGACTGTGAGAGGAAATAGACGTTTCAAATCAAAGGCTAAAATGAGGATCCCCTGACAGCAGAGACAAGGGAGGGAAATAAACGGAGTAGACGAAGTATTTACTGTAAGTGTTTGCTTCAGAGATAGCAGCAAGTAGGAGGAATAACAGAGCGAGAACATGGCGACCCAAACATAATGCTCTTTGTTTGTGTCCTCGGTCCAGGGGAGTAATCTCTGCAGTGATCCCCTGTAGCCTTCCACCAACTCAAAACATATCCAATAACACTTGAAATGTTAAAAGCATTAAGATGATCTAAGGATGGGTTTTTCTGTAACTTGATTCATTAAGTTACTACTTGCATTAGTAGCACTACATTAGTTTTGGCAAGCGTAAGATTTAATATTATTACGGCTTAATTAATCATAGAATAATGTAAGTGACATTAATATTGGGTCAAGAATTTGCTGTATGGTTGGATGTGACCATTTAAAGTGTAAAATACAGATATCATTATAATACAGTTCGAAATGATGAAAACTATTGTTAAAAAGAAGCAGATAGATTGCAGCCTTTAACAAATAAGTACTAAGTATTTAAACATCATTATAATAAGCCATAAGAAACTTATTCAACCCTCGACAACTCCAATCGTGTCATACTACAGCAATGATTAAGATTAAGATGAACATATAAACCTAAAATACACACTAGTGCCAAACAAATGAATATATATATATACTGTATATTTTACTGCTCTTCTCAACATGGAGAAGCAGAGGCTCTACTCTGAGCTCCTCCCATGTGACTGAGCTCTTTCTAAGGGATTGCCAAGACACCCTGTGGAGGAAATTCATTTGGACTGCTTATAATAATGATATAGTATTTTTTCATAGTTGAGGATGGGAGCATAGACTGACCGGTAAATTGAGAACTCGCTCTTCACCACAAGAGTCAGATACAGCGACTGTATCAAGGCACATGCTGCACTGATCCATCTCTCAATCTCACGCTTCATCATTTCCTCGCTCGTGAACAAGACCCCAAGAAACTTGAACTCCTCCACTTGAGGAAGTACCTCTTCATGGCCTGGAGAGGGCATAGCACCTTTTGTCGGTTGAGCACCATGGCCTTGAATTTGGAGTTGATTCTCATCCCTGCCACTTCACACACAAGGTTTGAGGCCTTGAGAACTGAAATAAATATCACAAGAACTTAATATTAATAATAATATTCATCTAAGATTCAGTCATTGACCATATGCATTTTCACTGGTGTATGAAAAATGGCGTAAGTTCTGACAAGACTTTGTGAGATAAGATACCCTTTATTCATCCCCCAGTCGGAAAATTGCATTGTTATTGTTGTGCACATTACAGAATAATTAAGAGGACATTTAAGGACATTATCGCTACTATATAGACAAATGGGTTCATGTGTCTTTTGCATTTCCTATGTGTGAAGTCCTCTGAGATAACTGCTGTTGTGATGCAAAAAATATTTAAATTTAATTGAATAGAATTTTACGCATACACATTTTTGGGCTTATTTGATTAGCGTTAGCGTTGAGCTCATCAACATATTTGTAATGTAATAATTTCTGAAGAATTCTGGTAAAATGTTCTGACCATTTGTTCATCACAAAACCTCAGAACGCTATTTGAGGTTTTCCTTGGACATTGGGCCAGGGCGTCTATCTGCAATAACTATCCATGTGTTGATAAATGAACATGTTTGTGAAAAACAAAGACGGACTTTTTTTCTAGGTTTTTGTGTGAAACTTATCAAAGGGTTGCTGACACACCCACATCAAAAGTCTCATACCAGTGACAACATCATTCAGCCAATGATGAAACATAGTTAACCTCAAAAGACCAGAAAATGCCTTTGACTTACAGTCCCTCTGATGATTTGATAGTTTAGCAGCTGCAGTACATACAAAATGCAGAAGCTCGAGTCCTGACTAGAACCAGGAAGTACGACCATATTAGGCCAGTTCTCAGGTCTCTGCACTGGCTTCCTGTGGCTCAGAGAATAGACTTTAAAACAGCTCTGCTTGTGTGCAAGTCTCTACATGGCCTCTCACCAAAATATATTAGTGACATGTTAGTCCAATATGAACCGGCCCGGACTCTGAGGAGCACAGGGACTGGACTCCTAGTGCGTGCCCAGAGTCAGGACTAAACATGGGGAGGGTGCTTTTCAGATTCATACTGCTAAAATCTGGAAAAATCATCCTGAAGATGTGAGACAGGCCTCCTCTCTGACAATGTTTAAGACGAGGTTGAAGACAGTTCTGTTTAGCTGTGCATACAACTGAGGGATTTTATATTTATTTTAATTTATATTTCTTTTTAATGTACTGTGATTATTTATGATTTTAATGCTAACTTTTTTTTTGTTCAGCACTTTGAATTGCCTTGTGTATGAATTGTGCTATACAAATAAACTTGCCTTGCCTTGCCTAGTTTTCCTTAAAACATGCTATGGTTCCCCCAGGACAGCAGGTGGCGCCGTCAGCATTAAGGACACTTCCTTCTCTCACTTCCTGCTAGCCCCGATGCTAGTGCTACGCTCACACGGCTGCCGTAAGATTTTCTGGTCACAAACAAGGTACGTATTTAAGACAAACACAAGTGTGTGCTTTGTTTTTTTAAACACGTTACATTTTTGTCAAATGAATCTTCAAGAAAAATTAGATTGCGTTTGATAAGTTAGCTAGCCTCTTTTACCACACGGTCTTACGTTAGGGTTTTTGTTTGTCCCCATTCCTCATCAGATGTACCGCCACATGGACATTTACTTCATTTAAAACCATTTTCAGCTTCAAATCTAGATACACATTTCATAGAGACGGTGCATCAAGGTAATCGAAGGGTGTTTTTCAATCTTTGTAGCGAGTCTGATTTTTTTTTTTTTTTTTTTTATGTATGTAGAAGTTAACGTAAACTTTCTCTTTGCGTTGTCTTAGGAAATAATTAGTTCCTTTAATCAAGAATTGATTCATCTTTGAAATGGGAGGTAAGTGTTAGAGTTTTTGATTCTGAAATCGAAGTCTACTATTCAGTCTGGACTATAAGCTTTTATGGTAATTTGTAATGAGTTATTGTTCCGTCATGACCTTTGTTTTTTCTTATGTAGATCCTGCTCTCAACAGAGACTGTCCTCTTGACTGCAAGATTTATGTTGGAAATCTGGGAAACAATGGAAACAAGACTGAACTCGAGAGGACCTTTGGGTACTATGGTCCTTTGAGAAGTGTGTGGGTTGCTAGGAATCCACCTGGCTTTGCATTTGTAGAGTTTGAAGATCCCAGAGATGCATCAGATGCTGTGCGGGAACTTGATGGAAGGTAAATGGAGAACACTCCTAAACTCCAGCAGATTTATTTCTGGCTTGAGAGGAATTGAATTTTATAGAGAAGAGGGGTGTTGTGCACCAAATGTGCTTTTGAGTGTGACATTAATTAAATCTTTTCCTTTTATTTTTCTTCCTTATAGCCATATGTAATAGATATCTACTTTATTGATCCCCATAGGAAATATTCAGGTGTCCAACAGTAGAAAACTCATCCATATAAACACAAGTACCAGTACATAAATAATGATTTCTAACTACCTAACAATAATGCATATTTTTAACTCATCCAGCTCTGTTGTACAGTCTGACGGCCGAAGGGAAAAAAAGATCTCTTAAAATGGTCTGTTCGCCAGTGCAGTGTTTGCCTGTTGCTACTCCAAGCAGCTATAGTCATGCAGAGGGTGTCTGTAGTTGCCAAGGATGCCCTGCATTAGAGCCCTCATAAAATGGCATACTGTTGAGTGCAAATAAAGTTATGGACATGTACCCATACAATCCAAACCAATCTTTCAGAAAAAATGACCAAAAAAGATTATCCAAACTCGCGTCAAATAAAATAAATAAATGTAATGTGTGAAAATGCCTTCATAATGTTAAAAAGATTATAGAAAAACTTTATTTTACCCCCTGTCCAAAATGTTTTCAGTGAATGATAGTTTCAAACACTCACATATTTGAGAATAATGTATTGCCGTGGCTCTACAATATGATTTATTGTAAAATTATGTTATTCACAGCCAGTGACTAGGGAAGCGCCAGGTGAATTTCCGGACACTACATAAAAGCCCCCTTCCCAATCTTACTAATTCCAAGTTGGAATTTGGTTTACAGAAGGTTTACAGAATTTCAGAGGTCTTTTCAGTATCTTGAAAAACAAACTGCTCAATTCACAAAATCCAACCTTAACCACTATTGTTGCAGCAGTTGTACTCAGTTTTTAGTTCATTGTCCAATACAATCACTTCTTGATGTGCTTTACAGGAACATGTGCGGCTGCCGTGTGCGTGTTGAGTTGTCCACGGGAGAGAAGCGTTCAAGAAGTCGTGGTCCGCCTCCGTCCCGCGGCCGCCGGGATGATTTCAGAGGGCGTAGTCCTCCAGTCAGGCGGCGGTATGTATTATTCTGTTCATCACATTCTTTTAAGTCCATATAATCTAAAAATCACTTTAAACCTATACCCTACTGACAGTGTGCAGCAGGAGTGACGCTTGGTACTTGTATTGGTAACTTGTTCTCCATTGTTTTATTTACTTATTTAAATAAGTCAAACAGGAAAAATTAAGTACTAAACTACTTCATTGAGAGATTCTATGCTTTCTCCAGTTGTACATTTTGTTTCCAAGTTCAGTTGGCATTATATTAATAAAGTGAACCCCATTGCAGAGTCACCACGCTTCTCACCATCTGAGTCAATCAACTAGCCCTCTTTCAGCCTCACTGCTGAGCAGCGGCCCTTCTTGGCTGGTGTCACATGACCACGGTGCCAGCCGTCAGGTTTCACCAACTAATGGTTCCTGAGCATCCTCCGCCTCTTCTCAACTCTTACTCAGTCGCCAGTGGTCCACTCCACACTGTCAGCCAATCAGTACCTTTACTTGCCTTTACAACTTCAGTATCACCGGGAACAGCCCCCCCACCCACCTCCCCCAAAAAACACATTCACCAAACCACCAAGCAACTTCATTCCAGCATTTGCATCATGCGGCAAATCCTCTCTGCAATTTGACCTCCCTCTCCATCAGTATGGCTTCTTTCCGTCATTTCTTTGTCCAAAATACCCCAAATAGTAAGTCACTTTTATGCTGCTTTTTGTAGATTGTCCATGATGTAGCATTCAACGCTGCCATATAACTATCAGCAGTTATAGGTCGCTATACCTACTAGATGCTTTAGAAAACAAATGATTCTCCAAACAAAATTCACATTGGTCAACAGAAAAAATACAGAATTCACAGCAGCATTTCTTTTGCAGATCTAAACCTGTTATCACTCACAATACACTTTGATTTTTAGTTTATTATTTTAATGCCACATGTGGCTGCAGAATTGGCTTTTAGATCCCCGTTCAAAGTTTTCGAGGGGTTCAGCTGCGGCCACATTACTGCACCCTAATATTCCATAAATCCTTTTCAGGTGGCTTTTAGTTGCATATTAATCTATTTTAACTTGTTTCGACCATTTTAAAATTAGATCACCAAGGAGGAGGAGTGGCAGCCGAAGCCGCAGTCGGTAAGTAACTTAAAGTTTGTATTTTTGTCTATTTTGTATTTCCTCCCTAACAATTTGTTTTATTACTAGTTCTGTGTCACGAGATAGACGTCGATATCGTTCCCTCTCCAGGGAAAAGGCCCGCAAGCGCTCAAGGTCTCTCTCCAGGTCCAGGAGGTAATCTATGTTCTGCCTGTTAATATTGCATATGGGTTACATTGGTATCCAAAAACCAAAGATAACACTCTAAAAACTAAAACACTACATTTTACGAGAAATGGAGTTCCATTAAATGTTACACATTAAGTTATTAAGTACAGTAGGATGGGGTTGCAAGCTGATTTCAATGTAATGTTGGTTATCTTCTAAAGTTACTTTATTGATCCCGAAGGAAATTGTGCATTGGTCCCTTGCTTGCAATCATACAAGAGTATTTTTTTGTATTAGTGCTGTCCGTTAAACGCATTTTAACAACTTTTCTTAACAAGTGATCAACGCGAGTGTATTTTGTAAGTATTCAGGAATCACAACTATCTCCAGGTCACAGCCCGAATGTTGACGCCTAGTCATTTCCACTGCACGTTATCGACGTATTCTGTAAAAAGAACAAAAAATACTTAGACAATTCAAGTAATTTCTGTTGTGTTAAATAGTTATATACACAAAAAGAAAAAACAAAAGCGGTGAGTGCATAGCCTAGATTAGATGATCAAAATATTTTCTTTTCGTAGGGATTGGATTAGTAAGATTTTTGCTTCATCCAATCCATTTTTAATAAGTGATTACTAAGACATGTGATTAATCGCAACATATTTTAATTGTTTGACAGCACTAATTTTTGTTGTGGAATATTGTTATTGTTATGAACAACCTGTAGAGCATGGGTGCTTAATGTCGATCGTGAAGCAGGGTGGATAGCTCCCCTGACAGAGCATGAAACATACGATGAGAAACACTACAAGGAACATGCTGTGCGAGTCGTGGCAGATGTTTGTGTACCGAGTGTGTAAACATAATTTAAGCCTATGAGCATTTCTTTCCTGCCAACACAATGTGGATAAAAACAACATGGTCATTACTTGATCATTAATCAAAGCAAATATGATATTCTGAATCCTAATACCTTCACATAAATCCATGGTCCATCATGGCTCAATGGTTGCTGTAAAAGTGTGAGCACTCCTGCTGTAGAGTTAATACAACTTTTAATACATTTAAAGTTTGAGTTTTGAATGTGTTTGCTTAGTCGTTCCAGGTCTTTCGAGAGAAAATGAAGATGGACCCGTTGGAATGTGTGATCATCAAAGACCTATTGTTGGTATTTTAATTTTCTTCACGTTTAAGACAATGTCGTTTCTTGCATATTCTGATCCCTTGTTTACCTGCTAAAATAAACTACTTAATTGGGTTAACATTAAAATGTCTTTTTAACTTTTTATTTTGGTAATGTTTTGATTTTTTTTTATTACTTTAGTTTCACTCCTGTTTCTCAAACTTTTATCAGATTTATGTAGATATTCCAAACTGCTTAATGGTTGAATCAGTTAACATGTAGCCACTTTGTCAATAAATGTCTTTGAAATGTAATGTGTCTGCTTGTTCTTTGATACATTCATGAATAATTTCTCCTTGGCTATAGCAGAGTGTAAGAATGACAGCCATGAACACCATGGGTTCCAAATGTGGCTAAGCCTCAGGACTCAACCTAAATAAGCTTGGAAATTGCATGATGATATATGCACCAAAATAAAGTGAGAATAGTGTGGGCTATACAACATTAGCACTCACAAGTGTTCTGCTATAAAATTAATACAAAGATGTAAGTATGTGATATTTCTCCTTTGGGTAGAAAGCAGCAAAACCTTGTGTAATAGACCTACTTAAGTAAGGCTGCTAGTGCAACTGAGACTTGTATCAACATATAATCAGTTGGAAATAAATTGTAATGGATTTACTTTTAATAGTGCATAAAATAAAAGGGAAAAACAAGTCTCAAATGTGTGAAGGGGCTAATTCACATATTTGTCCAGCACCTGGACACTCCATCTGCTCTTGGTCAGAACAAACCTTTCTGCAAGCTTTTGGTTAGTGGGTAAAACCGGAGCACCCGGAGGATGTGTGTTCATACGAGGACACTGAACTGTATCCAGGGGTTTCTTTGTGGATAATTTATAGCTCATGATTTGCATCTGTTTTATTTCTTTCGTAATGAAAGCATATTGAGACAATTGTTTTAATTAAATATTAGTTCACTTTCATAATAAAATGAGTACAGATTCGCACAAATTGGAACTGTACAGTGGACAGTCTAAAAAAATAAAATAAATACAATGACTTAGGATTCAATGTTTTTAGATTAAATTGTATTCTTATAACTTGTCATGTCGAGTAGGCCGCAAAGTATCTTCTTGCCTCTATTCTTTGAAGTAGACCAGAGGCAAAAATAATATATTCATTAGAGAACTTGTATTCACTTTGAATTCCTTTTTATATCGATGATGACCGAGCTGCAAGCAAGTGCGCATGTTTTTGAGGAAGTGTAGTGCCGTGCATGGACTGGACGCTTACCTCAAACAGGAAGCTGCGCACACAGTTGGAAACTTGACTTGAGTCCATAACTTCAGTCTCGAGTTGAGCCCTAACTTTAAAGAGACACTACAGAGTCCTGACCAGAGACTGACGCGCAGCGCACAGAGCACGGGGTAAGTGAACACTATGTACTCACACTCATGACACCCAAATCTATGCTTTTACAGCGTCTGCAGTGGTAAAAGTACAACTGGGGAACGTTTTTGGATGAACACTACATACTTGTATACTTATAGAGTTATACCATATTAACCTGTACGAAGTTTTACAGTGCATTGGTTTATGGGTAATTTAAAGTGCATCGCAACTATGACCTTGCCTTGGGACACTTTTTAATGGGGCTGTTATGAAGCCAACTTTAAATGCACTTTGAAGAACTGATTTGTTATCACTAGCATGCACAATGTTGCAGAAAGGGCAAGCACTATTTGCGACTCACGGCAACTTCCGGTGACTCGCGTGACTCAGGCGCTGTGAGCCGCGACTCAGCAGCCAGAAGTCGTGACTCACCGTTAAAAATAACACAATTCTTTGCTTCTCAGGGGTATCTGGGAATGATCAATGAGACAATATGGATCTGGAGGCATTGTTTACAAGTAATCAGTATGTTAGACACTCTATATCAGCTAGTATGTGTTTGTATAGCAGTCCATGTCCGTTAACCACTGACTCAGGCGCTGTGAGCCGCGACTCAGCAGCCAGAAGTCGTGGCTCACGGTTATCAATTTAACTTTTTAGGGGTATCTGTGGATTATCAATGACACATTGTGGATCTGGAGGCATATATTTACAAGTAACCAGTATGTTACACACTCTTCATCATCTGGTATGTGTTTATATAGCTCTCCATGTTCGTTAACCACTGACTCAGGAGCTGTGAGTCGCGGCTCAGGAGCTGTGAGTCGCGGCTCAGGAGCTGTGAGTCGCGGCTCAGGAGCTGTGAGTCGCGGCTCAGGAGCTGTGAGTCGCGGCTCAGGAGCTGTGAGTCGCGGCTCAGGAGCTGTGAGTCGTGGCTCACAGTTAAAATACAGCATATTTTTGCTTTTTAGGGGTATCTGGGAATTTCTAATGAGACTATATGGATCTGGAGGCATAGTTTACACGCCTACTTCACGACACGCCTCTGTCCTGCAGGCCGCAGAATGACTACTTCGAACCCGCAGCAACACCTTTTTGAACAGGTGTGGGCTTATTCTATACATTAGCACGTAGCTCAACATGTCCTTCCAGTGATGTGCGGCACCACTCTGCTGCTATTCATGACTGAGCTGTATATGTTCCTGTATTGGGAGACAAAGTAACAGCTCATGTGGAAACAAATGTTCATGTTATAGTGCAATGTGTGCAAATGTATTAGCTACAGCCAAGTGCAAAACTGAAATGTATCAAACCTAAACCAAATCTTTATTCTTTATAATTGGTCTATTAAAGTGAATTAAAAGTGCATTTTTTTATAAAGTTTGTTTTCCTTCTCTTCTGTGTGTGGCTCATCTTGATGTGTCGTCTCAGTAGTTCTGTAATTCAAGAATAACCGGTTAACTACACTTAATTTTTGCATAGAAAAGAAATGAGAGAAAAGAGGCATTAAGGAGGAAAACATGTCTTGATGGCTGCAGCATGACACCTGTATTTCCACTGCATTTGTATCCTGTATAATGCTCCAGGATCAGATGTTTAAAGGGTATAAGGGAGCTACACTTTTTGGAAACCCTAAAACATTTGATTCAGGATGATCACGGAGGCAGTTATGAGGGAAAGTACAGGTGCCATGCAGCAGTCATACAGCCACTGGGCCACCAAAGGCTCAAATAAGCATCTTCAAACATTTCACCACAACAGAAGTTACTTGAATTCTGTATTTTGAACATCTGGGTTCGGTAACATGATCATATAAAATTATGTCATTAGGGTCTTTCTCTTTAATTCTCTATTTACAATAGTAAGTCCACCTCAGCACACTATCCTCTAAAGTTAACAATAATCATTTTTTTTAGAATTAAAATGCCCTGAAATGAAATGCCCTGATGCTTGTGTTTGTTCAAAGACAAAGAAATCTCTACTCTGGGTTCTTGGCTCACTTTGTCATCCACATTATATTACTATAAGGACAAATTGGTACAAGTGGCTTTTATAATTGTGTTTGTTTGTGTATTGTATGTATTTTTTCAAATGCCTTTAGCATTATTAATAAATAACAAATAATAATGTCTCAGTGGTTTTTTAGTTATTTATTTCTTATGTGACCAAACCTGTGTTATACACCTTGCCTCATCTTTTGTCCTATGGAGTATACACTCTGCTCTGTATCTGCAAGTTTTGTGTATTCTTTGAAGCCACAGAATTACAACCAAGGAATTTTACACAAGTTTTTTTTTTTTTCCTGTTTAAATTTCATGCCCTTTAAAATGTTAAAATGATTAAAAGACAGATTCCAAAAAACGAAACAAAATAACCTACCTCAATATTTTGGTGAAATTTAAATTGCAAGCGAGATGTCCAACGTCGTGCATGATTCAACATGAGATTAGACAGCGCCCCCTGGTGTCAGCAGACGAGTCCTGACTTATGTCTCGTAAGTCACTTGTTAACAATAGAGTAATACAAACACATATCAGCTGGTAAAGTATGTATGAGGCACTGAGGACATGGAAAATGTTCATCCAGATACATTAATAATTCATAAATACTCCTAAAAAGTCTTTTTCATTAGAATATGAAATAAGCCCTGCAAATACATGTAATAATCTGTATTTAGGCCTGTATCACTTAATCAACCACTTGCACTATGACTGTAAACCTGCGCTGCTAATACTGAGTCTGTTTATTTTACTAAGGATGCACCAATACCAATATTAGTATTGTGCCGTTTCCACATACTTGTGCTCATACTCATTCATGAGGTCCCATGACTGTATATAAGATACCACGATGGGGCGTCTTGCTTCAGTGGGAGCAGGTGGTTGTGGGGGCACGACCCCACGATCATTAGGTCCAAAGACCAAAGCTCTGCCAATTGAGTCACTGTTGCCCCTAATAATTCCCAGATACCCCTAAAAAGCACAGATTTGTGGTATTTTTAACCGTGAGCTATGACTTCTGACTGCTGAGCCGCGACTCACAGCTCCTGAGCCGCGACTCAGGAGCTGTGAGTCAGTGGTGAACAGTTCATAGAGATCTATACAAACAAATACCAGCTGATGAAGAGTGTGTAACATACTGATTACATGTAAACTATGCCTCCAGATCCATATTGTCTCAATAGAAATTCCCAGAAACCCCTAAAAAGCAAAGATTTGTGGTATTTTTAACTGTGAGCCTCGACTTCTGACTGCTGAGTCGCGACTCACAGCTCCTGAGTCAGTGGTTAACGAACATGGAGAGCTATATAAACACATACCAGATGATGAAGAGTGTGTAACATACTGGTTACTTGTAAATATATGCCTCCAGATCCACAATGTGTCATTGATAATCCACAGATACCCCTAAAAAGTTAAATTGATAACCGTGAGCCACGACCCCTGAATGCTGAGCGTGAGCCGCGACTCAGAGCGCCTGAGTCACGCGAGTCACCGGAAGTTGCCGTGAGTCGCAAATCGTGCTTGCCCTCTCTCCAATGTTGACGTGTGAGATTGTTAATAATTGTGTTCAAGTTGATATAATGTGTTATTTCTAGTCTATTTATGCTATGAAATGGTTTTAACAGTTCACATTACGTACATTTTCAGTAAGTTTTAATGATAGCCTAAAGGTTTTTTGTTTTATAAGATTTTTTTTTTTAACTCCCACAAGCTATTGTACATAACAATATCTACTTTCTGACCAAGCATGCATGTATTTTGATTTAGGGAAGAAGCCTGAAGTCATGTCTGCCTCAAAGAAAAAACGCATGGGCTCTCAACGTCGTTCTCTAAACCAAAATTTAGAAGAATCTCCGGAAACCAGTGACACTGCAAAGCGTCCACCTGATGCACAAAGTAAACACAGAGCAGATGCAAAGGGAGATTTAACTTTGAGTCCTGAGAAAGCACAATCTGAAATACCTGCAAGGAATAAAAAGTTGAGCTCTCGTCGTGTCAATAAAGACAAAGTGCATTTTAAGGATGTAACAACAGAGGCTAGTCACGAACCATTAGAGGAAGTGGAGGATGTCGCCGCCAGCTCACAATCTCCAAACACAATAGTTGTTGAAAATGAAAGGATTGAAATCCTTTCTGGAGGAACTGGGGCAGCTGAATGTGATTTGTTATTGAATAGGCCTCCAGATGCTGACACACCAATAACTGAAGCCATCTCTGATATGCCTCAAATAAGTGATATATCTGATACAAACATGGAAACCATATCAGATTTTATTTTGAACGATAGGTACTTGTCTGTAAGCATCAGTGCTGAAGAGGGTGTGTTAACTGAAAAAACCCTTACACAACAAATGCCAGAAATACTTGACGCCACTTCTCCTGCAACAGGTGTGACTGGAGAAAGCACAGGCTCTGTCAGATTAATTGAGCAAGAAGACATCAACAGCGCAGGTTCACGTGACCATGATGAAGTGAATACAGAAGCAGAAAGGGCAGGGCATTTTGAAAAACCAGTTAATCCACAGAGTAAGGAGGAGACTTCTGTGCCAACTACAAAAATAAAGAAACTGGGTTCTCGTCGAAAAATAAAGGACGGAAATATCAAAACGCATACAGAGGTTGTTATGGCTGTGGAAAGTATTACAGCACAGGTATCGGAAACAAGTGATTTCACAATTTCACAAATTACTCAAGATGATACAGATACCCCATCAGAAGGGCACACTCTGGATGTGTCACAAAAGATACAAAGTAATGAATCTGTTGGAGAATTGTTGGTTAATATTCAAGAAATGGAAGAAACAAAACCAAATCATTTTGAAAAAGTTGTTCCCTTGCTAGATCTTTCTGAGCCACAATCTATAGAAATCTCTTCCATGAATGACACAATTGCACATCAGTCTTTCCCAAATCCAAATATTACTGTCGATATAGAAGCTGTTGAAAAAGCAACAAATGTAGAAACTGGTGACTTCTTAACCCAGCACATTTTGGAGCCAGCTGTAATCAGTACAAATGAGGATTTGGAGAGATCAGGGGTTTTAGCAACAACATTAAAGGGTGACATTGATTCAAAAGATATTACTGACACTTTGGATTCAACAGAAGAAGGAACAGAAAGAGTTGTTAAAGATTTTATAGGTGAGACCTCAGATAGCAGTTGTTTAGAACTACCTTTTGAAATGAAGAAGGGCGAGTCTGTGATTACAGATTTAATAACAAACACTGATGCAGTTACTGAACTTTGTGAAACTGTGACTGAAGATCAAATAATGGAGTCATCAACAGGGGAGCAACTTTATCTAGATCAAAATGATCATTCTGATTTGCTAAATGCGTCAGTGGATATATATGGGATAAATACAGCACAGATTCAGGCGTCCACCTTATCTGAGAGTCACACTGATGAAGACAAAGATAACAAATCTGAGGAAGCAACAAACATGAATGACAACCTTTTAGATGATAAAAATGTAACGCTCATAGACCAGGAGGAATCATTACAAACACTTGATAATTACATGCTCGTAGGCAATATTTCTGGCCAAATTAATGATGAAAACAAAAACGATGATGCAAAACTCAATAAATCTCAGTTTCTAGTTGGAGAGGACAGGGACTTGAATGCACCTATTGACTTTCCAAACAACATCCTGGATAACATTTTTGATAAAAATGCTCTTGAAGAGCCAAGTTTGAAAGTAAATGTTGATTCTAAAGGAAATGTGAACATTGATTTGTTTGACACCGATGAAGGAAACAAAGACAGTGACGAGAAAAGCTTTAAAGAACAAACGGGTAGAAGCTGTGGTTCTACAAATGAGAACGTGGCACCTAAAACCCTAAAGGAGAACACAGCAGATTTTACTAAGCTAGGAGAAAATAGATACAAACAGCCTTTTGGTGCAGACAATAGCGAGAATACATCTGGGGCTTATAACACAATCCTTTCAGAGAAGCAACCTTTTACATTAAGTACTGATTCTGGTCCGGATGAGATCAAACTTTCTGATGAACAAAACAGATTGAAGTCTTCCAAAACTCAAGAGACCGATGATACTGATGCCTCACTCGTCTATCCTGATCTCGAAGTTGCTTTTGATGTGCAGGATGTGGCCAATATGGACTCACAGCTTACTAGAAATGAGAGTAAACTGGGCTTGAGTGGGCATGTTGAGGATGTGGAAAAAATTGAGAAGTCTGATGAAACCGTCCCACCGATTACAGTCACTGAAGCGATTCAAATTGAGCCAGTATTTAATGAAAAGGGCGAAACAAGTGCCATGCATGAAAACAAAGACATTTCACAGTTAGTTTATGTGGAACCAGAGAAGAACATTGTAGAAACTGACAAAGAAGCTGCCTTGTTCTATGAAAAAGACGATATAAAAGTGATTACACGACAAAGATTACCTAGCCATGAAATTTTAAAAGATTTGGAAAAAAGTGCAGTCAAAACAAATATTGCCGAAATGCAAGGGCCAAAAGATGTTTATAATTTGTCGGGTATATCAGGCAACGAGACGCACGAAGAGATGGAAAACTCTTCTTTGCAACAACCAAAGCAGGAAGTTCAGGGAGAAACCGGAAAGCCATCTGAAGCTGATCAATTAGAGGTTGGTGAAATCGCACATCAAGGTCCAAGGAGAAAACTGGGTTCGAGCCGTAGAATGAAAGCAAGGAACCCCAAATCAACCAGCACAAACGATAACGCGACACATGAGAGCAAAGACTTGATTCCATCGAACGATCAACCCCAAGAGATTTCAGGTCTGAATTTTATGGCAACGGTTGAACGAACAAACAAAGGCGATGAAAATTCTGAAATCGTCAAAGACACTACACTTTTATTGTCCGACAAACCTCAGTCTGATGAAATTATAACCCCTATTACATTCACTGAAGAAACTCAAATGGAAGAGGAATTTCAAGAAAAGGGTGTAATTAGTGCAATTCACGAAGACAAAGGCTTTTCACAAATAGTTGATGAAGTGGACAATGAAGCTTCCTTGTCCTCTGAAAAAGACAACACACAAGTGAATGAAACACATACATTACTTCGCCCAGAGCTTTCAAAAGATGAGCAGAGTGAAGAGAATAGACAACATCATGTGGAGGTTGAACCGCTTACATTGCCCGTTAAACAAGACATACCTGCTGCAACAAAGGAACGGGAGTATCAACCAATCCAACTCAATAACAACACTGTTCATGATGAGATTTTTGGAGAGAAATGCCAACAAATGGAGAACAGTGAAAGTATAATGGGTTTGCCAGAGGAACACATTTCACAACATGATTCAGTCCAGATTCCACTTTCGGATAACACAACTGCATCGATCGCCTCTCCACATCCAGAAACGCCTTTCTGTGACGTGCAGTTAGGTGATTTGAAGTCTACCAAGACCCAAGAGACCGATGATACTGATGCCTCACTCATCTCTCCTGATCTAGATGTTGCTGTCGAGGAGCAGGATATGAAGCAACAATTGGATACAATCTCAGTACAAGTTCATGATGCAACAGTGGAAACTTTAGCAAAAACAAATAATAAACACGTGACCACAACAGAAGTGGCTGAGGATAATGTGTCGGGTAAAAACATCCCACCCCAAACAGCAGACGATGCGATAGAAAATTTTGATTTCAGAAAAGCCCAGAGTACTGAAAAAGAACTATCCACAGAAGCGCAAAATACTGCGCGAAGTAAAGTTAAAACAGAAATTGATGCAAAAATAAATGTTTATAATTTGACTTGTATATCAGACAATGAGACATATGAAGAAGTGGAAAACTATTCTTTAACAAAGCCAGAAGTTCAGGGAGAAATTGGAGAGCCATCTGAGACTGTACAATTAGGTGACGTGAAAGAGGATCATGACAACGTACGTCAAGGTCCAAGGAGAAAACTGGGTTCGAGCCGCAGAGTGAAAGCAAGGAAGCCAGAATTAACCAGCACTAATGATGACATAGCTCATGAAAGCAAAGAGTTGGTTCCATCGGAGGATCTTTCCCACGTGAGTTTGAACTTGGCATCAGTTGCAGCAGCCGAACTAGCAAATGAAGGCAATGAAAATTTGGAAATTGTCAAAGACTCAACACTTTTGTTGCCTGAAAAAACACAGACTGTCAATACTGAATTCTCCATCCAAGAAAAAAATATTATTCAAGAAGGTTCAATAAGAGAAGTGACCCAAAAAGACGTTACTCCCATAGAGGGTGACATTATTAGAATAGAGGGTGTGAAAGAGGAAGCAGAGGCAGATGCAACCAGTGATATTGACATTCTTCAACAAAACACAAGAGAAGAAGTTATCTCAGCTAAAGTTAAAGATACACCCTCACTTCTTATAGCTGTAGAGGACACACACACAAATCAGGGGGGTCAAAATAGTGCAATTTTAGAAACTATTGCTGAATCACCAATAAATACTGAAACCGAAAGGGAAGAAATGAGTTCAATTCGCAGATCGCAGCTCAACCAGAGGCAAGGTAAAGAAATTAAATCCTTAGGTGACGTGGCAGTCTCAGAAGATACCAAAGCAATAGATGAGAAGGACGTCACTGCAATTGTTAAAGAAAGTGTAGAAAGTGATGTCTTTACGAAACAAAAGGATAATTACTTTACTGCTGCTAGCCCTGCTAAAGACGAGCAGCCAAATGAAGATTATGCAGAAAGGAGTAAACTTGCTTCAGAGGATAAAGAGGTTTTGGAAGCAGAAGTTCAACTGATTAAGGGCATAAATATGGCTGCACCGATGCTAAGTCTTGACCCTATTATTCGTGAGGAAATTCAACCTTCAAGTCCAGGGAAAAGGAGAAAAATGGGCTCTACTCGTAAGAATTTAACATTTAAAACAAGTCCACCAGAGGAGATTGTCCTTCCAATTCATGTTGACAGAGTGGTTGAGAGTACCTCTGATGAAAATAAAGAAAACAGAGAACAAAGTGGCTTACTTATTCCAACAGTATCTGTGCATGAACAGCCCCCAGATGAGAAAACCCCTCTTAGCCAAGAACGCAACCAGGAAAAGTCAAGATCAGAGCTGGAGACATCTTCCCATCCTGATGCACTGGCGGAAGAAGCAGCTGTTGCGAGGAAAAGAAAAATGGGCTCACATAGAAAGCCCCACACCGACCAGACCACCAGACAACAAGGGCACAGTGACGAGAGACTACTGCATCCTCTGGAAAAAGCAACAGCAGAGTCTACAAAACAGAGACAACCCTCACAGGTAATCTTCTTAAATTATATTTATGCTGAGTTCACCACTAGCTTGAATAAATGTCAGTGTTGTGCCCGCATCTACAGTATTGTTTTTAATCTGCATGAGAAAGTGCATGTTTTCACTCAAATGAATGAGGCTATTTCCAGTTTTAAAGATATATTAAATAATAAATGTAAGATATTGTTGAATGTTCCAAGTAACGGAGTAAAAACAATGTTTCTCGTTATATTGTTTAAGTATGCAACATTATTTGCAAGAAACCCCTTGTTTCAAAAGTGGTGTTTCTTACAATACAATGAGGAAGATGTGGTTACATAAGTTTGTTGTGAAAAAGTGTTAATGATATGTTACTGTCTTTACAGGTCGATGAAAGGGACAGTGCGTTATCCACTGCCACTGCTTTTAATATTAAGGGGGAGTCTAGGTCTGTGGGGTGAGTTTTATGCATGAAGTTATGTAATGTAATTCTTATGGGATCATGAGTATAAAAAATAGATGAGCCGTAAGAATGTAATCAAATGATTTGCAACAATTATTATTTATTTTGTTTACTACAGTCAGAGTATACCACATCAACTGTCTCATCCTTCTACAAATGTGCGACTGGCCCAGCAACGAAATGTCAACCTTGCTGCAGGTAACATTAGATGACTTTGTTTTAATGTGAAATTATCTAAACGTATTTGTATAAATATGAATTAATTTGCACCAGTATGAATAGACTTCCTAGCTCCTAAAATACTTGTGAGTCATAGGAGGCTTTTAAGACATGTCTGTTGGCTTAAACTGCTCTAGATTCTGCCTTGAATATACAGTGCCTTGCGAAAGTATCCTTTCGCCACATTTCAGGCTTCAAACATAAAGATATAAAAATGTAATTTTTTGTCAAGAATCAACAACAAGTGGGACACAATCGTGAAGTGGCACAAAATTTATTGGATAATTGAAACTTTTTTAACAAATAAAAAACTGAAAAGTGGGGTGTGCAATATTATTCGGCCCCTTGCGCTAATACTTTGTAGCGCCACCTTTTGCTGCAATTACAGCTGCAAGTCGCTTGGGGTATGTCTCTATCAGTTTTGCACATCGAGAGACTGGAATTCTTTCCCATTCTTCCTTGCAAAACAGCTCGAGCTCAGTGAGGTTGGATGGAGAGCGTTTGTGAACAGCAGTCTTCAGCTCTTTCCTTAGATTCTCGATTGGATTCAGATCTGGACTTTGACTTGGCCATTCTAACACCTGGATACGTCCATTTGTGAACCATTCCATTGTAGATTTGGCTTTATGTTTTGGATCATTGTCCTGTTGGAAGATAAATCTCCGTCCCAGTCTCAGGTCTTTTGCAGACTCCAACAGGTTTTCTTCCAGAATGGTCCTGTATTTGGCTCCATCCATCTTCCCATCAATTTTAGCCATCTTCCCTGTCCCTGCTGAAGAAAAGCAGGCCCAAACCATGATGCTGCCACCACCATGTTTGACAGTGGGGATGGTGTGTTCAGGGTGATGAGCTGTGTTGCTTTTACGCCAAACATATCGTTTTGCATTGTGGCCAAAAAGTTCGATTTTGGTTTCATCTGACCAGAGCACCTTCTTCCACATGTTTGGTGTGTCTCCCAGGTGGCTTGTGGCAAACTTTAAACGAGACTTTTTATGTATATCTTTGAGAAATGGCTTTCTTCTTGCCACTCTTCCATAAAGGCCAGATTTGTGCAGTGCACGACTGATTGTTATCCTATGGACAGACTCTCCCACCTCAGCTGTAGTTATCTGCAGTTCATCCAGAGTGATCATGGGCCTCTTGGCTGCATCTCTGATCAGTCTTCTCCTTGTTTCAGATGAAAGTTTGGAGGGACGGCCGGGTCTTGGTAGATTTGCAGTGGTCTGATACTCCTTCCATTTCAATACAATTGCTTGCACAGTGCTCCTTGAGATGTTTAAAGCTTGGGAAATCTTTTTGGATCCAAATCCGGCTTTAAACTTCTCCACAACAGTATCTCGGACCTGCCTGGTGTGTTCCTTTGTCTTCATGGTTCTCTCTGCGCTTTAAACAGAACCCTGAGACTATCAAAGAGCAGGTGCATTTATACGGAGACTTGATTACACACAGGTGCATTCTATTTATAATCATCAGTCATTTAGGACAACATTGGATCATTCAAAGATCCTCACTGAACTTCTGGAGTGAGTTTGCTGCACTGAAAGTAAAGGGGCCGAATAATATTGCACGCCCCACTTTTCAGTTTTTTATTTGTTAAAAAAGTTTAAATTATCCAATAAATTTTGTTCCACTTCACGATTGTGTCCCACTTGTTGTTGATTCATGACAAAAAATTAAATTTTTATATCTTTTTGTTTGAAGCCTGAAATGTGGCGAAATGTTGAAAGGTTCAAGGGGGCCGAATACTTTCGCAAGGCAGTGTATGACCTATTTCTGTGTCCTCTTCAGGTTATGATCCGAATGCCATAAAGTATGAGGTGGTCATGATTGGAGACAGCAGTGTAGGAAAGACCTCCTTTATGCAGAGGGCTCAGAGCGGAAGGTTTTCTTCAGATGTTCCAGCCTCCATTGGTTTGTCAAACATCAAATATGATTATTATTGAAACTCTTTATCATGCTTTGGTATTTATCTCTCTGAAATGCAGGAATGGATTCATACAAGTGGACTGTGGTTGTGGATGGAAAACCTGTTGTGCTACATTTATGGGATACAGCTGGTCAGGAAAGGTAAGGATTTATTGATCTGCAGTATTTCCACAGCCAGGAATCTTTCTTTGAGCAAGAAAGATCCGTTGTTGTTCTATGATGCTCACATTTGTCCCTGTTTTGTTCTGTTTTAAAGACAGCAAATTAAATGAAAGTCTCAGGCCGTTGGATAATTTATTATTTGCTACATAGTGTTTCTTAATCATTTTACTTCAATGAAATGTGTGCATGGTTCATAAAGTGGATTGGATTATGCACTGTGCATATGGGCTCTGTGGGAGTTTGTAGATAGTTTAAATATGAGTCAACCAGCTCCTCCTTGAACATGAGGCGTGCCATTTGGGCAAAGTTGAAACTTGCTACAAAACGAGTTTGGCACAACATTGAATTATATGCAAGCTGTCAAAACAGTCATGAGATCTGCTCCTTTAATTATACAAAAAAGTGTATAATAATGAAGATATTGAACTGGGGAAAAATTGTCCAATTATCACCTCTTGTTATAGATAGTAGTGTAACTTCTACAGGCTTCTTTGGGGACCAGAGATTGATACATTTAGTAGTTTAGGTATACTGTTCAAAGTGTACAAGTACAGTATTTGGTGTTTACATTTGTGTCTTTTTGCACAATCTGAGTATTCCATCTATGCCACATGTGACAAGTAAATTTGGAATAAAGTGGATCTTATCTTACATCACATGTTTTAATACCACTGCCATTTTGCATATTATGTGTATCTGAGCATCTTTTATTACTTTTAGATTTCACAGCATGACAAAACAGCTTTTCCATCGAGGCCAGGCTTTTCTGTTGATGTATGACATCTCCTGTCGGCAGACTTTCACTGCTGTGAGTTACTGGGCAAACTGCATCAAGGTAAGACAAAAACAAACAAATTACATTTTTTCTATAATTCAATATTCAAAAACCGTATGTAGGATGGAGCTGGGGAGAATGTAGTCACTTTACTACTTGGAAATAAGTGTGACAGCAAAGAAAGAAAAGTTACAAGAGATGAAGGGGAAATCCTTTCCCAAGTAAGAAAAACCTCATACTTTGTGCAGTGTTTGTGTAGTTACAATACTCAAGGCGTAATTTCACATCAACAGGAGAATGGCTTTAACTTCATTGAGTGCAGTGCTGCGTCAGGTGAAAATGTTGTTGAAGCCTTGGAAACCGTTGCCAGGTAAAACACCCTAATGTTATTTTAAATCATCCACACATTGAATGATTACATAAAGTTGTGTTTTCTTGTCAGACTGTTAGATCAAAAGGTTCAAAAGGCTGCTCGGAGGGAGGAACCACTTTTGTTGCGGAAACCTGAACCAAGGAATAAAGGATGTTGCTAAATACAAAAAGCATGATTGTAAATAGATGAACAATATGCATGTATGTCTGTACGTACTTGAGGAAAGATACTGGTACTTTCTCGATTTTTATCATGCAGTCCTATGTGTGTAAATTTTATAGTGCATATGCAAACATCTTTGAAGACTTATTATGCAAAGGAAACTACAAAGGGGAACTCAAGTCTATAGCACAAAGGCACTAATTGAAAGAGCAGAAATGAGGTTATTAAAGGTTATCCAATGCCTTTGTTTAATTATAACATTGCCTGTTATAATTAAATCATTTATTTTGTATAATAAACAAATTCAAATATTTTTTGTATTAACAGTGTCTGTCGTGACGTGACTGGTGTGTATAACTCCTTCCTCCACATCCAGGCTGTTTTGTTTTGTGGCATCCCTTCTCTTCTGACTCGTGTGGTGCTGTTGGATGGCTTTCATAACGTCTGCAGCAGTCCACTGGTTCCGTGTGAGAGCGTGGTGCACGGTGAAATGTCCATCTCTAGTCCGTCGAATGCTTTTACAAACCGCTGTGCTGCGCAACTCCAGTCCGATCTCGTGCACTACCTTACGAAGATATTTCTGTGTTTCATTTATAACTTGGACCTCTGCAAATTATAAAAACAAATGGTTCAAGATTGGCACAAATGTAAATTGATTATACATGTCTATCTTGAGTGGCTCTACATTCTAATTTTACATTAATTCAAAAAAGATTCATCAATTTAAAAAATAATGCATAAATTTATATAGCGCTATTCTGGAAAATCAATTTAAAACAGTAAGTGAAAAATACACTTTTTAAAAGGCCTTTTGGCTAATTTAAATGTTTTAATTGGATACAGCAATCAGAATTTCAATCAAAAAGGGTGCTCAAACTTGAGTATCCAATATTTGTTTCTAAAATACATTTTATGAATGAATTCATGTTTATTATTTGTCCCTGCAGAAAGTAATATTATGTGAACAATTCAGATCACAAAATGCAGTCTTTTATTTTTAAAGAAACATGTCATCCTTTACGTACTCATTATTTGCCGTTTTGCAATAGAGTAACTAGTTACACGGCTTTTTTCTGGTTTCAATGCGTAGGTACTCCAGATTTGAGGCCTTTTGGGAGGTCCTGTGGTTCTTTCCAGCTCACTACACATGCATCAGTTATATACGTACCTAAAGTAAAACTGGGAGGTTCAAAGTGAATGCAGCGCAGGCCTAAAATAATTGGCACAGACTTTTCCTCTGGTCCCAGTCGGCCTTGAACTGCCATTTCATATGCTTCTTGTGAGCGCATATCTACTCTTGAATACCTGCAGATGAAAAAAATCTCACATTGCTTGTAATATTTCACTTTAATTACTGCTGCTCTATTGCGTACATTAACAGTGCCTTTTGATTGGCTCCCTGCAGCATTGCCAAGACTTTTTCAAGTTTATCCTGAGTGAGATGATCTGTTAACACAACCAACACTTAAATAGGTTGTTTGCAATCATCACAAAACACATATTTGAGAAAGAACATTACCATAAGTGGATCTTTCTATTGTCCTGCCTTCACTTGAAAAGTCGTTGGTTGCTGTTCCAAACTCACCCTTAACGGTATAGTCCTGAATAAAAAGTCACAATAGTACAATATTAGTAAAATATACAAGTTTTATAGAAGTATCTACATAGTATGACATCTCACCCTTGTGACCCGAGAAGTATAAAAATCAGAAATACATTTGTTTGCATTTCCAACTCCTAGAACTGATGAGATAAGACAGAGGTGGCATAATCGTAAGTCTACATTTCTATCTAGACAATTAATACAAAACATTACCGAAAACACCTGACGAAAAAGCATCCAGGCGATGGCCCACTCCAACCTTAATACGGTGAAAATCAGGACCAGTAACTGAACAGAAACGCATTTTTTTGTCATTCAAAACTTCACAAAAAGGTAGTACAAGGGACACCATTATGCAATTTTTCTTAGCGTTCAAATGAAAACATAGGTATGATCATGTGAATGGCTTCTGACTGAAGCACTGACCTAAAGGATGCTTGGACAGAATCGGCGCATTAGCAGCTGACTGGATGAGTGCCTTGGGAACTTCTTCTTCAAAGTCGTTGGAAAGAAAACCTCGCACTTCTTGTGGAACAGGACTGACTCCTGCTGCATTTATGTCTAAAATGAGGTTTAAAGAAGACAAGAATTTAAGTGTCAGAACACGTCAAGAGGATGTCACGTCGTACTGACCTTTGAGAAGATTGGTTTCCACTGTGTCCCGCACCAGCTTCCAGTGAACTCCCGGAGGTTTGTAAACACAAAACAATCCGTTTAACCTGTGCATGAGCCTGGCCGCCATGGTTCCTCTATAGTCCCATTACGTCAAGAGATAACATTCATCCAGGGATAAAATGAGAGCTCATACACACATCACTCGACATCAGCTGAGAGCGTGTGTTGGACGCATGCGCAGTGGTTTATGTTTTACTCTGTCGCTGTGCAGCAGCATTTGTCCACAGCGCCCTCTACTGGAGCCTTCCATCTTCTATCAATTCAAATACTGCTATTAACATGTGTAACAGTAACTGTTTTGAATACCTTAAATAACACTACTTATGGTTGTAAAATAATTAAAGTGAATATGATTCGTATATTGCAAATCACAGGTTATTGTATTTAGAACACTGGGACAGATGTCCCTGTTAGGACACCGTTGCGGAGGGGGATTGTTTCGGAAGTGGAACTGCAATCCGTGGTGTCGATCATCAGCTGCACTGTTTTGGTGAGACATTTGCAGACTTTGACCTTGGACATTCGTTCTCTCTGCATCGGTGTTGATGAATTATATAGTTTGGCCTTTGTTTCTTTCTTGTTTGATCAAGTCAACTTAAATGCAAGAATATAATTGATCCTAGGCTAAATAATGATTATAACATGGCAAGGCAAAGGACGCAGCATTATTGCTGCAATTGCTTTGTATTTTTGTTAAATTATAATTTTTAATGGGTGTATGTACCAGCATGTTTTATTGAACTGTGTACTTTACATAGAATAGAATTAACTATATTATTGTTGTTCAAGTTATAAATTGTATTATTGTTTGTCTTGGACTGCAATGATTGCCTTATAATGCTGATGGCATTGGCAAAAATCAATACATTTACACATGACTGTAAATGATGATGATATACAGTATACTGCCTGTGCTGGCTTTTTATGCTGTGCAGTTTTTACAGCAGGGCTTCAGGGTGCATTGAGAAGTCTCTCGTTGCACCTGTTTTTATTCTATGGACTTAAATGATTATTTATATCATACTAAACCTGGATAAAAAAGCAGGATCACCAGTGCTACAAACACAAGTGTTTGTAGCACTGGTGATCTGTAGCCCTGTATTATGGCTATGGTGTGTTATTAATAGGGTGTATTGCTGTTCATCTAATATTCCTGTGTCTTTTTCCAGGTGTGATGCGTGCTGCTTTGAAATGGGTGTTGTGGGACGTGAAGGACACGCTGCTCAAAGTGCGGTTTTCAGTGGGAGAGCAGTACTGCAAAGAGGCTGCGCGAATGGGCCTCAGCCTTAATCCCATGGAGGTCAACTCTGCTTTTCGCCAGGCGTTTAAAACTTATTCCAGCAGATATCCAAACTACGGCATCGCACATGGTCTAAACGGACACAGCTGGTGGACCGCTGTGGTTACTGATACTTTTACTTTATGTGGCGTACAAGATTCAGCCCTTCTCCAGACATTGGCACACAATCTCTATCACAACTTCACCAAAGCACAGAACTGGGAGGTATTTTAATTTATGGTCAGGTTCATAAATATTGGGACACTACCACATTGAATGTGATATTAAATGTTCTTTCACTACATGACAAGCTTTGCTTTGCCAGGCCCTTAAATAAAGTAATGGTGTTAAGTTCTTGTATTCTAGATCTGTGCCTTCAAAATATTTGGGAGCTCTTTCAGCTTTGGGCCACTTGAGTTTTGAAGGCACAATATTGGCCAAAACATGTCAGAATTCATCCTACTGCTTTGACCTGCAGTTGTATAACCGATGAACCGTATTGCCCTCTACATGCCACCATCACCCCCATGATGCCCTGATGGGTTTATGTTTCGGATCATGAGCAGCTAGTACTTTTAGACCCTAGAGGCACATTTAATTGATTTTATTTATTTTATTTTGCACTCTGGACGCTGAAATAGTATTCACATTATATTATTCATTCACTGTCGTGGTAAATTATGAGTATGAGAATTATGAGTCATTAGATACTCTTTACCTGCTTGGTTCATTGCAATGAAATGGGTTGGTTTAAGTCTGAATATTTATGGACTTTATTATAATATTCAGTTTAAGCTTAACTATAAGAACAAGTAAATATGTTGCACTAATTGTGTTTTCTTTCAGGTATTTGATAATTCCAAAAAGGTTCTGGAAGCTTGTTCTTCACTTGGGCTAAAACTGGGAATTGTATCAAACTTTGATAATCGCCTGGAAAACATTTTAAAATCCTGCAACTTGTTGTCCCACTTCAGTTTTCTGATCACCTCAGAGGAGGCAGGTGAAGCCAAGCCCAGTTCACTGATCTTTGACCAAGCCTTGCAGAAGTGTGGTGTCTCTGCGGCACATGTGGCTCATGTTGGAGACCACTACATCAACGATTACCTGGCCTCTCGGGCTCTGGGCATCCATGGCTTTCTTTTAGATCGAGACAACAAACACGACGGGTCAGATGTTGTGCCAAAAGGACACCGTCTTTGTTCTTTGGAGGAGCTGCCTTCTCGACTTGTGCAGTTGGGTGTTCAGAAATCTGGTCTACATTATTAGTTAAAAAGGATTAAGGCAGTTGCATATAGAACTGTGCCATCTAGTGGACACAAGGGACAACTGGGTAAAAGTCAGTTGGGGTCACCTGAACAGCTTCTGATTGTCCTGCCATTTAGGCCTAAAACATAATTATCTCTTGTATGTATATTAAGCATCTTGATGTAATACTTTGAGGATGTTTATTAATATATCTGTGTTAACCTACCATTGAATAAAAAAATCACTGTCAGACAAACAGAATAATGTGTTGTGAATAGATACATTATAATAAGCATGTAAATGAATAGTTTTTGAATGTAAACATGTTTGATACATGAAATGAATACTTGAAACGTAAGTTATTTGGTAGTTTTCTTAGGATTACTTTGGCTTGAGTGTGTAGCATGTTTAAAGTGGTTTGTGTCTAAAGGAGTCAATACAGGCAACGGCCACTTAACCTTAATACCTGTCTAAAGACCGATCCAAACCATCTGGACCAAAGGAGATCGCACTCGTACCATCTGCAGGAACAGGAGTCAAAAGGCTAAATAAAGTTGTGGTTCACATCACTGCCTTAGCTCAGGATTAACACCTTCACATAGATTTACACTTTATCGGAAGTAGTTGGCACTGATTGCAAAGGGTTTTTGATTTCTTTACACTGTACTATTGGTCATAGGCTTATATGCATCTTCAAGGAAACATCCACAAGAGCTGCTTAAATCAAAGCTGGTTTAGAAGCTCAGCCAGACGGCTCTAAAGGCTTGTTCTGAAATCCAATTGTAGACATAATGGGATTGAAACAAAATGATGCTGCTCACATGAAGAGTGAAAGGACTAACTGTGTAAAATTTTTTAATATACAATAGAGAGTGACTGTAGAGCAGATGTGGCTTACTTTAGTCTAGTGACGGAATGCTTCTTGTGACACAAAGCAGCATTCACAGTTGAAAAGGGCTTTGGACAAAAAGCACATCTCTTTCAGCCATAAAAGCACTCAGGAGATGCACTCTGTCATTATATGCTCCAGGACCAGAGGTTTGTGTGGCTATTCTCCATGATGGAATACTCAAAAGATAATTTAGGAATTAGGAGGAGAAAAAATAGAAACCGAATCAATGGGCATCGTCAGAGCCAGCACATCAAATCATGTACACATAACACATGCAGTTTCTTATTTAATTCAACATTGAAAAATGAACGTGAATATAAAATAAATCAGAGAAGTGAAACACACAAATAAAAAGACATCTCTACAGAGACAAATACAAGCTCGTGTAAACAAAAATGGGCTCATTAATGCCTCACAATAAGTTCAAATTCAATCTGTCAGTCATTTTAATATTCCTTTAATTTTATTCAATGTATTTTCAATTGTCGTAGTGTTAAAATTAGGCAATGCTATAGTATAGTAGAAATAAGATTAATTGTGCAAATGTACAATAGTTTTTAAAATGCAAGTGCTAACATCTGTAAGAATATTGGTAAGATATTTGTGCTTCTCCACGTGACCCTTCAGTGCTCAGAGTTAAAACAGTGATAATGAGCATCCATTAAGCAAATGTGAGTGAAACTTACATGGTGCAGTTATTTAAGACAAATGTACAATAATTAAATCAACGCCACAAAAATCAATGTAGTTATAGCATGCCAGTGAAAACAGTACTGTTCAAGTATAGATCAGGAATAATGAAAAAAAACTGACCAAACAGATTTCAGCATCAACATCAAAACGGTGTTCAAATTCTATGTTCTCACATAATTTATTAGGGGAATCCTTTTTTTATATACTTTCTTGTTTTGTAATTAGAATATTGTCCATAGTTGCTAACAGTGCAGTGAATTCCTTAAAACCATCTTTACACCAGTGGCCTGTCCCTTCACCTTGTATTAAAAAAGATTGTGCTCATAAAGTTGTGAAAAATGTGCTGCTTTAAAAATATGCATATTAAGAATAAGTATTTTTTTGTTAAATGCTGCAAGACCTGGTTGTCCCATTACCTGAATGAACCAGGTCCCTGTTTCCTTCTCCACCAGCAGTCTAGTTACGATGACTTTTGTTACTTTTCAGTCCCAGACAGAGCTGATGCATTTCCGAGGGGGTGAAAGGTCTTCCCAATATGGAATACATCTTCAATATTTGTTCTTTAAATAATCCTGCAAAGTTTGTTGGCAGGTTTCCCTCATCAAAGTCTGAAGGCTTGTTGTTTTGTGGGTCCAAAGCATGAAGAAAGCTTAACAGACCAATCAAGACGCACCAAAGCATCGTCTTGTTGTCTCAAACCACTGAAAACATGAGAAATCACATAATATAATGTTATGTTAAATTACAAAATGTGCCCAAAACTGTCAGATTGCATTTTAGCTGGAAAGGTTATGTTCATGTTCAATTATCATGTCTGAAAGTCTATTCTACTTTCAAAATCTGTCACCACTTCTCGACAGCTGCAGGAGAAAATGATTAAGACCATAGATGATGTGCTGCCGACTGACAAAGTACGTGTGAAACTTCATTACAGTTTTTGTTTCATGTGGATTTGGAAAAGATTTACAGAAACATTTGGTTTAAACTAAGATGAGAGAAGTTCGACTTTTGACAGTTTCCATGAAAGATTTTTGGCTGCTCTCCACCACTATTTTAAAGTATAAACTCTCTGGAATGTTGTGATTTCACTGAATGCAACTTATTGATTATAGACTCTGGCGGCTCAGAAAGCATACACACATTTTTTTATTAGTGATAACACACATAGACACACACGCCCACTTTTGTTTCTGTAAATCTGAAGTTGCCCTCATAAAGAAACAAATCTAAATCTATGGGACAAATGTGTTTCATTATAAATCTTCACATACCACTTTCTGACGGCCAGTAGGACACTCCGTAGGACACTCCGCTGCTGATCTTCTCAGTCCGGTGCTGGTGTGCGTACCTCCTCTGCCGGCAGAGCTGTCTCCACCAGCAGCTGAACACAAACATTTACGTTCAATATCCTTCTCTACGACAGGCGATAGTTGTGTAACTTACTGTAGAAGAGTAACTAGCACTGCGATGAGGACGCAGCTGATAACACAAAACACCAACACTGTGGCGACGGTGTTCTGACTGTTCTTAGTGGCGACAACCGCCAACAGGTCTGCGTGCTCACACCGGATCCCCACAAAGCCTTGGTTACACCTGGAACACAGTTAAAAATATATTTACTTTTATGTACAAACAAAAAATCCATTGTGTCTCACTTTTACTTTCACATTTGAGACTACATTACATCTAGTCATATTTCCCACACACAATTATAGAGCTAATTATGTATGTTATATTTATTTATTATTTTATTTTATTACTTTTTTTTTATTATTGACTGGGAGGATAAGCCCCTAGAGATCTTATTTATGATGGGGTCTTTTTATAAAATGCAAACTTGGTTCAAGTACATTTTAATAAAAAGATTATTAAGAAGTTTTATATGAGAGTTTATATGATTTTTTATTTGAGAAGAATGTTTTGAGTTTTGCCATATCACGATGCATATTATAATAATCCATCGGTTTTACATAGCGCTTTTTTGGACACTCAAAGACGCTTTACATGTCATTATTCTTTCACTCCATACACGGTGGTGATAAACTACTACTGCAGCCACAGCTGCCCTGGGGCACACTGACAGAAGCGAGGCAACCACTATGTGCCATCGGGCCCTCCGACCACCAGCATGAATATTATAATACCATTTAACCCATTTATTATAAGAAAAGGTGTCACTTCTAAATAACCCAGGGATAAATATCAGACACTGGCCCTACATACAACATAGTGAATGGTAAGACAGCGGGGGCTTACACACACGCTGGTGCCTCCTCCAGAATAATAAACCGACAAGTTCCATGAAAACAGAAGTGACGATGGGAGTCAGGGCAGTCATCGAAGTGAGAGCGCACGGCTGCGGCCACAGACTCTGCACACAACCACACAGGACATACAGTTTACATGCACAGTTTAGGACAAAAGACCAAAAAGACCCTCTGTCAACCAGCGCTGCTCTGTTCCCAGGATTGAATGTGCAGATCCATTAGGAAACGTTACAACTATAAAACATTTAGATTATGTCAGTTCAGCATTAAGTCCACTGAGAATCCTAAAATCACAACTCAAAGGAGAAATCCTGATCTCAATTGATTTAAAAGGACTGACAGTGACCAGCTCTGTGGTCCGACGAGAACATAGTGAGATGTTTTCCATAGTGAGATGTTTAAATTATAAGGTAAATAAAAAGAATAAACTGCTACGTTTCCAGCTTAACACCTCTTTGCAACATGATTTTTATTTTTTTCAATCCAGTAGCAAAGGATTTCTATTGTGAAAATTGCAGAACCAAAATTGGATAGTTTTGATGATGCCAAGAATTGCATAATAATAAATAGCTCAAGGGGCACAAAAGAAGTATCTTACAGCTAACACCAGGTCACCCAGCTTTGACACAGCTTCAGGTGGAGTTTCCTTTTCCAACATTCTCAAATTGAAGCCAAAATTCACCCCTAGCACTACTTTGAAATCCAAATCCTGTAACCTGAATTAGAAGCAGAAAATAACGTGCCTTCAGGATCCACCACCGCCCACGCCCCCCTCTCTAATCCATGATGGTTTAGGAATCTGTTTTCACTAGCATCTACATACATACGTTGATCAAATTAACATTGTCAGACAGAAACGTTGAGGCATAATCAGTAAAACACATTCCTAAATTAGAGTCTCAAAACAGTGTCTAGTGTTCTCGTTCTCAATAGTGACTTATGCGATAGTGGCATTTAGCCAAGATGACATGATGGTCTTGTCACACTCCATTCCGATAGTAAATGCGCTTTTGGACGGCAGCCTACATGCATTGTCTTTCCTATTCAGCTTCATTCAACGCTCCCTCTTGTCCCCAGGCATCTATCCCAACCAAGCATTTTTTTATCTACCATGGGATTTACAAAGCGAGGTTGAACTCACAAAAATGAAATTCTAAACTGCCTTCAGGAGGAGCAAGAAACGAAATAGAGATGTGACACTGCAAAAGATGTAGTGCATTTCATCGGAACACATTGTGAGCACACAGGGAGGCGGGGCGCTCTGGGAAGAGGCTATAAACAGATCTTCTCTACAAGTGAAAGCAGATATAGCAAAACAAGGAAGAATCTTACTTTTAATTGGAGAGCGGCCCGTTGTACTTGTAACATCAGTCGTAGTTTGGTTTATTGAGCTTTCTGGATAGGAGCCATTTGTTGAAAAATATGTCAAAGCCGTTGAGTTGCTTTCTAAAGAGATGTTGGCATCACTTAGCGTTGAATTGTCTTGTCTTGATCCAAATGTATAGAAGGACCCTGTTTGAACAATCAAAAGCAACAGTCACAATATACATTTGACCTATAATGACAACAAAAGCCTGTAATGTAGCAATCATTGGAAACTCACCGTTGAGTACCAAAGATATACTAAAAGAACCTATAGAAATATAAAAAAGGGGATTATTGTATTGTGGTTTAATGGGACAAAGGGAGGTGTCAGGTAACCTACAGTTAGATCCTGAGGTGTATTGCAGCTCTAATGCCTTCAATGTGATGCTTCATTGAGAACGCTTATCTAACATTAGTGTGAGCAGCTACGGGTGGCTACAAGGATAAGATACAGGTTCTATTAATAAATACCACAGTTAAAGCACAAACAAACACATCCAAAAAGATGGCATTTGGAAAAAGACACTAGAATTGACTAAACAATGTTTGCTTGTAACTTGTATGGTTACATAAAGACATTGAAGACTAATCTGCATACAGTAGTGGGCCTATGGAGTAAGCTGGGGAAATTATGAAACTAAGCTAACCTCTATTTTTACACAAGGACATAAGACATTGATTTGCATGGTGTTTAGAAAGCATTGCACAGCGTGAACACATTCCTACTTGGGATCTGTCAATGGAACAGCTTCTAATTCCTGACAATGCATCAGATGGGTACGTGCTAAAATAAATACATAACCTAGAAACTCAATTAAAGTTAAGTGAACTAGATTCATGAAGAAACGATACGGTTTAAAGAAGCTTATATGATAAAAGGTAAGACATGACATAATAACAGTATAAATAAACTTTCGGATACTCACCACTTATCAACAAGATGGTGTCCCAGAAAATCTTTGCCATCAGCATGATGAGGTGTGCAGCAGATCTTCAGTCAAGCGCAGCCGTGTCTTTAGAAACCACATTGGTCATTAGAGGCACAGGGGACTCCAGTGGGACCAGCAGTGGAAAAACACACATCTAATCCAGTGATCACGCACTAGCCGAGGAAATATCCATCAACATATGGGGAATATCCGACTCTTCACCACAGACAAGCTCTAATACAAATGTTGCTATAATCCTTGTTTTTTTTTTTTCCTCCGGGAAAAGTGCACAGCAGTCCTGGGCGTTTGGCTTGGCAAGCATGCAATTGAGGAAACCCGTGTAATCCTGTCAGAGGCTGGCCAATTACAGGCGGGAGGGGGCGGAGGGTGTGTCTACTCATTATGACCACGGTACACCAGCGCTGGATGCGGAGAAGACAGCGCAGCATCATAACATTTCACGCACTTTACGCACTCCACCACTACTTCGCATGAAACGTGTGTGCTTACGTGGTCATTATACTCGGCTGGTTTAAAACAAAATTGTTTTAATCGATTTTGTTTTAATCAATTAAAACAAACACTTTATTAGTATTAATTTAGGCTGACAAAATATCCATCAAGTATTGGCGCGTCTTGTTCAGTAGGGGGCAATGGCTCTCAAGTGAAAAGAGAAATTGTCCATTTTATTAATCCACTTGCGCCATCTGCTGGAAGCTTTACGGATTTACAGGAACATATTTGACACAAACGTATCTGCTGCTGAATGGTGTAATACACATTGATCATTCCTATGGACCAGGGGCTCCTGTGTGTTTGTTATTATTGCATTTCTTGACTGTAAATACTTTTGTTAACGAATCGATAACTTTGTAAAGTCCTCCGAGACTACTGCTGTTGTCAAATAGAGCTATACATTTGTTGTTTTTAAGTCATCACTATTCATGATCAGTGATGTCAAAGCGTCACAACTGTACAAATGTCGTGGTCACTCATGCGTCCAGCTTAAACCACAGGTGACCAAGTGCGCGTCACTGACGTCACTGAGGGTCCGAGGTGCGCGCGTTTGCGGAGCTCAGATGGGGCTGAACTGTTGCAACCCCGGCTCCTATAGTTCCATTGAAGGATCCAGGACTTGGGAAACATGTCCAACCCAAAGGGCGCACAAAAGGTAGTTTGCTGATTTATTTGAGTAGTTTTGACATGTTGTATGACGTTATGTATTATTGAAATCCTACTAGTTTGTATCATAGGACGACATAGTTACTGGCGGTGTTGGGTATAACCAGGGCTGGACTGGCCATCGGGCGTACCGGGCAATGCCAGAAGAGCCGATGCCCATATTTGGGCCGGTCTGTCTGCCTCATACAAAAAAAAATGTTTGTGAAAAGTGTAAATCCGTTGAGAACTGTTCGAGGGGGCGCGTGTGTCCGCGGGGCACCTGCTGTATGTACTCGAACGGGATTCCACCACCTCAGCGGCAGCAGTGTTCCGGCATCCAGCGGCTCTGAGCTGGACGCGGGAACCGCTCACCGGGAACCGCTCACAACACAACACGGTGAGCGCGTAGCCGCAACGTGACCATGTACCCAAGACCATAAACGTGCACATGCGTGTCTTTGCGTAATTTGTGCACCAAATAAATACACCGCTGCAGAAAACAGTCCGCGTCTCCCCTCTCCTCTTGAAGTGCGACTAAATTAAAGCTCGGGTGCCTAAATTTTCCATTGCATTAAAAGTTCATGTTTGAGCCCAAAAGTAAAATGTTGTGAAAAACTTAAACAGATTTAGAGCCAGCTAATGGCTGACAATATGCATTTCAGTCTTTTTTGACCAATTCTCATCCCTGTAACAAACAATAGTATTGTCTGTGTCCACCTCCCTCACTCTGAGACATGTTTATTACTCTCTTGTAATGTAGACTATTGCACTTTATTTTTTTGTTGAAACTGTAGACATCCTGACATGGACGTCGGAACTATTTTCTGAGAGGGGGGGCGGGTTTTTGTTGGGAGAGTCGAGGGAGAGACTCATACTTGGATTACACTGGATAATAACATACCATCTTAATTGTTAAGAAAAACAAAATAAACAATATATATCAAGCAAGTCACTTATCAAACTGAACTTTTTTTTTTCAATACGCATTCATGCGTCAGTCTCTCCGGTGGCTTCATTGTGTTGTGTAGCCCAGTGACGTGCGGTCAGATGAGGCAGGCAAGGCCCTCACCTAAGATCATAGAAAGAAAAGTAATAAAATGGATACAATAATGTTTGGTCACTTTATCAAGTGATTTGTGCTGTGCCTTATTTCATTTATTTATACCTTGAAATCGCAGATTTGACAGAGCGGTGCTGTGAGGCGAGCCTCTCTTGGGAGACGTAAAAAGCAACAGTTCACAGGGAGAGTCCTGTGAGGTGCTATCAAACTGTTTTCCCTGTTTATCACAGTTTAAAAAGTTCAAAAATATTTAATTTACAATCAACATGTTTACATTTAAGAGGATGGCTCATAAATTGTGTTTTTGAAGCAAATATGGGTCTTAATCGCGCTCAACCACAGCTTGTAAGTGAGGAAAGCCTCAAGGGGGCGCTTGTGAGCCCAAACTTTGGCTGCATCCAATTCCATCAGAAAGCTCCTTTCTTGTTCTTCTTCTGCTAAGGGCAGCTACAGGTTTGGCTAACATACCTATAATACATTTTAAGATAATTTAAAATGCACTTAGAGTAATGTTTTGCTTCCAATGATGATATGAATCATAAGAAAAGGAGGTGAAGGGTAAGGTTGAATTTAGAAATTGGATTTACCCGGGAGTCGGCTGCAGCAAAACTCGGAGTTTACGGAGGAGACACCCGTTTTTTTTACTTTTTAAAACTCATTGAACTTATTTCCAAATGGAGGATTACATGTCTGTGCCCAAACTATTATCTGGACTTAAACATGAAACTGGTCCTAACTGAAGTGGTCTGTGCTGTTCATTAATACCTAAGGTAAGGCCCATAACACACTTTGTACTATTTACAAACGTTTGCGTTTTGTATGAGAAAACAATGCAGACATTAAATCATATTCTGCTGTAGCCAAACAAATTGTGTATAAGCCGCTCCTGTTCCTGTAGGTCCTGTTGGTTTATATGATGTATAATCATATGAACACATGATTGATCCCCCACCGCACGTCACTGGTGTAGCCAGGTCTCTAATCTGCGCAAGGCTGAGAAAGAGCGCTCAGAGGCTGCGACAGATATTAGCCAGACAGAGCTTCATAAGCTTCTCCGACAGCATGGAGCGGGTTTTGGGCTGCAAGGAACGCAGGATAGTGATAACTTCTCGCTCCCGGCACACGCGGAGGGGGTGCGGCCGCACCCCCCGCACCCCTAGTTCCGACGTCTATGCATCCTGATCCTCTACAGTATGCTTCCACATACTGTATAAACCAGGGGTCGGAAACCTTTAGTGCTCCTCCAGTGGCTCCTGGAGCCTTTTCAAAAATGTCTGAAAATGGAGTGGGAGGGCTATATTTTATTCCTAGTTTGAATGTGGTTTCTGTAGGAGGAAAAACATTCCTAACGTATTTCAATGCTGTAAAAATGTGTATAAGTAATATTCAACATTTCAACTTTTCTGTTAACGTAGTGCGTCATATCCTGTGGCGCGGCCCCGCGCCAGGCGGCCGCTGCTGTAAACAAACCGGCGTGTGCGCACGGATCCCAAAGATAAAAAGAGAACGAGTTGATAATAAGACTGGACTAAGAACAAGACTGAACATTTGCTTTCAGTCAATGAGGAAGGACTGCTTCATGTTTGCGATGTAATGAGAAGTTTTGTTGCAACACGAGGAACAATGAAGCACTAAATACCGTTCACAGGGATAGGATTCTTTCATACAAAATCCGGAGCACTTTTTTCAGACTTCAAAAACCCCCGCAAAGACTGTGAAAGAAAAGGACATTCAGCTCCAGCAAACTTCAGCCTGTGACGTGATCGATATGAGCGGACAGTGCAGGTGTGTGACCTTTGAGCCAAAAAGCAGATTTATTTACTGTATTGTAAAATGGAAGTCAAAGTTAAAGCAGAGTCATCACATGGTGCGTCATTCTCTCCAGGACACGCTGCAGTGAAAACACACATTTGATAATCATGAATGCTTATTATGTATTTGTAGCCTTTAGATATTAGGCTAATGTAGCTAATGTAGCTACATTGTGTAACCTTCATATAAGCTTTATACAAGGCTGTTATTTTTTTGCGGCTCCAGACAGATGTTTTTAGTTTTTTTTGTCAAATATGGCTCTTTGAACCTTTTGAGTTGCCGATCCCTGGTATAAACAAACTGTAAAAAACGTGACAAAAACATGCCTGGGCCGGTAAGAAGGAAATAATGCCCGGGCCGTTTTTTTGTCCCAGTCCAGCCCTGGGTATAACTTATGATTTATATTTAAGTATTTCTGGTATGACACGATGACACTAAATTTCTCCACTGTGAGGCGAATAAAGGAATATCTATTCTTATCTTATCTTATCTTATCTTAAAGTACATAGTTACTGTGATTGAATTGCTGTAAATGTGTATGCGTAAATGTGTATATAGAATTTATTTAATTAATATGTAACTTTATCATGAATATGTAACTTTCTTACATTTAAGTAACTTACCAAACACTGGGGACTGGTTTAAAATAGCATCAGGGTTTTAACTTGACTAAAGTGTATATTGTCAGTGGCTTGTAAAGCAGTGGTTCCCGACCTTTTTGCCCCGTCCCCAACACTCACCACCAGCGTTATTCAAATGTATTATATGATTTGTTTGTCATGAAGGCTTTTTGACCAAAATAATTTGTTTTAACTTGAGTTTTAGACTTTCCCAAAAAAATGACTACATGCTTGGACTGAACAAAACATGACCAAATGTAGCTAAGGCTTGTAATTACAAACTGCTAGACCCAAGTATTATTATTAATTGAACTATGGGTTAAATGTTTATGATTAAACAAATGCTTCGGTTGTAGACTGGCTGGCTATTGTGCATATTTGTCACAATATACCCAGATTCCTCCCTTCCTGTCAATGTTTGCAAAGTCCAGTATCCAATCAGAGAGCAGATGGATGATGGACTATGATGTTTTCGTTTGGGTTGACCATTTTAATTGTGAATTCCAGGTGGTTTAATTTTTGTCCAACCCTCAGTGCCGACGGGAGCTTTAGTGTGTGCTCTGTCGGCGAGTAAAGACCTAGTTTTACTTTTTATGAAAGCAGTCTAAGAGCAGGATACATGGTCCCTTACTAACAGACATTGCATCCGAAAGTGCTGAATAGTATTAGCAATTCAAATAAAAAACTTGTGAAAACAAAAGGATGGTATAAACATGATTAGCCTGTCAAAGTTTGTTATGTATTATGTTGCATTTATACTTGCTTTCTTTGTTATTTTGCATATTGTGACTGGGTCTAGTGACACTACACACATTAATTATGGATCATTGGAGGATATGATTTCATCCACAGGGCAGTTCTCTGACTCTTATCTTGATGGTGCCCTCAGCAGCCATTGGGGGAACCTTGCAGTATGGATATAATTTAGCTATTATGAACGCACCCACTACTGTAAGTTTTATCTTTCTTCCCCAAATTGTTTGAATGTATTTGGATTTGTCAATATTTGTCATTTGTTGATAACATCCTGTGTTTAAATGTGTGCTAACTCAGTAACATTCATTCTTTTACGTTGACCATTTGTTCTGCAGTTCATTCAGAATTTTGTAAATGAGACTTTTCAAGATCGATGGCAATTACAATTGGAGAATTATCAAGTGACTTTCATTTGGACAATCATAGTGTCAATATTCTCCTTGGGGGGCCTCATCGGGGCCTTGATTGCGGGGCCAATGACCATACGATTTGGAAGGTAAAAATCCAAGTGTTGAGTTTCCACTACAAATAATGAAAGCATTGATTATTCATTTACTTTTTACTGTTTTACCAAATGTTTGTGAAATTCAGAGGCCATTGGATACAACTGTATTTTACTTTTTTACAGAAAGAAATGCCTTCTTTTGAACAACATCTTTCTTATGAGTAGTGCTCTTTTTGCTGTGACAAGCAGAGCTGCAAAGTCCTTTGAGATGATCATCATTTCTCGGGTGCTAGTGGGAATTAATGCAGGTATAGTTTGCTTTAAAGTTGCAAATAATTGTAAAATTGAATGCTGTGAGGATGTGAGTCTCATCTTGTGGCTACAGAATGAATGAAAAAGACAATTACTTAATAAGAACAAACTTATTCTTTTGCAGGAATCAGTATGAATGTTCAGCCCATGTATTTTGGAGAAAGTGCACCCAAACACTTGAGAGGAGCGGTCTCTCTGTCCTCCGCCGTGTTCACAGCCTTTGGAGTTGTTCTGGGACAGGTGGTTGGCCTGAGGTGACGCTTCAAGACAAAGTGAAGCAGATGACTTCTTTGACCTAATATGTGGTTCATTGTAGGGAGGTTTTGGGGAGTGAGCCGTATTGGGAGTACCTCTTGGCGAGTAATGCTATTCCTGGCTTTATTCAGCTTCTTACTTTGCCCTGGTTCCCCGAGAGTCCCAGGTACCTGCTCATCGACAGAAAGGACAAAGAGGCCTGTTTGAATGGTACAATATACTTATGGCTGAATTCATAGAATTTTCCATTTACCGTAATTTCCGGACTATAAGACGTTACTTTTTTCCAGTTCTGTCAACCCTGTGGCTTATATTGGGATGCAGCTAATATGTGTGTTTCTATTGTGATGGAGCTGGACTGCTGTCAGAGTGGCAGAGTGGATGGACTTATTATTTTGATTCCATCAAATTGTAGCAGCATTAGGACACTGGTTTATTGTCAAAATAGATGACGGTGATGATTTAAAGACGAGGTATATGGTGAAACTATACACCTTGTCTTTATATCATGTTGTGACAAGTAAAAAATGTGTCTATGTGCCATGAGATCAGATCTATCTGCTATAAAATCAATAAAGTTTAAAGGTGCACTTCATTGAACCCCATGGGGGGGGGGTTCATCCTCTGCATTTGACCCATCCTGATGCCGCCACTAAGGATTACATCAGGAGCAGTGGTCTCCGGGAACCCATCTCCAGATGTTGATGCTCGGCTTGGGTCAGGACTATCGGAGCTGGAGGATTTTACCTAGTGTGCATGTTTTTCGTGGTAGGGGAAGCCGGAGTACCCGGAGGAAACCTATGCAAGCATGGGGAGAACATGCAAACTCCACTCAGGCCCTGTTCCGACCGAGATTCGAACCTAGGATCTTCTTGCTGAGAAATGGGAGTGCTATCCACTCTGCCACTGTGCCGCTAGTTTATCATATCTGATCATATATTTTCAGTCTGCACCAATACCTTTACCAGGATTAATAATAATAATAATGATAATAGTGATAATAATAATAATAATAATAATATGACAAATAAAGTATATCATTTTATTAATGAGATCAGATTTTCCCTTTCAAATACAAATTTTACCATATAAACACCCATATTCCCATTCCTGTATGTTGACAATACCATTTTTGTATAAGTTTATTTGAACAGATGATAGTTAGACACTGCTTGAGCTCGACACACAATCTGCTCCATAGTTTCACTCCACACACAGACTTTTCCTGGTTCTCACTGCTTGAATTTTAAAGATCTAAGCAGCGCACACACATGCACACACATACACACACACACACACACACACACTAACCCTAACCAAATATAAATATAGTCTGTGGTTGCAAGGTGACGGTAACTTGTGTCTGAAATCAAAAGCAAAATGAAAATTGTGCTGGACATCATCGACTGAATTGACGTATTATTGCATTGAACATTTGTTTGTTTGTTTTTGCTTTTGGGATATGCGATTCTTACCTTACCTATATTTCAGTTTATTCATGTTGCAACCATGGCATCCTCTATAGGAACCTGACTCCAACTAATGATTATTATTTGACTTTTTATATCAACATATATAGCATGTTGATACTCTCACATCAGATAATGCTATGTATTCCTTAGTCATTTACCTTTCTCCTGATGTCTAATGGAGTGTGTTTGTGCTCAGCTCTAAAGCGTTTGCGTGGCTGTGAGGACCAGGGCAGTGAGCTGGAGGAGATCCTGGAGGAGGAGGCTCAAAGCAGAGGCATGAAGCCCCGTCAGCCCTGGGAGCTCTTCACTGACAGGGCCGTCCGCTTTCAGCTCCTCATCATCATTGTGGTCAGCAGCGCCATGCAGCTCTGCGGAAATGACTCGGTGCGAGATTTTACAAATGTTTAGTGGAGTGTTTAACCATACAGAATTTCTTTTACTTTTAATCAATAATATATAGTGGTCCTAAAACATTCAGTTGATAATGTTACAAGTGTAGTCTGCGTGTAACTGAGAAGTCGGGTCAACGTATCACATAACCAATTTGAGCTCTAAAGTTGAAAGGCTTATTGGATATGTGAGAAGACTAATTCTGCACCCTTACATTGATCCAGCAAATAATATCAATAATTAAGTTTATAAATATAATTGTGTGCAAGTGTACATGTGTGTTTTTACATTTTGGATGCTGCATAAGTGTGAATGTGAGTGAATTGGGTCAGGTTTAAAGGTTTAGCATGCACAGAGGTCCAGCATTATTCAAATTAGGCCAAGAAGAGCTTAAACATTCACAATTAACTATTATTTTTTCTCCTTTATCTTGCAGATTTACTTTTACGCTTCATATGTTTTCAAGGAGTCCGGAATGTCTGCTGATAAAATCCAGTACATTACAATAGGCACCGGTTCGTGTGAATTTACCGCCTGCATAATGTGTGTAAGTACAAGTGTGTATTATGTAATCGGCTTCAACAGTGGCACGTTGTGTCCATATTTACCAAGTCAGTAATGCAAATGCAAGTTATACCACCATAACCTTTTTTGTTTGGAGAACCACTTTTGAGCAACAAAAATGGCAGAGAGCTAGTCTTTTTGCAGTCATAATGATATAGTTTATGTAATGCAGAAAAACTTGGACAAACATGTCAAATATACCATGTTACTGTACAACCCTACATGTATAGATAAAATAGAAATGCAATGACTCAAAACGTTAAAATTTACGTGTCAAATTCCTGAATCCTTTGGGGAGCTACCTGAAAGGGGTTGGCGAGCTACGAGTAGCTACCAAGAGAAAGATTGGAGACCACTGATTTAATGAACGCATCCAACAGTGGCTCAGTTGGCAGAGCATTGGCCTTAAAGCCTGAGGGTCGTGGGTTCGAGCCCACCACAAGACCTACTTCATGAGTCCCACTGATGACTGATGTCGTGAAGCCCCTGCTGAATAATCAAGGCTCCTGTGGACTCACCACCTGCAGGAGGACCAGTGAGGGCCTGGTGCTTTGTGTACTGCAGCTCTGACTGCTACCCCCTGACCCAGAAATGGATTAAGGGGAAGAAAATGGATGGATGATTTCTGAACTTTCTTTGACTGATTAATTTAGAATTTGCTGATTGAGCGCAAAGGACGACGGTTTATGCTGATGGGAGGCTTCATATCGATGACCGTCTGGGCTGTGGTTTTCACTATCGCAATGTTGTTTGAGGTGATTATTATGTTGCAATGAATAAAGAAGTCAACTGCATTCACACTTTTCACATATAATATATTGTAAAAGATCCACATTTGGAAAAGTGTTTGGTGAGTTTGTTTCGGGCTCTGGAACCGCTGCCACTGGTGAACCTCACAGCCGACTAAACTGCCTCTCTGTGTAGATTGATCAATACATTATATTTCGTTGCTTCAAAGGGATAGAACCACTGATCCACGTGAGCACAGCCAGTAGGTGGCATACTCTGACACCTCTTTTAGAGGAAGACATGATAATTGGTCACTGGCAACACAATTTTATATTAGTTCTGTATCAGTCGTAGTGATTAGTAGTCCGTATTTCCATGTTTTCTCACCAATATCACACTGCGAGGGGGCGCAGTGTGAGTGTGTGAACGGCCCTTAGCTCTGGCCAGAGGTCCGACTTTTTCACTTCTGGGCCATGAGAAACACAAGACTAAAACTGTAATCTGAGTTTGTATATTTAAGAATTTAGGGTGAACTGCGCCTGAGACAGACACTTTAGTCTTCAGCTTGTAAAAACAATACTCTTTACCATTTTTACCTTTTTTCAACCTGGAAGAGACTTAAAGTGAGCTGGAGTTTTCAACTGATCCCTGTGAAGATCAGTTGAAAACAAGTGGGTCCAGGTTTTTGTGTGAAATCATCTACAGTTTGCGAGTATTTTATGACCCTTCAGGAAATAGAACTATGTTTGGGAAAGAGATTGTTTATCCATGTTCATATATTGTGATGGATGAGTAAAAAGTCAGCTGTTTTGCCCAAAAGCTGTTCTTTTTTACTGAAATGTCCAGCAGAATTTCCATTCTATATCCTTACACAGATAATTGTTGTATATTCTTCTATGTTTATGTCTATGTCTATGTATGTATTATAACATAAAACCTATGTTAGCATTAAACAGTCATTTTCCTCTTCTAAACAGAGTTATATTTCATAGATGCCTTATTTGAGTATGGCGTGCATATTCACCTACATCCTCAGTTTTGGCATGGGACCAGGTATGAGACATAGCACTATATACATAGAGAACAATGTATTGGTCTAACCAAGGCTTTCTTTCAGCTGGAGTTACTGGTGTATTGCCCACAGAGATCTTCAACCAGTCAGCTCGACCTGCAGCGTACATGATCGCTGGCTCCATGATGTGGATCAATCTCTTCATTGTTGGAATGCTCTTTCCTTTTCTAGTGGTCAGTCATTTATATACCTATAATGTACATACACTCCTACTTAAATGTCAAAACCAGTTGAAAATTAACTTTTCATTGTTTGATCTGGACAGAATTCAGTCCTGCCTTTCTGAAAGATTTTTTTTTTCTATACAGTTAGATTGTGTTCATTCTTTTGTTCCCTCGTGTCTTTCACTTCCTTATAGCTACCTCCAGATATGTCATTGGCTTTTGCTACTCTTCAATTTTTGCTGAAATCACTGGTCACATAAACAGGCTTCACAATCAACTGCACATCCACGGCCAGTTGTGTTCTAGAGAATGTAATATTAGCCCTTATGCTTGAGTGGTGGCCATGACTGGCAGTGAGAGAAGTCAATCATTGGCACCAAACAAGCGTATTTCATTGGTTCAACCATCTCAATATTCTGTACGATTAGCTTTCAAAAGTTAAGACTATGGCTTTTTAAAGCCTGTTTTGTGCAAAAAAAATTGATTTAGTGTTATTTTCTTTAGGACAATCACACTGCAATACATTCTGATGACAAAATAAACAGATTGTCTAATGGAGCTCATTGAATGAATTACATAATTACACTTTTTTGGAGCACCTTGTTTGTTTCATGATCTGATGACCTTGATCTGAAATCATGATCTAATACAGAGCTGGATGGTCAAACACTTCACACTTTTACTGGACACTAAAAAGATCCTGAACACGTGTTTTTTTTCTATCTGTTATTAACAAATTTAAAATGTATTTTAATTGTATGCATATGCTCAGAACGTCTATTGATACATTTATGACTCTTGTTCTAACATTCTTTTTCCCTCAGAGTGAATTGAAGGAGTACCTCTTCGTGCCCTTTGCAGCAGTCTGCCTGTTATCTGCTGTATATATTGGGATGTTTCTTCCTGAGACCAAAGGGAAGTCTCTGTCTGCAATCACAGCAGAGTTTCACAAGCTCAACTTCAAAGGCCTGGCGCCGATGCCCTCTCCTCAGTGTCAGGCCAAGTACCAGCTGGGCCAGGTGTGCCGCTCCACAGCACTGTAGAAATCACATATTTACCTAAAACTGACAGAATGATGTATACAGTGTCTGCCACTTTGTGGAAAAATATTATTGTTTTAATATTATAGTGGATTATTATAGTCTACTTGACCAACAGGATTATCAATTGGTCACTTTTGGTGAAGCTATAGTCTATAAAAGATCATGGAAGCCTGGAGGAACGGTGTACCCTAGGGCCGGGGAATAAAATAAAATAAGAGTTCCTTTATTTGTCCCACAGTGGGGAAATTTCAATGTTGCAACGCACATACAGGACAGTATGTGGGAATGTGGGACAATGACCTGATGAGGACTTGGATGTAAAACAAAACCATGCGAAGCACAAACCAAACAAAATCCAAACGTTTCCCCATCACCCCATTACAGCCACAGCTATGTAATGTACTGTGGTGAAAAGTGAGAATTTATGATGGTCATTCAGTCTATGATAAGATGTAAATATCTATAATTGTTGATATTGTATTATGTTGATGCATATGTTGTACAATTGTTTGATGAAAGTATTGAATGCATGGCTCAGCTTTGCACATAAGTTTTATTCTTATTATTAAATTGTGTAAAATAATACATTTTTAATTTATGTTATGTTGATTTATTATGTTTGTTGAAAAAAAAAATATTGCACAGTTGCAGTGGCTTGCAAGATTTTAGAACAGGCAACTGAAGTGAAAACAAAATGATACATGCATTTGTTATGTATCAAAGAATTAAAAACTCAAGGTTTTGTATGTTCATGTGCAGCATCAACTTGAACAGCTGCATTTTGATCAGTCGACCCTAGGGCAGCTGTGGCTACAGTAGTTGCCAGTTATTAGTTATTATTGTTGCAGGTTAAAACCAACTATAGTAATATGACAGACTTGTGTTAAGAACCTTTGTTCACACTGTAATCGCCCATGAGAGAGACCGTGTCCTGGCCCCTTTCCTTTTCACTATTATTACCATTGACTGCTCCTCTGTCATTGGAAAACCAGGACTTACAGTAAGATATCCTGAAAAGTATTCATTAAACTGGGACAAGAACATCTCTGTAATTACAGTAAAGCGGATGACACATTTAGTTACATACTAGGACAACATTTGAAATAATCTTTGTGATAGTATATTATTAACAAAGCTATGAAAACAGCCACAGCACACTTTGAAATGATCAAGATTACATTATAACTCCATATCTATCTGTGTGTATGTATGCGCACATGTAGAGAAAGAGAGACTGACAGAAAGAGATTGGTCCATACATCCCAATACCTCAGGGATCTTGTGGCCAGTCAATATGTTTGCTACAGTGTTATTAGAAAATATGTTACCGTAAAAAACAATATTCTGTGTAAGCCACTCCCTTATGTTATCACCATGCATGTCCTCGAAGTGTTAAACCAAATGTATTACTTTAGCAGAACATGCTCCATGAGGGTCTGCCCCTTCCGACCATCTGCGTCAGAGACGAATATTAGTACAATGAGCCACTACAGCAGATTGATGTGTAACTTCTCGGAGCCTCCTTTATATACTGTAGTGTCCCACCAGTACCACATCTGAAGACGACATGGCTGAACTCAAGGTCTGTATTCCACTTGATTGATTCATAGTTTACCAAAATTCTGTTGTTCCATTCATATATTTATAGCCATAATGAGCTCAGATACCGGGAAGATTGAACTATTGCCAAAGTAAAGATGTATTAGTTATGTATTTAGAACATAGAATGAAGCATGTGGCATTGTTTTAATTGTTGTTTCATTAATACAACCATTCATTATTGTTTCCCCACATCAGAGAAATTAAACTTCTGTGTACTAATGTAAATAAAGTAATTCTCACAATATACCTTAATCTATTTATGTATTTTTACTTTTGGCAAGGGAATTTTGTTGAGATAGTATTGGAAAAAGGATGATTATTGTCTCAACTGCTTCTTTTATCAGTAAAACCTTGAGCTTCAAAATAGTGTGACATTGCCATTTGTTTCATAACAACATTCTGCTCTTTCAGTACTGGCGATTATATTTACTTTGTTTGGTGTTGGGCATCGGAGGGTCCTTTCAATATGGCATCCAGGTCTCTGTCATTGCCGCCCCAGCTGAGGTACAAGGTCATTTTCATAGATCACAGAAACCTGCCACTTTTGCAATAGATAAGATATGCTTTATTTATCTCACATAGGAGAAATTTACATGTCACATTTAGCATGAATAGAGACACACAGATTGTGCAAAAGGAGGAAATGTGCAAACATGTCACATGCAGGATATATATGTACAATAAAGTGACAATAATTATGTGGAACAAAAGTGACAAATGTCAATTGGAAACAGTGTCAATAGTAGTGCAGGTTTTCACACAGTGATAATTTAAAGTGACTTATTGTACAGTCTGACAGCGGTGGGGATAAAGGCCCTGCGGTAGCGCTCCTTCCTACACTGAGGATGCCTCAGTCTTCCACTGAAGGAGCTCCTCAGCTCCTCTACAGTCCTGTGCAGTGGGTGGGAGGTATTGTTCATGATGGAGGTGGCTTAAGCACCCTCCTGTCCCTCACCTACTCCACAGAGTCCAGGGAGCAGCCCAGAGTGGAGCTGGCCCTCCTGACCAGCTTGTTCAGTCTGTTTCTGTCCCGCTCTGTGCTGCCCGGGGCCCAGCACACGGCAGCGTAGTAAATGGCAGAAGCTACCACAGTCATAAAAAGTCCTAAGCAGAGGCCTGCTCACTCCGAAGGACCTCAGCCTCCTCAGAAGGAAGAGGCGACTTTGGCCCTTCTTGTGCAGGGCGTTTGTATTATGGGACCAGTCCAGTTTATTGTTAATGTGAACACCCAGGTACTTGAAGCTGTCCACCCCCTGGATGTTCAGCAGCGTGTGGGAAAGTGGTTTTCTCCTGAAGTCGATGATCATCTCCTTGGTGTTTACTGGTGTTCAAGCACAAGTGGTTGCGCTCACACCAGTCGACAAAGTCCTTGATAACCAACCGATATTCCAGTTCGTTCCCCTCAGACACACAGCCCACGATGGCGGAGTCGTCGGAGAACTTCTGCAGGTGACAGCTGTGTGTGTCGTGTGTGAAGTCTGAGGTGTAGATGGTGAAGAGAAACGGTGAGAGGACAGTGCCCTGAGGGGCCCCAGTGCTGCAGACTACCAGCTCAGACTCACAGCTGCGCAGCCGCACGTACTGTGGTCGGTCTGAGAGGTAGTTGATGGTCCATGCAGTGAGGCTACTGTCCACTCCCGCGTCCTCCATCTTCCCCTGCAGCAGTGCCGGCCTGATGGTATTGAAAGCGCTGGAGAAGTCAAAAAACATGACCCTCACAGCGCTCCCGGCGGGCTCCAGGTGGGAGAGCGTCCGCTGCAGGAAGTAGATGACGGCGTCCTCTACTCCGATGTTGGGTCCGTAGGCGAACTGCAGCGGGTCCAGGGTGGGGCTGACCACGGAGCGGAGATGGGTGAGGATGAGCCGCTCCATGGTCTTTATCAGGTGGGAGGTCAGTGCGACTGGTCTGTAGTGAGCCGGTTCCTTGGGGTGTGCTGTTTTTGGGACCGGGATCACACAGGAGGTCTTCCACAGGACAGGGACCTTCTCCAGGCTGAGGCTCAGGTTGTACATGTAGCTGAGGACCCCAGAGAGCTGGTCTGCAGAGGTCCTCAGCAGCCTGGGACTGATCCCATCCGGTCCTGCGGATTTCCTCAGCTTCAGGCGCTGGAGCTGACTCCTCATCTGGTCCGGTGTGATGGAGAGGGGGGGGAGGACTGGGGTGTACTGTCCGAGGTGGGGGCAGTACACCCCAGAGAATGGGGTGTATCATTTAACCAGCTGTGCATGTATCAAGTTTACACTTACAATGATTTAGATTAATAAACAGTCACAAATAAATAACACATTCCTCACAATTTAGATCACTATTCTATTTGTAATATTTAGGCTGCTCTTAAATTATGTGACAACAAAATGTTGATTTGGATTTTGAGCATCAACTTGTGTGGCTGCAGCACATTCAGAGCTTTGTGAACTCCACGTGGATGCGGAGATACTACCGTCCAGTGGAAGTGTCCTCCAATCAGATCATCTGGTCCTTCATTGTAGCCATTTTAAGTCTCGGGGCCTGGGCTGGAGCCATACACAGTGGCAGCCTCCCTGTCAAATACATGCCTTTCAGTCGCATGGTCCAATCTTTTGAGATTATTTTGCTGGGGAGGTTTTTATATGGATACAATGTTGGTATGTATTTTTTCTAATGGGTTTGCCTTTCCTTCTACTCTCATCATTGATATCATACATACACCACTGTCCAGGTCTGGGGCTCAGCGTGCATCTCATGTATCTGGGTGAAAGCTCTCCAAAAGAACTCGGAGGCTTTCTGACTCTAACAAGCTCAATCTTCATTGGATTTGGAAAGGTTATGGGTCAGATTATTGGGATAAAGTAAGTCCTGCTCAGACCTAATAAATTTTTCTGTAATACAAAGTAGAGTAGGCAAAAACATTCATAATGGATCTGCTGTAGTGGGTGGAGCATAGTAAAATTCTATTTAAAATCACCTTAGGACTGTCTGAAGACACAAAAGAAGCTAACTAGCAACCTATCCACAGCGCATTGGCTTCCACCAGAAAAATTACAATTACTACAATGAATAACAATTTCTGGTTAAAATTGTATTTATTGCAAAATACAGCAAAGCGTGTTACCAGTTTGCGGTTTTAAATCGAAAACATACTTATTAATCATGGTCATTACTAGCCAGAGAGCTGATCAGCCCAATCAAGTCATCATTTTTTTATAATCGTTTTTCAAAATATATATATTTTGAATGGGACATTTTAAATCCAGCTCTAGGAAGCTCTACTTTGTAACCCCAAAGGCACTGCTCTAGCTTTCTAGTTGATAATTTGGTATGATGATATTTTGCCCCCTCTAAAAAGAAGACACAAATAAACACTTTGATTCATTATTTCATGCACTTAGAATAGTTGTACCAATGGGGAGAGGGCTTTAGTTTCAGATCAAAGTTCTGAATTGAATGTATCCAATCAGGAAGGGGAGGGGGGACTATTTGTAAAGTAACATTGAATTTGACTTGACAGAGAGTTGTTGGGCACTGACGACATGTGGCCTCTCCTGCTGGCGGTCAGTGGTCTCCCTGCTCTCCTGCAGTTTGTCACGTTACTTCTTTCCCGACTCTCGCAGAGGGCTGTAAGAAGGTCCTGCAGTGGCTGTGGCAGAGGGACGACCTCAAACTGGAGCTGGACGACATGCAGAAGGAGCTGGAGAGTGTGCGCGGTCAAAAGGCCAAGACAGTGAGGGACGTGCTGACCTCCCGTTGCGTCCGCTGGCAGCTGCTCACCCTGGCCATACCCTGTGCAGGAGTGCAATTCTGTGGCATCAACGCGGTGATTATTCCAATGAAGCCTTGAAAAAACACAACTGATGCAGCTGTAAAAGTTATATTATTCAAACATTAAATAATGCATCAATCTATTTTCTGCTTTATCCGTGCTTGGGTTGCGGAGGCAGCTGTCTTTGCTTACACACACACATGTTGTTCGTTCATTGTAAGTGTGACTTGACTAAACATGGTTGTTGTGTTTGTTTATAGTTGTACTTCTACGCCTTTGACATCTTTCGTGAATCAGGGGTTCCGGAAAGCCAAATGCATTACCTGGCCATCGGCATTGGAGCAACAGAACTGATCACCATTTCTCTATGTGTAAGTTCTGTGTACAGATGGTTTATGGCAATCTTTTCACTATAAAATAACAGTAAAGCTACTACAACTACTACTGTTATCCAAATATAAAATACCTGAATAGTATACTGTAAACTGGGAAACAGTGTATTCCAGTAATTCTCAGTAACACCAGCACATACAGTTTTGAGTTCGCTTCTAAAGCAATCAGCATCAGGAACCAAACAGCTCTCACAGGTTCTGTAAAGTCACAGAAATGTGTCGCAGTGAAAAGTATATTTACAGCACGTGCGTATAGTCTTTTCTCATAGACCGAGCTGGAAGGAAGAAGCTGATGGCATATGGATAACTCCTGATGGGGATCACAATGGCTATTCTCATTGCCACGCTTTCCATAAATTTAATACCTGGCGATACACCTATTTTGTGCACCAAAAAAAAAAAAAAAAAAAAAAAAAGTGTAATCATTTCTGATATAAGATTGACTTTATAGATAGAACATTATGACAGACAGAAGTGTACATCATGTTAAGGTTAATATAGTCGGTGCAGGATTAAATCATGTACAATAAAGTGACCATAGCTGTGCTGCATGGGTTTTTTCAGTCCTAGTGCATTAGTAACTTTGAGACTTATTGTACAGTCTGAAAGTGGTGAGGAAAAAGACCCTGCTCCTGTAATGGTGGGGCTATTGATATTATGCAAAGTACTGTGTGAAACAGAGGGGGTGCTATTGTAAATAGCAGAGATGACCGGGTGAGAGCACACACTGTTTACCAAGGGAAGACAGGATCATCGCAAATTAAAAGACTTATTACAAAATTAAAATGATAAAATTGTGCATGTCCAGAATACTAAACAAGGTGGGCTAGAATACTTAAACAGTCCAAGGAAGTGCACGTGCTGCAGCCCTCCAGGGGAACCGCGGTAAAGTGGCCCGCATCTTTCAGCTCTATACAAGCGGCCCGCATCGGGGAAAAGACGGTGCGCGTTTTGTTGAGAACTTACGGTAACAGCGGAACATCCTTTCGGAGTGACCCATTTTTATCGAACACAAAGCGCGCTGGGGTCTGGGAGACACGTTTTGTGATTAAAACCTTATGGAGATGCCACCCGGTACACATAGCACTAGCCCCCTACGATTCCTCCTGCAGATTGAGAGTCCAGGAGGATAGCCGCTCTATTATTTACATATAAAGTACACAATTTGGTCCGCTAGTGCAATTTTCAAGTATTGTAACTTTTTACTGTAAAAAGGTGTGCGACTAATTTTACTGGATTCATGACCTCATTATGGTCCTCTACCAGAGCTTTATTTGCATTGCCGGCAGGTGCAGGCTGCCCTTTTTCACCGCTTCTGTTCACTGTCATAATGGACAGAATTTGTAGGTGCAGCCAGGGGCCGGAGGGGTCCGGTTCGGAAACCACAGGATTTCATCTCTGCTGTTTGCCGACGATGTTGTCCTGTTGGCTCCAAGGAACAAGGACCTGCAACATGCACTGTGACGGTTGCAGCCGAGTATGAAGCGGCAGGGATGAGAATCAGCACCTCCAAATCCGAGACCATGATGCCTGACCGGAAAAAGGTGCCTTGCCCTCTCGAGTAATGATTATTTATATAGCGCATTTATATAAATAAGATTTTTAAAAATTATAAAGCGGGGGAAAAAAAAAAAAAGCATCTGCGCATGCTTCAGCCGGCGCAAGCTCCATTCATTTAAACGAGAGACTCCAAAAATTCACAGCGAGTAAAGTAGATTGGTCCAAAAAAATTCACCCCCCTCAGCATTGACACATGTGGAATGGAGCTTTGGGCCAAGAGCCAACTTTTGGACCATCCTTCGAGAGGTCTGCCAATGCTATACGTTAGCATTGGCTAATTCTTAATCCGGGTCCACCCCCATCGGCCCGGGGTGGTATTGCAAGCAGGTCAGCGCATCACTTTGGCCACTTTTGAGCCGGGAGCCACCCCCACTGATCAGCCCCCTATCTTCACTATCCATTAATACCTATTGAGCATGTTTTTAGTGGTAGGGGAAACCGGAGCACCCGGAGAAAACCTATGCAGACACGGGGAACATGCAAACTCCACTCAATAAGGCCTTGTTCCGACTGGGATTCGAACCCAGGACCTTCTTGCTGAGAAGCGGGAGTGCTATCCACTTTAGAGATGGGTTGAGGAGCTCAGTCACACGGAAGGAGCTCGGAGCAGAGCCGCCGCTTGTCGACGTTGAGAAACCAGCTGAGGTGGCTCGGGCATCTGTTCCTCCTGGACGCCTCCCTTGGGAGGTGTTCCGAGCACGTCCCACCGGGAGGAGGCTCCGGGGAAAACGCAGGACACGCTGGAGGGTCTCAGCTGGCCTGGGAATGCCTTGGGTTCCCCTGGATGAGCTGGAGGAAGTGTATGCTGCCCCTGCAACCAGGCAACAGATGAAGCGGAATAAAATGAATGTGGAAGTTACAGTGGATAAAAGTTACAGTAGACCAAAAGTGACCGTTTGAGCCATTTGGGACCAAAATGGCTACTTTAACTCAATATTTCTACAGTAAAAGTTTCTGGTCTTTGGTACAGTGGTAGAGGGCAATCATGAGGTCATGAATCCAGTGAAATTAGTCGCACAACTTTACAGTAAAACGTTACAGTAGATCAAAAGCGGGAATTCTTTTACAGTTTCGTGTATTTTGCACTAAAGTGTACTTTGTCTCAATTTTACCCAACATTTCCACAGTAAAGGTGTGTGGTTGTAGGCACAGCGTTGAAGGCATCTATATCGAGGTCATGAACCCAGTGGAATAAGCCACACAAGTCTTTACTGTAAAAATGGACAGCTGCTGAAAATGTCACTTTGACCAAATTAAATGCTTTCCAAATATGGGTTTATTCACCAAAACGAGTCTCCTCAGCGCGCTTTCTGTTCGAGGAGAATAGGTGACTCCGAAAGAGTGTTCCGCTATTACCGTAAGTAGTCAACAAAACGCGCACTGTTTTTCTCTCGATGCGGGCCGTTTTACTTCGGAGGTGAAAGATGCGGCCCACTTTACCGCGGTCCAGGGGAGCGGTCCCTCTCCACACGCACACCGGTTCACCTGGAGACACAAGGCAAACGCCAGCACAGGGGTCCGAGACTACAGGGCCTGAGGCTACGATGGTAGAGTGTCGATACAATACCTACACACAAGGCAGAGTTTCCTCTGCCCCTGCGTGTAGTCCGCGTCACAACACTGAAGCCTAGTGTATACTTGCGCGGCGTGATCAGTCCCGATCCCTTCCGGCTGGCTCCTCTCCTCTGCACGCCGGAACACCTACTCGGAGACAACTAGCGGCAATCAAATGCTCACAACAACATTATGTTTCTTGAGCTAGCTAGTGATGGGTCCAGCAACACTGATACACCGGCGCATGTGCAGAGTTCGTTTAGCGAAACCTCGTATCGGCGCGCGTGTCGCTTTATGAAAAAGCCACGTGACCGATACAGCCGCAGTGTCGCTTGTTACCGACACGGCAAACTGTTTAAAAGGTTCCGCATCTGCAAGTGTCACCGGTATGAACCGCTCTCAGAAAAAGAAAATAACCCTTTCAAAAAGGAAAAGCCTCCCATTTTACAGCATAAAAAAATGGAACCTGCCACTAAAAGAAAGTATTCTGCAGTGTGATACTGCAAATAACAGCAAATAAGGCAATGTTTGTATTTTGCATTTCACGCTTTATCTACAATCCAGCTTTAGTTTGAAACTCAAAATCTAGTTAGGCATGGTGGATGAGTGGATAGCGCTCTCGCCTCGCGTTTGAGAGAACTGGGTACGAATCCCTGTCGGACCTTAAAAATTTATGTTGACATCACAGTCTTGAAGAATAATTTTGAGAAATTGAAGTGCAGAAAATGTCAAAGGTTTTTTCAAGTATACTTTAGTTGCCAGGGTTTACAGTGCACTTTGGACATGCTTATTGTTTTGAAAAAAAAAAAATAAAAAAAACATCACTCAATGACATTTTGCTTAATGAATACATTCACAACTATCACTTTAATTTTCACATAAAATAAAATAACACAGACAATGCAGTTACGTAATATTGTGTGCAGACAAGTATGTAAAGCTCATTGAATCAGTGAGTTGGATGCAATGATTTATCAGATCCACCAGGTGTCAGTATAGAGCAGCACAAGCAACACTGTTGCGGCACAGTATCAACACAGTTTGTTGGATGTGCCGAAACGATACGTGAGGTTTCATTTACCCATCACTAGAGCTAGCTCTTCCGACAAGTACTACTACGTGTCCCAAGGGTACTCACACGGAAGGCAGAGTCCTCCTCTGTCCCTGCGTGTAGATCGCTTCGAAGCACTTGCGGTTCCAGCGTACGTGTCGTCCCGGTGGCTGTGGCGTCTTCCCCTCGTGAGAATGGACCGCTGCTCTCCTCAGCTCACTCCGTCCGTCACCTCTCCGACCCGCTTCTGCTTTCGTTGCGTTGTTCCTCTGTCTCTCCTCTCATGCCAGGCACAGGTGCGTCCAATTGCGCAGTGATGGGACTCAGTCGTGTGGATGGGTCATGTGACATGAGTCACATGTCACATGACCTGTGGTGGGTGGTGGCCAGGGCTGGACTGGCCATCGGGCGTACCGGGCAATGCCCGAAGGGCCGATGCCCATATTTGGGCCGATGCCCATATTTGGGCCGGTCTGTCTGCCTCATACAAAAAAGATGTTTGTGAAAAGTGTAAA